AATAACTTTATAGATCAAGCCATGGCCTTTAGGCCTCTACAAGCGACATTATTCAGTACATCACGATTTAAGGATTATAGGCCAAAAGAGAGATTTTGTATATGGCGACCATTGTATGCTTCCAAACATTCATTTACTCATTCATCGAGATACTGTTACACTCAAAATTGAACGTACGATATAATAAATCAGCCCATCTGTTCTAAATTGAGAGCAACACAAAAATTAATTTGATGGAATGGAATAAATAAAACAAACGTTTTGAAACCCCACTTGTTGAACTTGCAGCCGGCTGGCGAAACTGCCCGATCGCAGTTTTCGATATTAGCAAACTGTTGATCAAAACAAATTGCTTTCGAATTTCAATGTTAAGGAATCATTTTTATCGCTTTCACGAGATCGATGAAAAGAAAAGTTTGGACTTACCCCTGAAAATCTACTTCCTTGGCGCAATTCGAGCTTTCCCCGCGTCCTCTAGCTTCGACTCTCGTTACCAGACTTCAAGAATCGATTCGATCCAACACTTGCTGCTGTTACTAAACCACAACAAATATTTGTCCACGTCTTACAATTTCGTCTCTATTTTCTCTTTAGATAAAAAATTTTAGTTAAAATTATTGACAATTTATAGCCCAGCTTTTATCAATTTGAACTTTTTCTTTGACTCTGCTATAGATTCTTCAAAATACAATCACTAAATAATTAAATTGTAGACTGGTTTCAATATAACCAGAGCAATATTTTCTGACTCGACCTGTGGTTATGATATCATAGTTGGTTCGTGTTTTGAAGCCTTCCTGGCTGTAAAGAGGTATTTACTCCAGCCCCCGTCATTCATCTGAACAGGTGCACTCTGCCACGAGGAATGTATTTTTCTTTGTTATTGAACAAATAGCTATGATCGAGGAATGCGTTGTAGAGGTGGTAAAATGCATTTTAGTTTACTTTGTATAGAGATTAGTGATGGCACGTGCTCAGGCGAGAAGCGTGATCATATGGTTTTTGTCCCATTTCTCCTCACAGCAACTCCTTCCACGAAGAGAATTCTAGTTCATGGAAAATTACGAAAAAGATTTCCACAAGACTCCACTGCCTAAAGGGGTAAAATGGGTAATTTTAAGTCCCTTAAAGGTTGTGACGAATTCGTGACATAATTTCATGGACTAGTTGTAGTAACGAAGAACAGAAGCGGTTGTCGTGGTAACAATATGTTTGGTCCGAGCCACAGGTTTTGACATGTGAGTTTACGATTGGCATTTGACACCCCTGCTTCAGAGAAAGCCTGCCCGAATACTACAGCGTTGCTCTGGAAACAAAGTTGAATACATAGTAAAGTGTTTGTATACTTTTCACTATACAATAAGTTTGATGTTCTTTCATCAAAGAGAACGCGAGAAAAGAATAGATTTATTCGTTCTAGTTCCAAGACCCAAGAAATGACGTCACGATTACGGCACAGCAATTTCATATCTCAGGAATCAAGCGTATAGCATGTAGGTCCTGATTGATGACACCATGGCCATTTTGCTCCAGGGAATCACGAATGACCTCGGAATAGCTATGGGCACGATAATTTAGGGGCATCTGGGGATGAAAAGTGGTTTTGGGGGCATCTGAGAAAAGTGTCGCATCGAAAACCGGAAGACAAAGTTTTGGTTCTCACCCCAAAACCTGAAATGTTTGGAAACAAATGGGCATTTACGAAAGACAAAGCGACGTACAGATGGAATATTTCACAGATGAACTTTTCAGTGTTAACACAACTTTTACAAAACGTTGCGGTATTATACATAACATGTTCATAACTAAACACAAGTAAACTTATATTAATTACAGGAAAAAGATAACAAAGTGTTTGGGGTTTTATCAAATAATTACACATTGAACAGCAGGAACATTCAGGATAAACAGTTTATTTTGATAAAATGACGCAAGCATCACTTTTAAAATTACTCTTACTCTATACACTCTGTATTTGAGTCTAGTGAAGCTGCACAATTCATCTCCAAAACACTAGTTAAAATTAGATCATGTTAATGGGAGGTTGGGACAGAGTGACGTAATTCCTCATTGATATATCAAATCAATTAGGGCACCTGACTGCGTGAAGATAAGCATTAATAACGGATGGTAGAATAACTGGTTGGGAAGATTTCGACAAAGAAAGACACTTTAATTGTTTAAGAATTAGTTTTTTTAATGGGACTGTTGATCGAGCGCTCATTAAAAATAATGGATCATATGTGTGATTTCTTTTTGCGCTTTGATTCCTGATAGATATGCAACATTTTAGTATTTGCAACTTTAATCCATCTGAAATGTTGCTACAAAATACCACGGTAAAAATGTGTTCCTTAGAAACAGCTGGACTCAAATTTGGAGAACTTAACTCCTAGGTATATATTCCTGTTTATATCTAATGTCATGAATATTTCATTGCAATAATAAAATGCCAGGTATTTCATAGCAAGTGGGCATAACTACCAATATTATATACATATTATGTTGCAATACAGATAATCAAGAATTTCCTTAAGAAATGTCCTGCCTATTTTCTAGAAAACTAAATGTGGACATTGTTTGAGCAAGTTTTGTCTTTCAAGGACCTAAATGAGAAAATAGCGGAGCCAAAAGAAGGTTTTCATGTTAGGCAGCATGATCAGTGATCTCTTATAGATCAAGATAGGGCTAAACTGTGGTGGGTACCGACTTTTTTAGATGATCTGAAAGGCTATGGCTTAAAAGGAAAGAGCTTGAAACAAAAGATTTTGTAATGCAAGAGTGTTGAGAGAAATTTCATGAGAACCAACTTAAGTTCCCTGCCAACAACTTGAAAACATCCCAGAATTCATTGCAGGTTAGCGGGTAGTTGAACAAAAATATCAGAGAAGTAAAAGATAGTTATTACTGGTTACAAATAGAATTAGCAATGAATTACAAGCAGAAATACTTAAAGATGAATAATTAAGAATCCGAGTCAATTAATTTACCACGAGTGTTTTTTTACGAAGTGTATTCACAAATGCAGATAGAAATAATTATGGCAAATAAACATATGCTAACTTTTTTGTAGTTTCGAAAACAAAGGCTTTGAAATGCTGTACACTTTTGTGATAAGCGGCGCGGAGGACGCTTCTGGAGTTGACGAACGGGAAGATTTCGTTGAAGACGTATTTGATTTACTGTTAGGACTTCCTGTATCCGAGTCAGAATCTCTTGCGGTCGCGGTATGCTCTTTCGAGTCATCAGCACGATTACTTTTACTCGAGCTTTGTGCGGCGGTAGACTTCTTGAATCGCGCGGCGTCGCGTTGTAGGGTGTATATGTAATCAGTAAGTTTCGCTGCTGGGCCGACTGACAGACCGAGTAAGTTGTGAAGCTCGTTTAAGGTGAGAAGAAGAAACGCGTGGCCGTCGATCTCCTGAAATACAAAGGAAAAACATGAGATTCTTAGAGTAGAAACAAACCAAGACGTAAGTAACAAGATATTGCAGATATGAATAATGTATCATAATTATTGACAAAAAGTTTACCAGTGTATTGTTATTCAATGATAGGCTTGAAAAGCTTGAATCAATTCAGTATAATGCTTTAGCAACGTTCTCCAAGAAAAAATAGCGTTTAATTTCTCGATAAAAAAACGTTCAAAGTCAAGGTTTCACATCAAACATACCTCTTCCATGAAAATTCTAGCATATCTTCCCAACTCTGCCGCTTGAACAAATTCAACGACGTGCTGTTTAGTCCACGATAACGGATTTTTGGGGAGATCCTTGCACGAAGACCTTATTTCGTTGCATTTCGTGGTCAAGTGCTCCTCGATATCAGGGATGTCCCTTGCTGGGGAATACCCATCCAACAACAACGAATGGTCACTGGATCCATTTAGTTTCGTGTCTTTGATGTTATTTGGTTTTGCGATTTTCATAACGATTTTATTACTTTGCGATTTATTCTCAACAACTCTGTACAAGCCATTGGCTACACCATAATTCGTTGACGTCGTTTGCGAATCTGCGTTTTCACGTGTTCCGTTCTCGCTACTCCTAGCTTCCTTCGAGGCTGTTACAGCTTTTTGACCAGTAAGGTGCAAAACACGGAAATTCGTTCTACGCTCCCCTCTTCGTAAAGATCTTTGCGTAAATTTATTAGAGTCGCCAGATTTTAAATTCTCTTTATTCAACTCCTCTACTTTCGTTTCACCATTTGAGCTATTTTCGCCATTTTCAGTTTGCTGTTGGGAACCTGTTGCGGTGGCACGACGTGCGCTGTATCTAACGCGACCGCGCTGCTTTGTCTTCTGTTTACGATAAAAGTCTATCAAACGAAGTCGCGCGGCCGCTGAACTACTATGATTTCCGCGGAACTTTTCGACAAGCACGCTTAAAGAGTCTTTCTTTCTCTCTGAGAATGGAATTTTGGTTCCTGCCAACAAATCGAACTCTTCGTCTTGTTTAACGTTAAGGTCTTTTGGCTTGACTTTAAGAGTGGTAAAGAAACTCATTTCGTTCTCAGACAGAAGCGGTTTTTTCGCTTCTGGATCCTCATCTTCATCTGAGTCGATTGTTATGATTTTTCGCGGTACTTGTCCCTCTTCGTCTAGATTGAAACTGAAGGGGAAAATGGATCAAAATCAGATTGCCTTATTATCTTTAAAGATACAAAAAAATTAAAATCAAAATCTATCATAGTTCGAATTATTTTCATTATAATTTTAATTTGCAGACTGCAAAACATTCTGAAGGATTACAGCGGAAAGGCTCCAAGACCTATTCTTCTAAGATATAAGTTCACATTGAAACAAAAATAAACAATACAAGAACACTACAGGAACGAAAACTTGTAACCAAGCCTCAATATGCGCTGAGCCGACTTCATTTAAACCGTCTTCAAAAAAACAATCATAGCGATTGGAATTTGTTGCTATACGAAGTAGGTTGGTCTAGGCCCGCTTCCAATCTTCAAAACACATTTAAAGCAAAGAACTTTTAGGAACTGGTGCGAATAGCAAGGAAAAAATAAATGAAACATTGCTGAACTTTCGACCGATTAATTATCAAAGAACTAATGAATTACGACAAAAGCTAACAGTGAAACCTTTGATTTTGAAGTTCGAAGTACTAACTCCTTTTTTCGACATTCATTATGTTTATTGTGTCTAAAAACCTTTGAATGGCAAAATCAAGAGTTTTTTAGACATCGTTTTTGAATGAATCAAGAGTTTTTTAGACATTGTCTTTAAATTAATCTTTATAAGGAAGTTAAAACTGTGAATTTCTTCTTTCACCTAAAAACACAGACATAAAACTTAAAATGCATACCCCTTCTTGATTTCATTTTCGCTGTTCAGTTCCTCTGCCAACCCCCGAATAAAAACATACGAAATCGTTGGATCAACATAACCCCCGTCATCCTCTCCCCCTGTGGATTTCGCTGCCTTCTGCTTAATTCGTTTCTTACTTCCTTTGTAATACTGTGATTTAATATGCTTCCTTTTCCTGTTTTTCGATTTCACCTCCCTCTCCTCGTCCGAGTTATTATTGCTTGAACTAGTCTGCCCCGATATGATCGACTTTTTGGCCCGCGGGCCGCCTTTCCGGAGATGATCCAAACGGGTTTTTCTCTCCGTCGTGGATCTCAGCCTCGAAATTCGATTCTTCTGAAGAATAGCTACGAATAAAAGATGGATTTCAAGACCATACAAATAACAGCTAATAAAATATAACGGTTTAACTACCAGTGGGATCATAAAACCCTAACAAAGAAAGGGAGAGGCTAAAGAAAGAGAGGGAGGGGAGCTCAAGACTGTTGATTTGGTTTGGTTTTGAAGACCATTTTAAAAGAACATTAGCATTTTATAAGAATCTGGAAGCAAGGAGAGGGTGGAAGTTCCAAAGTTAAAACACTCTAGGAAAGGAAAGGAAAGGAAAGGAAAGGAAAGAAAAGGAAAGGAAAGAAAAGGAAAGAAAAGGAAAGGAAAGAAAAGGAATGGAATGGAAAGAAGATTTGTGTGTTCCCGAATTTAGCAAGAGGAAATTGACAAAGTTCCTGGTGTTTCTGACTCTACTCAGGGGCAATGTCTATGGGGTATTTGTAAAACATTGATAGGTCAGCAGCACAAAGCCGATGAGAAAAAAGTATGAGAGACTTTGTAAGGTTAGATTTGTTGAAGATTAGAGTGCCATCCCAAATACGAGAGCATCACTCCATAAAAAGAACGAAGTTGAGATTTTTCCAGAACCAAGAACAACAAAACATTAATCATTTTATGACGAAATACTGTAAACATTGGTGAATTTTTAGTTTTCTAGTACCTCCAATTTTTGTGTCACTTGCATTTTTTAAAAACACTGTAAAAGTTGGAGGTTAAACGCTGGCCCTTTAACGGGAGAATCGAAAAACTTACTGCTCGGTCTAGGCCACTGCAATTCGTGCCCACTCATCTCGCACCAGCCAACTGGAAACAGATCGTGCGACCTAACATCAAATAACTGCTCGCTTCGACTTTCTCCGTCAAATGTAACCCAGACATCCCTGCCGAGGACCTGAGTTACAGTGGCAACACATATATTCACATTGTTCTCTTGATCAACAGCCTCCAGTTTCATTCCAACTTTAAACTCGTGCTCCACTGGTTCCAGGTCAAAACAAGCCTCTGGTGCGGCAATTGCCTTCTCCAGTTGTAGATAAGCCTTCCATGTGAAATGGCCATTGAAGCCTGGGTATAAGTGAAAGTGAGCCTAAGTCAACAAGGTAACCGATCAGGCAATAGACCTGTAGTTTCATGGATAGGGGTCGTGTACTCTTACTTAAACGCTTGTGGTCGTGTGCAGTGTCAAAGCTGTCATACTGTTACATAAGGTGCTCGGTACCTGAGTCCAAAGGGGAATCATCTACATCCAATGCCTTTATCTGGCTAAGCAAGGAGGGTCAATGTGATAACCAGGCTGAGCCAAAATGTTTGTTGAAATGGTTAACAAACGAAATAATTGGGAGGAAAGGTCGTGTTAAATTTGAGTCCTCTATTATTCATATTTAAATTTGATTCCTTAAATATTAAACAACCTTTCTTCGTTCCAGCAGAAAAAACTTCTACCATCTGACTACAAAGTGGGAATGTAGTAAGAATGAAGAAACGAACTGAACAAATCCGATAGGCGTATTCTGACCATCAGTGCCATGCAAAGTTGTACCAAAAATACAAATTGCAGCAGAAAATATGCACGCAGGAATAAATTCTTTGCAGGGAAATATTGGAAGACACAATTTTTGCTGTATTCATTTTTCTCTAGCTTTAACAATTAAATCCTGTCCTTTCAGATTATCGGTTTCTGTCAAATAACACATCTTCTGCGATCAAAGGCTTCTTCTACACTTAATTTTCTTTTGTTTTGAAGCATTGGTAGCCAAAGAGAATCATTGTTTGTTTCTCTATAGGAAAACACTCTTATTTTCTTCAGAAACATAGTGTTTGTGGAAGAATTAGATCTTTTGGCGGATCAAAGATTGTTTTGAAGCAAACAATTCTGAAATTGCCTTAAAAACGTTGCGAGGATAAGAAATTACCTTTAGGCGGATGCAGTGACAAACCAAACTTGTGGCACCACCCAACGGGATAAATACCATGGCTCTTTTTGTGACAAATAAAAGACCGATCCTCGTGAACAGAGCTGCTTAGCAAATTGTCAATTCGTACAAGGAAATGGAATTTGTCAAAGACACGAGCGACAGTGGCACAACAGATCGACGTAGGATCCATCGGATCTTTTGCTTCTAATTTCATCCCCATTTTGAATGTGTGCTCTACCATCGGTGGGCGATCCTAAACGTAAGATATATAAAGCATTTATGAGGAGAAATAGTAAGGAATTAAACATATAAAGTCTTTTAGAGCATTTACACTAAGAGATACACGAGAAACAACAACAATTAGTGGATTGGTACGTATGTCAAATAGACACTAGCAGGCAATATCCTTTTATAAACATATATATTACCGTGTACAATAACTTATCAAAGGGGTCTGTTAAATCTTACGACAGAATGTTCAAATCTTGCATCCCTTTCGAAATCACAGGAAAATTATCATGTGTTGTGGACCTACAGATTCATAAATGTTTACTTGATAATTGAAGTCTATTTACGAAAATGGGATTTGGCTTGTGAATCGCAAACCAGGATAAATACATATGTTAGCAGTGACCATAATCTCAGTGTCATATTTCAGAGGTAGACAAACATCTTCACGAATTGGAAGAGCTATCTCAATTGATTTACTGCTAAGATTTTGAAACAGGATTGTGCAATGAGTGCCATTGTGTATGTCCGGCCTTCCTGCTTATCAACAAAAAATAGTCAATCTTTTATTTCTAGACAATTACGCAACACGTGCTAGAAATTTACCTTCAGCAATGCAGAGAGCAGTGTTTTTTCCCAACATGTCATTAATCTTTTCTCTAACTTCGAATCCGGCCACTGCTTTTCTGAGATGGTCTTCAGAACATCTGACGGTTAACCAAAAGGAAAACATTTCAGAACAGATTAAATAAAAAATTATATTTTTGGCACTGATAATCTGCCTGTCAAAAGTCAGGAAAAAGCAGTCCAAAAATTGAAATATTGGAAACACAGACAAAAAGACCCCGAAAGCTGGCTGTACTATGCTACTATAACAAGGGATTGACGCCTTTGTCAATAAATAGTTATAATGCGAAGAGCATGGCAAATCAAGCCATTCTCTGCGATAAAACATAGCAGATGCAACATGTCATGAAACAAACACATCTTTTGCACGTTACAGCATTTCAAATTGCAAGCTTTTACATCTGTAAAAATACCTCTTGGTGGCCTGAGTGTCAGTCCATAAACAAAGCCGTGGCCCGGCTCATGCAGCCTTTCACTGAGGTAATAACACCAGATTTCCCCAGACGAGTCTTCAGTTCCTTTGTACTGCAAACGCAGACGACCCGCGTAAATCTCGCTTATAATCGCCACCCAGTAGTACTTTGGGTCTTCTTTGTCGATGACCTCTAACATCATACCAACACCAAGCTTGTCAATTGGCTTAACTCGCTGCAGGAGAATAAAAATCGTAGTAAAATTTGACACGAGAAACAAACACTAGTTTTATAAGTAATGTTTTTAAACAGTAGAGTTTCTATTTCTCAACAAACCTCCGAAAACCAGCCCCTATGCCCCTTTCTTTGTCAAGGTTGCCCTAGATATGACAAACTTAACATATGACGTAGCTTTGCCTTACCAAGAACCATTCATTGAAGAATTACCTAAGGACCATCAATGAGTATCATCGTAACGAGAAACGATCCTTGAGGTAAAACAATAGCTCGTTGGCTACAGGAAGTATTTACAAAACTCACATCAAAGTTCTAGGGGTTCTGACGTATAGTGCAATACAATCTTTGCCACAACTACTTCAAATACCTAGACAAAATTTAAAATTTTGCTTCCCTTTCCCATCAAAATGTTGCTGAATTTTTCTGGTTGTCAGTAATAATTTGTTTGGAATAGGTGGGTAATTGGGTAATCATAATTGCACAGAACATAGAAATATAGAAAAAGTACTTAAATCTTTGGGTCTTCAAAACTATCATGACTGAGAATGCACCATCAACTACAATGACTATCGGATTGTTGCGGTGACTAATTGCCTGAAAAACTTGGTAAATCCTTTAGAACTGACAACAACAATTCCAAGCCTCCCATGCTTCATTCTCAGCAATCGAAAATGATAATGCCCTGGCGAACATACCTTGTTGAAGAGATGTTCTGCAGCCTTCCGTGCTCCAGTTAGGTTCTTGATCAAATAATCATACCAACTTTTTTCTTTGTGCTGAATTGCTGTAGAGCACGAAAACAATGTGCTTTAAATAACAGTCTATATACACTACATAAACTTTCTATTTCGGAACGATGTCGACGAGGTCATGAAATCCTAGGATCAGTAGTATCGCAAGCCTGAATCTGGGTAATTATTTGAAGCTTAGAAAAGTCACAAAACGGAACCATCAAAATTGGAAATTTGCAAACAAACACTTACAGCGAAAGATACTTAACCACCTAGAACCTGTGCTAAATTAACAAGATTTTACATCTGATAATGATTTTCAACACCAATACAGTCAAGAGGTTGCACATTTAGCGACATATATAACTTTAAAATAAGTGATACATTGTCAAGTTTGGTCTTGATGTTTCACAAAAATCTTTGAGCATTTTCGTAAATCATTTTTCAGTCGAACCTCGCGTCGTTTTTACACGGTCGGACTATGTCGGATACATTAATTTTTAGAATCAAAATCCTGTTATATACTGCATGTCTTCGAAATATTCGTTTCTCCAAATTTTTTATTCCAAAGTGTCGAGTTAAATTGCCTTGGTGTGTATTATAACGGCTCTATTATTGAAAAAATTAGAAATAAAACCATTTAAGCGACATGGGAGTAATAACTAAAGCGCCTGTTGGTTGCTGTGGCTAATGATGCTTTCTGAACATGCAAAATCTGATCTTGTGTGAGAGAGCGGCTTAAGGGTGATATCAGTACTGATCGTAAACAATGCTCACCCTTTGGAGGCCTAAGCGCATGCTTGGTTTTGGCACACCATCCAACCGGATGAATTTCTGAGCTCCGGCTATTGCACCAAAAATCTGCGCTGTTATCATCTTGATAGCCTTCGTACCGGAGGAGTATCAATGGTCCGGACTTTGCAATCACCGTGGCTAGCCAATAGGTGCTGGAACAGTCTTGATTTGGAACCTCCAGTTTCATACCGGCTTCAAAATCAAAGGTGCTTCCAGCAATAAGCTAAAATGGTATTCAAAAACGTCACAAAATATGAAAGCAGATGTTCACAAAAAGCGTAAAACTGGGGATAGCAGCTTAAAACTGTCCTGTTCCATACACAAAGCGTGCAAAACTGTCTATCCGAAATAAAAAACTCTTTGTGCATCTTTCGTTTCCTAAATTACCTGATTCGAAATGAGCAGCCTCTTCTGTATACAATTTTGCTCAACAACAAGCATAGATTTCCCATGATTTAGAAAGAAAGTTATTACATGTAGTTATTTCACGGAATGGTCTGTAGATACTGGCCTGTAGTTACTCATGTATCTATGAGCTTTCACGCTGTGATATTTGCATTGGGAGGAGCCCTGTTTTAGTCAATATAGCTAATAAAAAGCAAGTTCTCCTAGTTGTCTTTTGCTAGGATGTTGCGTATCTTAAAATGTTTTTGTGATGAAGAAAGACAATAGCAAAAATCGAATTTTTCTTCTTAAGAATGATTAAAATATAATATTAGGCTCATAATCGCAAATTTTTAAAATTATTGAGAGACAGCAAAAATTAAGGCTTTCTAATTTATAAAACTGCGTACAAAATATACCTATAACATATACAAAATTCAAATGTTATATAAATTACTATATGACAAACAGGAGTATCCCTTAATTCAAATTACTTTCAAGTTCCCTCAATTTTAATTTTAGCGACAGAAAAATTTTAATTTTCCCCAAATGTCCCATAACAACCGCGATCAAGCTCCTCCAGTACAAAGACTTTACCGGGTAGGGGGTATGGTGGGGGTATACGGGTCGACATAGGAAAGAGTTGATCAAAGTGGGGTAGATCAAGTGGGAGCTGTTAAGTGCGTCAAAACACCAACATTACACTACTTACATGCTTAAATGTGCTCTTTGGAACAGCTGTAGCATTGTGTTTTGCCAAATATTTTTCCCAATCAAAACTTTCTTCTTTATTTTCCTCACCTTCCATAATGTTTAGTGCGCCATCTACAAAATAAAATAACGAATGAGATTGAAAGAAAAAGTATTAAAACCAAAGTATTTAAAGTATATTCGAACTCAAATAAGTATACAGGCTACTTGGTGTATAGATCAGTTGATTGAGTTACTTGATAATTGCATTAAACGTGAAACTCGGAGTAGCAACTTAGAACCGTCGAACTCTATGCACCAAATTGTGCGCACATCTCTGCCTATACGGTATCGAGCACTTTACGACATATCGGTAAACAGTAAAATTTCTGAATTTAGTATACAAATATTTTAGATACAATATTATGATTGACTTGAAAAATCAACAGGCGAGGTGGACGGAATGGCAGAAGATTTTGCAGAAAGCAAGGTATCTACATGACTGAAATTGACCATTTTAAATTCTTCATTAAGAAATGGGCGAAATCGAAAACATTCCCTTGAAAATCAGAGTTTTTGCCATCTAACGGTGCTTCGTCGCGAATTTCAGTGGGGGTCATCCGACGAATGGAACCTGGACGCCACTCTTGAGCAGTAGCGTAGCCAGGGTGGTAAAATTGGAGGCTGCTAAGGTAAGTGGAGCGTGGGGAAAATGGGGGTCCACACCCTTTGGAATGCCAGAAAACATTGACATGCCGAGAAACCAGATAGAAACTTTAAACCCACTCGCATACGTACCCTTGCTTTGGTATTTTCTTTGCTTTTCAAACTCTGGCTCCTCGATCTTGATTTGCTTTAAACTGGTTTTCGTTACGGAGCCATTCACCAGGGTTTTAGTTGCCATGGCGCACTGTTCTCAAAACTGCAGCTCACATCATAATGTCAAAACCTTGGGAAATTATAAAAAAATTCTTTACATGCAAGGGTTAAGAAAGGATTTAATGAAAAGATTTATTGATAGCGATTTTATGATAACGTTCCAGGTAGAGATCTGTTAGGCTCAAGAAATTATTCATTGGAAATCGAGCACCTGCAGAAAATAAGTGAAGGGAAGGCTCATCTTCAACAGTGGCGAAGTGATGACGTCACAGAATTTACTAAACAACTATTGGATTCTGAATATATAGCCCGAAGAAGCATCATAAAATAACGTTTAATGTGAAAAATCAGTTAGGCTGTTTGAAAAAAGACTACATGAGTACAATTTCCCTCCATCAAACCACTGTAATTTGGCCCTTATTCTATAACTCATCCCAAGTACCCCAAAAGCAAAGGACTACGTTAGCAAACTTTAAAACCTTCATTGGCCATATCTCTTGAAATCTGAAAGGGGTAACTGATTTTGTACATTGTGAGATTTTCAACCGTGTTCTTTCTGTTTATGTGGTCATATCTCAACTGAAAAATTTCAAAAAATTGAACTTTGTGACCTCATCACTTTGCCTTTAAATCCTTACTATGAATAGCGAAAAAAATTGAGCATTGTAAAGCAAGGATTTCTGGGAGATGACAATTGAGACTTGCGATTAAAAAAAATGGACTGGCGGTGAGCAGGAATACAGAAAATAAAATTAATTTAAAATAAAAAATAAAAACGTAGCAATTAACAACAGTTTCAGAAAATATATCAATAAAACTTCGCCCAAATATACAGAATTTTTTTAAATTTGGAAGCTACGTGCTACTAATCGTGATGTGTTACTGCATTCCTTCGTATACTCCATATAACGTCTCTAGCATTCTCCAAGGCGATTGAGGAAACTATGTGACGCGATAAGTTCCTTTAGGAGAACTAATTCACCCAAAAGGAATATTATAAACATCGTCTCGAAGCTCTGCAGGCCTAGTCGATTCATTAAGGACGGAGAATCAAACGAGTGGTCGCGAATACCTTAAAATACACTCTAAATCGATCAGAATCATATACCGCAATGGTGCGATTACTTGTCAAAAACTTCATATCAAAGAGAGAGATTTAGTTTGTGCAGAACAGGACTTGAGAAAAGGTCCTGCCCTGGTCGTGATACACTCATATTTCCTCTCTGATAACTTGAGACTGGCGAACGGACAGGCATAGCATGCCAATGGCCTGCAACTAGCAATGTATACCGACACAAGCCCATCCGTCAAGATCTACGCACCCAGGGAAGTCGATAAAGAAACGATGACTGTTGCGCCTCCCAAATTAGAATAAAACTCAAGAGGACTTCTGGACGAAAAGCCGAATTAAAACTCTTTTCACAAAATCAAGAGCCGACTTTTTTCTAGTATGTGAAGTTTCATCCGATAGAATGTAACATTTATCGTTCTTATTTTCCCCTTTTGATTTCATACATCAAAGCGTTGCTTTCAGTAACACAGTCTCTGTTTTCACAAAACGGCCTAGTAACTGCGGCTGTCCAAATTAGCAATAGCAAGACCCCCGTCGCAGCTGGCAAATACGAACAAAGACATGTTGCGTTCACATTTAACGTGACAATTGAGGCCTTCCATGTTTTGTTTAACAAAACAACCAAAACTTCCCGGATGTTCGTGTTCGCAGGTATCATGATTTAAAAATGGCGTTCAACCGCAAACTTTCTCCCACCTATTCAAGTAAAGTTTTCCTTGTGATGTTTCTTAGCCTTCAAGACTCGAATATGTATCACTTGATCCGGGTATAGTTTCCAAATTACCAGTTTTCAAAGCATTGTTGTCACCAACAGCAATTTCAGTCCGATGGAGTCCATCAGCTGGCCATGGTGACCTGTTTGTTCACGGCTTCAGTTTCTTCGCCTCTATCTTCTTTCACATTGGTTCTCAATCGCCTTGAATTATAGATAAAATTGACTTTGGGGTTTGCTTGAAGTACGTGTCAAGGGACAAGGGAAAATTGGGACTTGAAAAGGGCTTCCTGGGATTAAAATCAAGGTTGTGTTTGTATCTGGCTTGGCTCGAAGCAATTCCGATCAGTTGATATTTTGATGCTAAAAGGCTTTTGTAGAAGTGCAGATTCATCGATACCAAAAACTGATACCAAAAAGCGCGCGCTGACTGCTTACTCACCCTAAAAATGTCATGAAATCGACAGAATGTGTCTAGCTCATAACACTTTAGAAATGTAACCGAAGTCGAAAATTCACGGGCCTACGCACAGCTTAAGTACGATACATCGAATCCAGCTAAAAATTCCCATGCCACGAAGTAACTAAATATACGAAACACGATTTGCTATACCTACCCTTCCAATGTGCAATTTCTTTTCATGTGTAGTAGTGCCAAGAACTTTGGGGGCCTGGAACGAGCAACTGGGGTTTTCGTCAGCAGGAAACGATAAGCCGGCAAACCTATCGTTGGTACGGGGAGCTATGCATGCTTGATCAGAATATCACTCGGCTATTAAGAAATACGAACAACTCTTAAGCTAATAAATAGAGCCAGAACCAATTTAATCGAAAATGTCACAGCAGGGCCTTTCGGGACATCGAAAATTTTCGTAGAAAGAAGCCGGTGCGAAATGTCAACAAAAGCATATTCGACTCTTTTATGAATAGTATTCATTCCATTCTAAGACGCGTTTATTCAACTTTACATTCACAAACAAAGATCTTTCTTCAAAAGACTCAAAAATTTCATGGAAAAAATTCAAATTTAGGCTGCTGCTTCACTCGCTATGAGATAGTAAGGGGTGGTCGACTTCGCAGGATAGTTCCACAACTGAAGGCACAGAAACACGCTTTCTATTTGAAGAAACTTTCAAACTATCACTTTGCGTAGCTTTACTCTTTAAGCAAAAAAATACATTAAATTAAAAAAAATATTGGAAAAAGTATGCATCGTGCTGAGCAAAAGAAGGGATTCAAATTAAGATGGTGGTTTATTGTATGCATAGTGATGGGTTAAACTGAACGGGGGAAGATGCTTAACCGCAATGTGGTTGTTTAAGGCCCAACAAGGCTTTCGTAACCAACTGAAAACTCACCGTCCAAAAACTACAATATTATACAGCATTTAAACAGGTTTTTTTGAAGTACTTTATCGCTCTTTCCAAAACAGTAAGCCAAACCACAAATAAATAACCTTTCTTAATAAATATATGGCTCAATTAGATATATGTGCATGTACAAAAGAAAATTTATGCATCTTTGTCAACTGAGTGCGTTTTAATTCCACCAATTCTTTCTTTACAGTCTACAGCCTAGTGGAAATGCGATTCCTTGTAAATTTAGCCCCCTTTTGTCAAGTGAAGTATTCCGATATGTTGCAAAAAGTTCAGGGGAATCTTCAACTCAATGCGTCTTCTTCTCTATATATTATAAATAAAACAACAACAAATACTGATATTGAACTTGCTTTGTTAAACGACAGCGACACCCTGGTTGTATTGAAAGCAATAAGCACTTTCTTTAGTAGAAAACGCGATAAAAAGGGCGGATTCCTTAAAAAGACATCATTATCAATAGCATAATAACAAAAAAATGTGAGTAAACAGTAATTTACAGTAATTGGGCCTTTAACTGTGCCAACTCGTCTTTTAACCGTTAGGGTGAATGCATTTAAGGTTCACGTTTGATCGGAGATGGATGGTTTCACGTTTCGACTCCCTGTTTCCCCGATACCCCGGATTTTTCGTTGAAAAGAGGTTAACAAGTAGTGATATAATTAGGGAAAAACGAGGCTGAGATAAGAATAAGGGGCAAATAATTAGAATTGAAGTGAAATGAAGGGGTAAGCTATAAACTAACAGTGGGTGCAAGGAAGGGACAAAACATTTGAAGCTTAACCAAGCACAAATGTTCACAGGGAGGAATATGAAGCAAAAAATAGTAGCTGCATCAGGTTAGGGTGAATAATATGAATGTGTAAATCCAGGGCCGCCGAGAGCGAGACTGGGCCGGGCAACTAATACGTGTAGACCTCTTGTTTGACAACGAATGTAGGTTTCAGCATAGGACAACCAGAACGGGCTCAGGCCCCTCTGTCGGCAGTCCGGGGTAAATCAAGATGGTAGAAGATAATGGGGGGTTGTACTCAAGAGTGCAGACAAAGCTTTGTCAAAGTGCAGTGTTTGCTCTTAGTTAATCCAGTCATTGCTCCCAGACAAAGTTAATCCCTTCATTGTTTCATGGAGCAGTCAAAATCACGATACCGTATAGCTTAGCTTAACTTTAACTAGAGTTTACCTATATGATTCGCTTTGACATATTTCTATTGTCAGAAGATGGGTTTCAGCTCCCCAAGGAGTTACACAGATTGAGCTAATATCTGGTCTTGTTTCTTTTTTAAGCTTCACTATGCTCGGCTTACTAGAACTACAGATAGCACGTCAAACAGCAGTTGATGGAGCTTAAGGCTCCTGCCTTACTATATGAAACTTTCAGGGTCTCTTATGTTTCCCAACGCTATGTGTCCCCCACAGCACTGTGGTCCTGTCCCGCCTACCAATAGATCGACTATGCTGTAATAAACCATTTTGTTATGATGGCAACAAGGACTGGGTAGAAGATAGGTGTATATTATGATTATGTCAAGGGAAGGAATTATGTCACACAACTGTGACTTTGAGTGGTCTATTTTGAAGACAAAAATTCTGCAAAAGGCTGAGTCTCCTGGGAGGAGTGGTCCAATTCTATCCAAACACGAATGCCGCAAGTTGCTGCGGATTGCTGCAAGTTCTGAGAAATGACAATTTCACATACTATAAATTAAGTATCAATAGTTGCATTTTCGTTTATTTAGTAGAAAAATTTTCTTAAAATTTTCTTTTAGGAAGCGGACTGAGCTCCTTTTAAATTGGACTTTGTTTCTTAAAATTAACGAGGATTGAAAATGTTTATTTGCGAGACGAAAAAATAATTCTTGTTTTTCTTACATTAAAAATTCGGAAGGCAAGCAGTGTATTTTGCGGACTTATATCACTGGGAGCTTCATAAACTTCGAAAAATGGCGATTCCCTGAATGGTAAAGCGGTAGCGGTTTATGAATCCCCCCGTCCTCATTGAGCAAGATGCATTGAGCAACACTACACTTCCGAACAAAACATCCCGGATGAACTTGGAAAGAGAACGGGAGACTAAATCAACTTGCTTCGCGTGAATGAAAAAAAAACGTTTTTTGCATCTGAAAACGCCGAAACTTAGGCTACGTTTAGTCAATTCATGAATAACTTTGAACAGCTTCTTTCGGAACGGTTTTGGTATGCGATCTCACCAGTCCAATGTGTTCATTAACCGAGCTCTACTAATCTCACCTTACAATACGATCATTCGCGGAACGGACCTAGCCAAGAAGTATAAAACAGTCCACACAGTTTCAGATTTTCCTACCAAATATTGATAATTATTTCCCAACAAACTGCGCCTTAGAATGTGCAAAAGGATCTTGCTTTTGCTGTCGGTTAGACCCGTTTGTTTCAACTTTGTACAGTTAGGCCCGTGTTGTTTTGAGCAAGGGAAATCTCTGGCTGTTGTGAACTCTGAATAACACAACCTGTTAAGATACAAACTGGGCCTGAATTTAGCCATATACAGATCAAATGTTGAAGTGACTTTCTCAATTATGTCTGACAAAAGTGGAAAGGACCGACGCCTTTAGGAAATAAATGCCTAAACCACAACTTTTGTTAAAATTCGTCTCCGTCAGCTAGGGTAAATTTTAGACTACACTTTGGGACAGACAACAACAGCTTCCCGCGAAAAAGGATAAAAATTCGTAAAAATACAATACCCACCTACCCACCATTTTTCGTATTCGATCTATTCAGTGTAGGAGTTGTTTTAAAACCGGAGGGCAACCAACAAACGCGGTCAATTTACACAATGAGCGTGGAAAAAAATGGTCTGGGGCGAGATACCTATGTGTCGTCATCAGGAACCAAATATGGGGCATCATGAACAATAACACAGAATTTAATACTTGGAGACAAGTTCGAAGAAGCAAATGCTTTGGTGACGTAATTCAGTGTGAATGTTGAAACCCAAAAAGCACGATAGCAACACTTCAACATACACATTGTGTTATAATTAATAGTCTTTCAATATAAATAAAAAAATTCTTCGAAAAATAGCACTTAGTTCATTAGGTAGCATGACCTAATTCTCAACTTATCAGGTATCACAAGCAAAGTTCACATCTATCTCAACGCCTCATTTTTAGTGTCTTTTTGTACACGAAGACCAAGCAAAATTAAATATGTGCACCTTCACTTTCGATTAATAAATTGATTGATTGATAATGATTGACAAATAATCATCGTTTTTGAAACACGTGCCAAAATTATTCGAGATTGGTATGTTAAAACTAGGCTTCTTCTTTCTCGATTTTGGTCACATAAACGAAAATATGCTAAAGATGGTGAGAGATTCTTCACAGCAAAGAGCCTCGCCTTCCTACCAGCCCCCCCCCCCCCAATACATACGAAATTTGTTCTGAAGCCCTTTTGACAGATTTGTAAATCGATCGTCATCCTTCGAAGAAAATGGTTACCATAAAAGAAATATCCAGACATTTTCAGTCATAACGCCAACATGACCAAAATAGGCTGACGCTCAAATTTCCCTATGCAAAGAAACCTTCTAGAAGAAATGAAGCAGCCAAGGTCAAGTGGGATGTGGGGTAATAATAACGCCTTTAATTGAAGAATAGGATAAGGGACGAGTGAGCAAAAGGAAAAAAGGATGCAGATGCAGAGGCACCTTATGCCAGCAAACTACGGCCTTTACAAAATCGAAACATCATCAAATCTGCGTACCATCATTCAGCTTAAGTTCATTCAAGCGTTCATCCAAGCTTTTGTCCCAAGAATCATTACCAGATCTACCAAATCTCGCACAATTTGAGACGAATAACCAATAAAAAAACAAACTAGATTTTGGTGCACTATCATGCCAATACCAAAGTGCGGACCATCTATTGCCGACACTGTGGTGTCAGCCAAATCGGTTTCTTTAAACTCCTTTCAAGAACAAACCAGCTAGTTAAAAAACAGTCCAACTTACAAAAGTTAAAAGGAGAATATCTCAATTTTGTAAATAGAAAACTCAATTCAGCATATACTTTCATTAAGTTATTAAACTGAATCTGAAATACAACATTAGACAGTGGCGTAACGGAGGCATCTGGAGCCCTAAGTCCCATTAAAGGGCGTTGAAAATCTCAATTTTCTCGTTAACTAGTAGAAGTTGAGTTATAAAAGGTTCAGTTGAGAGCTTTAAAAGTTCTTGAAAATGATATGGACATCAGCGAAGTCTTAAAAACATGGATATGAATATAATTTGGGGCCCCTTTTCATGTGGGGGCCCTCGGGTATCAAACTACGGTGCCATAAACTGCGTAATGTCACCGACATTAGATCGCTTGCTGCTTCTGGACTTCAGAAATATTGATCAACTCAGCGTTTAGTACATGTCTTAGCGTTACAGTCTAGAGTTTTGAAGTCCTTCACAAGTGTTAATCTCAACTCTCAATGAAAAAGAGTGTACGATAAAACAAACGACACACTGTCATCAAAACAAAATTTGTTTATGCGTTTATCTCTCATTTTTGCAGAGTGAGAGCTTCTTTAATTCCATATCAGGCACCGCCGAGCGTTGAGAATAGTGGGGGGTCTAAAAAAGTGGGGGGAGCTAAAACCGAATAGAAAGAGGCTTTACTGGTAGTTTACTATTTAATATTTGGCATTTTTTGCAAAAAGTGGGGGGGCTAAAGCCCCCTAGCCCCCTGCTCCGTGGTGCCTGAGTGTCACTCCAGTTTTCATTATTTTTCTTCAATTTTGTTAGCTAAGACGATAGGAAGACTGACATTAAAAAAAAGGAGTTGCTTAAATCACCATAATGTAAAACTCTGTCCAGTTCTAGTAAAAGTCTAGTAGACTGCCCATTTGAAAAGTCCAATCATATCCCGATCCAAATTTGTCAAGTACCCTTGGAAAAAGAAGTAAGTCTCACATCAAGTGCCCCCCTCATAGGCCCAATTAGTTGGTAATAATTTCCTTTTGTGCCTAAAATTCCTCTTTTTGAAATTGAAATATTCAATTCAATGGGTTGTTTCAATGCAGTAACATTTTCTCCCGTTTGAAATCAAAAGGCTTTTCGATGGGAGTGGATGACCAGAGAAACCACTTTATGCTTTATAAGGGATTTGGAAACATTTTTGGCTGCTGAACGTGTATTTAAAACTGATTATAGAAACCGGAGGGACTTTCCACTTAATGTTTGAGTTTCTACTTAATTTTCACGAAGTCGATTAAGGGAGTCGATATTGAATTGTTTTTGGTGGCTTTTTGCTAATATCTATCAAGTAAAATTATAAAATTAGTTCTGGCAATTTATCTTGCTAGTGATAAACGACATCAGAAGTTTATAATAGGCGTCGGAAGCATTTCATAGTCTTCGGAGCACAAGTAAGAAGGACACTGTGTCTCGGAAACAGGGCACTTTCTCAAGGGTTGCTGATAAGGTGCTTCTAAGAATAAGAAAAAGGGACATTTTTCAAAAGTTGGGGGTACATGCTTTTGGGGCTCGCCCAGTGCCGCCCCTCGGACATATGCAACGTTTGTAAACCTGCGTAAAGGTTGATACCCTGGGTACCAGAGCCGCAAATATTTAACGGCAGCAAAAAATAATGCAGCTCTCATTATTTTTTGCTGCCGTTAAATTTTTGCGTCTCTGGTACCCAGGGTAATAGGTTGTGCGAACTTAGCGACGACAGGTCCTAAGTATTCGAAAATCTTTCTCTCTACGGTGTGAATCTGGGTGTAAAACGCTGGTAGAAAGAAGTAGAAGCAATTTCTTTAGGACGTTCTGTCGGGCAAAGCAGAAGTATAGCATATTTTATGGCAGGTAAAAAGAAGGCAAATGGTTGGCAAAATTCCCTTTGCCATACCACAGGATGGTACTCAGCATTCCTCCGTAGTTTTTGCTATCTACCTGACCAAAAAGTAATGGTTTATGCACGCATTAATCATTAAGATATTCATAAGATAATGAATTAGAATAAGAATGAGTCACGAAAGATATTTCATAACATAACGCACCTTGGGAACCTCGTTATAACCTCAGGCCTTAGGGAATCCCCTTATACCAGCGCTTTGTTTGGCAGCTGCGTGGATTTTACGAGATTATATCTACTCTTTTATTACCGATGCTCGCATCCTGACAAAGATATATCAGAAGGCATAGATTATTCTGTTCAAACAATCGTCGTTCTTCTTTCAGCATGTGCACTTGTATCTTCCCTCCTTCAACTGCGTCAAAATCGACGAAATTCCTGCGCAGCGGCCTACTTCTACAGATCTCGAACAACAGATTGTAACTTCACCAAAATCTCTCCTTTCCATAAAACCATTATTATTTGAAAACTTCATTAAAATATATGTAGAAAATATTCAGAATCTACATTAACCCTCGATACAGCGGGGCGTTCAACTCTAAATGTCTTATTTGGGTTCCGGGGGTGTGGAACTTGTGTTTGCAAGCCATTGAAGGGTGGCATTGACAAGAACTATCCTTGACCAAAATGGGGAACTCGACTTTTCTGAGTATGTAACTTATTAACTTATGGGAATGTGTCCCTTTCACGCCACTGCGGCTCAGTTATAAAAGTAATCGAAATTTAATGAAGGCGACGGCCATTGTGAGCCACGCATCCAATAGCAGCAATCCTTCATCTCAAAACTTACCCGCACGAAATCCTGAAACTGAGATCTTGTCGTTAGTTTTAACTATCATTTATATGAAGAATAAGAAAACTCGCAGGTTTTAGGATGGCAGTGTTGTCTCTTTGATTAACCAATGTACAACAACGTTACGTAATCACCAAAAGCTGAAACACAACAATGGCCTAGGCCAGCATGCTCAAATAGCCAATTCATCAAATCTCCAAAGAGTGGTGGTTTGAGACTATTTTTCTGTTTATTTCAAACTCTCATTGAAGCTTCTGGAAAACACATTAATGGAATAAATACTTACACATTGATTTACTGTCTCTGGTTTCCCTTTGAAGCGGTTTTCCCCATAAACTTCGGAATGTGTTGTGAACAGAGAGTTGAATGAGTGTACCATGCGCAATCATGCAGAACGACTCAAACTGTTAGGCCCAACTTTCGACGTTGAACTGAAAAAAGATCGACAGAAACCTTTAGTACTTTATCTTGTCGATTGCGATTCTTTATCAATTACAAATGCCACTTATAATCTCAGTATTGCTGTTTTGGCAGCAAAACTTAGCGAAATATAATCAATTATTTCGCAGTGTAAAAGAAAAAATTCGAATTCGCTGTCGACAGGTTTACTTCGTTGATCGCTTGTCAGTCAAAGGCATTATGGATGCTCGGCCTAGCACGCTGACATTCCGTTTTCTGTTCGCTGAAAAAGCTGTTTGATACTGGGCAACCTTTGCATCCTAAAACATGTATTAAATACCTAAACATACATCCGTGAAATGATACAGCTGTTTAGTTTACTTGGTGGGCAATCGCTTTTATTTCATCTCGATTTCAATGGAAGTTCGCATCAAAAACTGATTTGGGACTCGTCACATTCCATTCCTTCTCGAATAACTTGCCACCTCTTTCAGTTGCGTAGTCCTTCGCACTTAAATAAAAAATTCAAACAAGAACACGATATCTTCAAGAATTGAATTTCGAGGTATTTCGAGGAATTTGTACTTTACATATAAACATGTATTCACAAACATCGTATTTTCAAAAATTTTGGAAATCTCTGATTTTAGCCTAGACAATAAGTTGTGTTTTGAACACGGTAACTATATTGCTTCTGTGTATAAAAATTCTATAGGTAAGTAAAAATATTTACATTTATGATAACAAAGGACAAAAAGATTTAAAAGTTCTCGATTGATAATCTATGGCTATGGTAAGGCAAATATACATACATGACAGAGATTTCGTACGCTGGAAAAATTTCACTGAGTGGCTGCTACGGACTTAACAGGAATTTTTGGTTCTCGAATTTTAAATGATAAGTGCATCAGAATAGATATTTCAAAAAATTTATTCCGGTCGATTCTGAAAATATTATCCTAGAATAAATAACAGTGAATTAAATGTGCCAAGGTCAAACGACAAAAATATGTCGCACTAAAAGATTTGTTAAATGTTCTGAACTCGTAAAACGGTGTTCGTAAGAAGAGTCTAAGAAAAAAAGGAAAATAATTCCCATGTTTCTTTTTATTCATTAATAATTTCTACAACCTTACACTTTCGCTACTTAAAGTCTTTAACAACACAGAGAAGAATGGAATTTCTACGACGAAATAATGGTTAAATCTCAAAAGAATTAAAGCATGAAATACAATTACAACCTTTTGTTCGCTACAAATCTTTATAACATATAAAATGCATTTAAAATATACAGTGTGCACAATATACCGCGGTAATGCATGCATTTTCCCAAATATTATACAAATCGAGGGGCGGAAACAAACTCAGAATAATGAGGAAAACCATGCTTCCCGAAAACTACGTGTATTTGTAAGCATGGCACGGAGACTTCCACAAATCTTGAACGCATAAGTGCTTCAAAATTGTTAGAAAAATGACATAGTCGAAAGCTTGCAGGCAACTTATTCTGGCTGTATGATGTTTAATAACATGATGAAATTGTTGTTGGGTTTTTACAAAAACAACTTTAACCGTTCTATAAGGGTCCCACAATACGTTATACAAGTTATAAAATACTCCTTTTGTTGTTCATATGCATTTCAACATACTGATGAGCTTCAGTATAATAATAACTGCAGTCAAGAACAAAATTTAACATAGGATTTATTGGAAAGTGAAATGAGAACATTGAAAAAGTAAACTTTCGAATTAATAAAAGACTTTAATAGATAAAAATGTCATATCTTCACGAAATATATCAAATGCGCAGATATTAAAATCAAATAACGTAAATAGCGGGGATGGTCAAAAATGGATCCATCAATAATGAAGAGGTAGTTGAGTGACAGGCTTTTTGATAACCAATGCAAATACAAATATCCTAAGGGAATAGGGTACAGGGGGGGCGGGTACGTTTTCTTTCAGGGTTTTACTGAAGGATATCAACGTTCACAAGAACCTTTCAATAATAAAAAAACACTTTGTCAAAACGGTTTAAATGTCAAAATATTTCCCAAGCATCGAAATAACGACAACAATTTTTTTTCACTAGAAATAGCCAAGCCCTGTGTATGTTTTGATCTGCAGAAAAACCTGGCAACAATTTAAACAGATGCTGATTTTTAATAAAATGTAATCAACATAGAGTTTAATCAATGCTCCGTTAACGAGAGATACAAACATTTGCAGTAAGGTACCCTAGCTGAGTTAAATTCTCATTGTTTATTAAAATTCATTTCTAAATACCTAGACGTAGTTCATGTTGGAACTTGGCAGCTTCGCAAACGTTGACGATCAGAATTTTTGATGTTTAAAAGCCAATGTGATTGACTCGTACAAACAAAGCTTAATTTTCTTATAAACGTTTGAATGATAGGGTTAGAGCATGCGATTTCTATGGGTTGAGATGAATCTAAGAAGGAACTTCGAAATGCCATCAAAATCCACTAGAGAACGAGAGCTATATAATGCAGTTATCGAATCCAGAATGCCTCGTAGTTGCAGAATTTAAGTGTTGCAGAACTAAAATAATAATTAGCATACTCTCAGTTCCAATCTGGCAATAATATAACAATTTCGTTGTTCGAACACCAGACTTTGAACGAAAAATCCCAGCAGTTTTCATCAAGTAAATCCAAAGACTGCAGACCAGCAAAGGGTAACTTGCATGGAACGTACAGCTACTTGTGCCAGCTTCGAGTATTTGTATCTACTGCGTTTTGTGTATGATTTGAGCAGACTGCAGCCAGGCAAAATCTACTTGACTGACCTCGCTTATACACATAGACTCGTTCACATTCAAACCACGAATAACGGGTTAGGTAAACACGCATGATGAGCTTTTAATAGTGAAGTGACTTTGGTCTTTCTACTGTTCGTGAAGCGTTGCGGGGCAGCGAGTAATAATTGTTAGTATTAGCTTGGCCATTTGGCGTCTTTTCTTCCCCTAAAAAAGACAAAACTTGCAAATATCTATATTTGACATAAAGGCAAAAAAATTGTTCCAATGGCCTAAAAGGTAATCATTCACCATAGCTAAACAGGAAGGGTTGAATGGTCACGGTATCAAGTCTACGGCGTAAGATTTGAAAAATTAACATGGAAACATAAAATGACAATATTATACTAATAAAACACAATTGCAAATTGCAATTGCAAATACGATTTCATAATTCTCATTCCATTCGCTTAATAATTTGACAGCATTAGTTTTGAAAGTGATAAACATCATATGATAAACATTATACTCTCAAATACCCTGGATACTTGTCCATAGCTGTGCTCCTTTTTCTTGCAGAATTTAATTATCCATACGCTTTTGTGATTCTATGTTCTAAGCGTAGTCTGTTGCTTATATGCTAAAGCATCGCCAACTTGAAGGAAAAACTACATGGGAAATGTCTCTTACCTGGCACTCGAGGATTCAGTGGTCTTCGAATGTAAAGTTTGACTTTATCAGAACATAACCTAATCATATTCACTGCTTCTGCGTGAGTCATTGCCTCTGAACCGCGGCCATTAATCTCCAAAATTTCGTCACCAACCTATAAAACAAAACAAAGCTTCATTTAACATCAACTTCATAGATGCTTTGCTGTTGGACTGAAAAACTGCACTTTGGCTATGAAGAAACTCAGCTAAGAACACTTTTTTCAGCGACGATGATCTCCCAACTTAATATCTCAAGGCTATGCGGGTAGCAAGGAAAGGCTGGCAACTTGCAAGACTGGGTCAGAAACCAAATCGGATATCGACTTTGTTCTTGCAGCAGAATAGTTTTCCTGAGCAGTCAAATGATGCATAAAGTAGTAAAAGCCTCATGCGTGACACTATGGTTTCATTTTCAGACGAGACGAGACCAGCATCCTATGGCTGACCCTGGAATGTGTACTTTATGCATGAAGCCCGATAAACGATAAAGTGGCAGGAATACTTTAGAAGGCAAAGAAGCTCAGTAAAGAGTGCTGTTAACATTTTGCCATTTCTTGTTGATATAATAAGCAGTAAAGACACATCTGTGAAGGCTTTCTACTTTCTTATACAAAATATCCTATCCGTCAATAATCGATAGATTTGTCACGTGCTAGTAATTTGCTGCTGAAAAAGATCGCTTTTCTACTGATGACAGTTTATAAAATCATCCGAATAATTCAAGAGCTTTTCCCTAAAACTTTCCACCCATTGTTGCTTGGAGATCTCATCTCTTCGCAATCCCTGCAAAGATTCTCTCTCAAATTTTCTAGATAGAAAATCCTTTTCAAAATGCATTCATAGACAAAAACCGTGTTGCAATCCGATAATTCGCCAATAACAGCTTAGTTTTACTTTATGGGCAACTAAAATCCTTTGCTGACTTTCCCAAATCTCGGTCAGCTCAGGAAACAAGCCACGGAAACAATAAATGCACATCTTTATTTTGACGAATAAAACACATACCTTAAGTCTTCCATCTTCGTGGGCTGCTCCACCTTCTGCCACTCTTAAAACATACAACGAAATGCCTTCACCACCTCGTATACTGAATCCAAAGCCACGGTCTTTCTTTGTTAAAGTTACTTCAGCTTTCTCCCCCGGATTAATTTTACGAATAGCGACAATTGACTTTCGTTCTTCTCTAGTCAATGTCGAAGTTGTTGAAACGTTGCCTACGGACGGGTGTCGCTGCGGTGCTGGAACACTCGTCATTTTAATGCTTTCGACTCGCACTTTCTGAGGTTGTGGCCGAGATTCATACCTAATTGATAAAATAAATGTGATCGTATTGTGGGAAACCATGAAACAAGCCATGGAATAGCAGGCCCTAGTAAAAGAGGTTATCAAAGGCTTTGTTGCTGTATCTCCAGTTAATAAATAATTCAATAATGATTCTTTGCTCTTAGTTTAGTCTTAGTCTATGCCTGAAAAATCCCATTTTAATAAAACGACAGAATTAGAATGCAGGCGTTGTCAGCAAGAGAAGAAAATATTTTTCTTTGAGGTAATACCAACCAAATCGAAAACTTGTTCTGTAAAGAATACAGCTTTTTCTTGAAAAAACCTGATACCAGAAACTTCGAAATGCTAAATTGCATGACCAGCTTCGAAATTCAAGAACTATTATATTTGGAGAACATACGATCAGAAGCTTTGCTTGACATTTTTTATTGCCTGATTTCCACATGATGTTTTTCGCTAGATATGAGTAGCTAGAATAATTCCTGGTGCATACTCAATTCAAGTTTCGGATGTCAATTGAAACTTATTGCAACAAGAAGGACATTGAAACAGTAATGATTTCCATTCAGCCTATGTTTTGAATATTGCAAGACCCGAGATAAGCATTTGGAAAATCCTTAAAAATGCAACAACAGCCAAAGCGGTCTTACCCATTTTCTCGTCCCTCTCTCGTTCTTCCTAGCGTAGCGTATCTCTGATCCGGTACTGTTCTTGTCTCCTGAGAATTGTTATTCCTCGGGTCAAACAAGGGGGCTGACTTTGGTCTCTCTTGCAGTTCTCGAATTCGAGCTTCTTCCAACCTTCGCGCATCTTCCAGTTGCCTCTGCTAGAAAGGATCAAAAGTGAGGTTTAGAAGTCGATACAGCTGGTTTAGTCAACACAAAAAGTCTTGGAACGGCGATATCAGTTCACAAGGCAGAACTTAACTATCCTTCTATCACCTTTGGCTTGCTACAAAGCATCGTTTGAGTTAAGAAGTAAGTTTTTGCAGAATAGTATGGACTCACTATAACTGCCAAAAAAGATTTCAAGGAAAGGCGAGCAAAACTGGTAGTATTTGAGAAAAGGAACGAAAAACATGAAATCAAGATTCAATGAGCCACTGAGTTTCCAAGCAGTGGTGTGGTGGCATACATCATAAGAATTTTGTCGCGGTTTTAGATATATTCCTAATAGAATGGCATATAAAAAACCTCGTGAGCAATTTATGAAGCCTATAGCAGATTCACAAAACAAACGCAAAAATCCCCGCAGCGCTTATCACTATCAAAACGCTTTTGCGAACAAAAATCCATAATCCGATTGGAAATGAAACCTATGTAAACAGACAAAACATCCATGCAGTATTGTCAAAATTCATTCGACAAAAATGAGAGTATCGTGCAAACAGTCATAAACTGCATACTGCCGATTTGATTTAAAACAATGTAAACAGGATCTTTAAAGATGTTATTGTGATAGAAAAAATTAATAGGCCTCACCTCATTGGCAACATCACCTTCAGATCTGCTTGCAGGTCGACTGTTTCCTAAAACAAGGCATGAAATCTTGAAAAAAGATGAAAAATCTACAGAATTATGTCAACGATAAGTACAACAAGATTGTTTCTCTTCAGGGGTGTCGAAATCGAGGGGGCATCAGGAGAAGTGCCAACAAATTTTTAAAAATACCCTTTTTCTAGACAGTAGTCTATTTGGAAAAGTGCACCCTTTCTGTGACATGGTACCCCTTCCAACCTGTGCCCCTTCAAATATGAAACGGTTTCGCTGTTCATCTTAGTGGAAATACAAATGTTTTTGAAATACCTGGCCTGGCAATCTTTAGCCTGACAGTATTTCCCGAGTTCTTGACCATCCCAACAATATCACCGTGAGGCAGATCAGCGACGTTTGTGCCATTGATCTCTAAGATGCGGTCGTCGATATTTAACTGACCAGAACGAGCTGCCGGACTGCCATCTATCATGCGTCCTGTAAGAAGACGAACGTTTCAAGCACTCAATCATTTTATGGAGCAATGTAGCTCGTGAATACAGGGCCTGGGTTTTTTAAACATCGCATTTTCATTCAGAAAGGCAAATTTACTGAAAAAAATTCTTGAGCTTTCCCAAAAATCACAGCCGCGAATAATGTCTATTGGAAAAGCTTTTAACGGGTTAGGGTACAATACAACAGATAAGACAAATTAAGAAAAGATACAAATTATCAATTAACATGAATCTATACAAATAAAATTCACAGTTTAAGAAACAATAAATGCTCAGCCCGACTCAAGAAAAATCGCTCCTTTCTACTACAACTACAATGGCCGAAAATAGTAGTTGAAACACCGAGACTGCCTTTACTAATTTTAGTTGCCTTTTATTTTTCTATTTCAAATGGACTGATCCCCCTCTCCAACACTGTTTAAGGCGGGGGAGGGGGGCATTGAATGGGGAAGATGATGAGGGTGTTCCAGCACTTTTGGCGGGCATTGTAGTTTTCCACAAAACCCAGGACGACTACAAAAAACTCCTATCTTTTTGTTCAAAACCACTTGCTATTCATTCAATCCTTTCAAAAAAACACTTGGATTCATGCGATCTCATAATGTGACATCTACCATGTCATTTGCGAAACAAAACGTGAAAAAAACGTACCAATAACAGAGCCTTTGGAATTCTGCGAGGAAAATATGACGAACCCGAATCCTTCGTTGAAATTTCTGGTTAAGGTTACTTCCTTGACTGGTTTCTGGAGTACTTTGGGCTTCGGTGCAATTGGTGGCGGTTTTGCTTTCTGTTGTCCATCTCTCATATCTTGAAGTGCTGCCGTACTCTTTGCTTTTGTTCCCATTCCTTCACGCATTCTATCGCCATTAAGCTGGCTCATAGTCTCATTTGGTATGCCATCCGCAAGCGACTTTGGCCGCTGTCGTCTCCCCTGTGCATTTGCATTCAAGCCACGGTCATTAACAAGTGCTTTAGGCCTACTGTCTTCTTGGCTTCTGACAATGTTATCAGGCTGACGATCGTATTCGGACTGATATGGGTGTTGGCTTTGAACTGAAAACCAATATACAAAACTCTTATTCTGCCTAGTTCTAAATAATGATTGTTAGGTGCTGGGAAGACAATTTGAATGTAACCTCACCAAGGTAACTTAACTTCATAAAAACGAATAACACTTGATACTTTCAAAAGTATCTAATCCTGTTGGCATAAATAAGTTAACTCTCTCAGTTACATTTAAAAAAAGGAAATGCTTTGATGAAATCTAGTTAAAATAATAAATGGTAGCAGAAATCATGACAACAAAAGATCCTCCAACGAACAACGTTGTCCCTCGAACACAATGACATATTTCACCCGATAGTTACTTTTTGCTTTTACTTTCAATAAAATTTGGTTTCGTATAAATTTCCTCACTTCATAAGACTAATATCGGGTTATAAATGGTCGATCATCTTATAAGATACAATTTTGATGAACAAAAAGATATAATTTTAATCAACACATTAAATAACGCTCTATTGAAATTAGGAACGGCAACAACAATTTCAATCTGGGTATTTGATTGCTTAAAAAACTATCTATTACCTCCGTTTTGAAGGATATGAGGCTGTTCTTGAACACGAGGTTGTTCTTGGGCACGAGGGTACTGTTGAACATGAGGCTGTTCTAGGTCACGGGGTTGCACTTGGGCACGATCTTCTACATGAGGCTGTTGTTCTGAAGCACCTCTGTTGTATGGTTCCCTGTGATCGTCGTCCCTTTCGTTGTCTCGTTGTGACCCTGACCTCGTATCACGTGGCAGTGTGCGAGATTGGTGGCTAAAACTACCTGCCTCACTTCGACGCTCCTCTCTAACAGAAGGCTGAGATGAAGACCGAACTGGCGGAGGTGGTTTGGCGGCCAAAGGCCAATCGTGGCGGTCGCGAACTGGCGGCTTTTCTAAATACCAAACAAACGAAATAAAATATAATCGAGATATTCAAAATGTCAGCTGTTATAGAAATTCTAATGTAAAAAATCAAAAGAGGCTCGAAAATACCGAAACTGTAGTAATATGGTACCGTATTTCAAATTTGAACTAAGGATCCACAAAATTTTCCTTGTATCTTTCGAACAAAAGTTTTTCAGAAATGAAATTTGAGTAAAATCGTCTATGGGTTGATCTTTGTGCTTTGTCAGGACAAAAGAAATATACAAGCACAGAGGTCAATTCCTCTTACTTTACATATTCTTGTATCTTTATATACTCAAAACTACTGTATCGTCGGATAACCTTCCTCCGGCTCACAGCCGTGGAAAAGTAATATTTTCTAGACTCTGATCAATTCTATGATTATTAATAGAATTCCTTAAGTCTTAAATACAAAAAAACGTACCCTCTCGAGCAACGACAGGCTTTTTCCGCCGTACCCGAAGCGTTACTTGGCCATTTCTTCCCGCGTTGCTCATCAGTGTTATGACCCGCTGGTGAGATGCACCAACCGCACTTATTCCGTCAACAGCTAAGATGAGATCGCCTTCACGCAGCCGACCATCGCGATCAGCAGCGCCGTTAGCGACAATCGTATCAAGGGAAACCTTGTCAATGAAGAGAGAATTTCAGATCGAGATCTCGACGCCTCAAAAAAGCGAGGCAAGTAGGATCTTGGTTAACTCAAACGTACAACAAAAAGAAAGCTAACAAAGATGTATTAATATTCATAATTTGAAGATGTAAGATTGAAACATAATAAATACATTCTAATTTAGGTCATAATAAATTGAAAACATTAAACTTTAGATAATAGATTTAAAACAATTGGAAAATTTAGTTTAAAAATTATTTGAGCTTCTAAACTGAATTTCAGGTTTGTAAACGCCTTGAAACATTGCAGCATCTAAATAAACTAAGGAAAGAGATAGTAACAGTTCTAAATAAAAAAAAAATTACATTAATGGAATGATGCAAAATTGAAAAATTGCAACAGAATTCCGTTTCAGTATATCGCCATCATGTTCAGACGTGCCCACTAGCTCAAGGCCTCGTGTTTATAAAAAATAAAGATTATTACCTGAGTCCCTTCTTCCTGGCCTCCAACTATTCTGAATCCGAATCCTCGTTCATCTCGTTTTAATGTTATGACATGATCCACCGTTTCATCTTCAGGCATTTCATCAGCTGGCTGCCGCATAGGTTCCCGCGTATGCTCCCGCGCTGGTTCTGCGTGTCTGAGGTCTCGAGCCTCGTAACTGAACTGATCCTGGGTGCTCTCTCCAGTTGAGGCTATCACATTTCCAATACTGGAGCTTGAGCGCAGTGGTTCGTTTTGTTGCTTTACTTTGACTTGCTCATCATCAAGGTTTGGCATGGATTTCGGTCTTGACTGCCTGTATGAGTCGCGTTGATCTCTCCGCACCGGAGGAGTCTGCGCCCCGCGTGGAACCACAGTTGTCAACATGCCTAAAACAGCAAAGATAGTTTAGTAACAAATGGCATACTTATCAAAGAATGGATGCTGACATATTAAAATCATCAAATTTTGCGTCTAGAAAATAATTTATGAAATCAATTCGGACCGGAAAAGGTGATTTCTTGCTTTTGCAATCGGATTTAAATAAAAAAGGATTATTTACATTCTTGCATTCCGGAACGAAGTAGTGGATCAAATATGAAGTTTCTGGTAGCTGATTTCGCTTCTAATCGGAAAATGGAAAAGCCAAGCTTCAATTCCAGGCATTTTTACCGAAAAGTTGCACGATGGATAAAAGTATGGTGTTTAACGACGATGATTCACAGTTTCAAAAATTCAATGGCAATGACCATTTGAAATTGAAATCGTTGTAAAGTTATCTTAGTGAAAGATTCAACAGAGTGTGAAGAATGGCTCCAAGTGTTTGTTTTTTCTGGGAACTTATTAAATGGGGAAAAAAGTTTATGTCAGATGAAAATATAGCATCGAATAGTTTCGCAAAAGTGGACATTAAGTAACTTTTAGGGAAATTTAATTGATTAAATTCATCTAATATGGTGTCATTGAACACGAGTCGTCTTTCTTGGTATTGGGGTGTATTTTCGTACATAACAAAGTCTATTAAAAAAAATGATTAAATTATCTTGCTTGAGCTCAATTTTCTGATTGTGCTAGTATAGTTTTATTATGGTGATAATTTTTGCGCCAACTCTGACAATTTCTATGAGTGAGGTTTTCCAGGCCCTGAAATATTTTCCGGCTCGAAAGCCCTTAGTCTATAATGACAAAGCATCCAAGAAACTCTATGTTCTAACAATCGCCAATCAAGGAATAAAGCACGGAACACGCTGAACAGACTAAGTAATGGATTATTCAAACAGGATTATTCTATAAGAAAAACAAATTACCTCCTCTTTGCAATACAAATTCAGAAGGTGCATTTTGAGGACATCCCTTCAGGCAATTAACAACATCAGAGTGATCGATATTCCTTACAACTCTGCCATTAATCTCAACCAACAAATCTCCTTCTTGTAGGCCACGACATCGTTGTCTGTCAATTATCTCCTTGACACGTTGTCCATACTGGCTATCGGCAATTGTGAATCCAAATCCTTTTGCCCCACGTATTATCGAAAGCCTAACGTACCGACCGGGTGAGGACGGGCCAAGCTGAGGTGCCGAGACAACAGATGCCCGGCCAACACTATCCTGACGTTCGAATCTCCGTTGTTCCATTGCTCTGGCTCGTTGGTTCCGGTCATCCTCATAGCCCGGTGATTGTTGATTCAAACCTAACTGACTGGAAGAATTTGATGCTAAACTCTGGTTTGAGTTCCTCAAGTCATAATTACCATTGACTTTCTCAGGCACAGGATGCCCAGAGTTGCCCACTATTTTCTTTACGTTCGCATCTTCGGGATTAAAGGGCAGCGGCCTGCCTCTGACGACATCTATTTCAACCAAATCCCCAGCCTAGAAATAGGAATCATAATAATGTACGAAGCTGATAAACAGAATTTATGGAGATTAACACCTTCCTAAATGATAAATACAAATTTATAAACATGAGCAAAGAGGGTACCGAGAATCCAGGTTTGCTAGAAAAGCATTGAACGAGCGACAAACTCTCACCTTTGTTGCTTGCAACCATCGAACAATGTCCTGGTGCGTCCATGTTAATATATTCCTTCCATTAAGCCTAATAATTGTATCCCCAGTCTTTAATCTCCCATCCAAGGCAGCTACTCCGCCTCTGACAATGTTATTTACTTGCAAAGCCTGGCCACTTCTCTCTCCACCAACAATCGTAAATCCGAATCCCTTTGGTCCTTTGCGTAGGCCCACTCTCATTGTTTCACCTGAAAGCTCTTCGGGATCAAAGACGGATTCAGACTTTCTCTGGGTGCCTCTGTAAAGTAAATGAGCTAATGGCTGAATTTCTTTTTGTGTATTCAAGAAAATTTCATTCTTTGACGAAAAGGAAAGCTTATAGCTAATCGAATAAGTAAAATCATGGGCATAAAAGATAATACAAAGGGCAGTTTTTCATAAAATATGAAAAACCACTTCGTTCCAAAACAAAAAGACCCATTAACAATGAATCAGCTTTTACAAAAAAATAATCAAGACCCTGTGTAAGCGGTTTTAAGAGTGACCTTTAACAGATGGGCTATCATCAGTATTTAACATGTTTACAGCCCAGAGTGGGAGATTAGCTAGTAACTTTATAAAGCGGACAAAACAAGACACAAGCATTGTCGAAAGCAAGAGACAAACATTGTGACCAAATGCAAAACCCAGGAAGAACTTGAAAAACAATGCCTTTGAAATATCATTATTTTAGATCGAAATGTTAAAACTACTTTCCTTTATATTCTGGTAGCTTGGTACCTTTATTGAGTTTAAAAACTATAATTAAAAACACACATACACGATTATAATGTGTTCTTAGGATTCTGGCAACCCTTCAGCATCCTACTCAGTAAGAATAGCTATCTTTAATACTGTATTTTTGAAAAGCTAAGAAAACATTGTTGATCAGTAAATGCAAAGAACTAAAACTAGAGAGCATTATCAAAAATTGAGCATTGTTTTGGTGTCGAGGTTCTGGATAAAAACAACAAACATGGGGTTTTCTAACATGCAAGGAAATTGAAAATGATAATGATCACCTATGTATGGAATTCTGTTACTTGCTACTGGGAAATTGAAAATGATAATGGAATTCTGTTACTTTCTACTGGGCAGATGACTTTGTGAAATGAATAACTTTAGTCAAACGGAGATTCACGCCTTTTTCAACAGATATGGGAGCTTCAGTTTACTGGTTCCTTGACCCGTCGTGCAAAAAAATTTGTTTTCTGTAATAATAGCTACAGAAGCAATTCCTTCAATGTCATGTAAAAATATAAAAACACAAGACGCACCGGTCGTCGTCTCTGTTGATTGTACTAACAGACCGCATACTGACTTTACTTGGTCGACGCCTTGAGCTATCCACTTGGGCTTTGGTTGGTTTTTCATACTGAGTACGTCGGTTCACGTGACTAAAGCGATAAGAATAGTTGAAACCGCAATGAAAAAAGATTGATTTGCCTAATTAAACAACTGTGTATGTGGGAGCGTGATGACGGGGCAGAGGGTACAATAGACGAATAGATTTAAGGTGAGGCTTCGTCACTATAGTTTTTTCTTTTTAGATTCTTAAGCTCTTCAGGTCGTTATTTTTCATTTAAAGCAGTTCCCATAGATGAGCACAGGGGCATTGTGGTTTTAGCTCCGGAGAGGGGGGCATACCTGATCAAAACTCTATGAAAAGGGTGTGTCACACTTCAGTGTTGCATATCAGGGTAGTAAAATAGTTGCATATCAGGGTAGTAATGATAATTAAAGAAAAGCTTAAGATGTTTTTTTATTGAACAAAATAATTTTGACATACGAAACAAAACTAAAATCTGTTCCTAAGCGCTTCAAATTTAGCAAAAACAGAATTCGAAGTCCATCCGATAAAATTCAGAAATTTTCAACAGACTGAACTTCGCCCCTCCCCTTCTCTTTCCTTTGCCCCTCCAGTGACACCACTGGGGAACGTGGGCAGCAATGCAAGAAAAAATTGCGTTGAACAGAACTTACTCGATGTAGTAGGTGCCATATTTTTGATCGTCAATCCGCTCCCAGCCATCTGGTAGATCTGAAACAGCAAATTACAAACGTAAAAAAAATCAATTGTGCTTTAAGAATTGCAGCAAATTGTTACAAAATAGACTCGAGTTAACAAAAAATTACTAGACTAAAATACATTGTTTGATGCATTTCCATATTGAATGAAATGATCTCGTATTCTCAAGGTACTTGTACTCTCGTATTCTCAATTTCAAGGTGCTTCTCAAGGTAGGGGTCTATTTGCATTTCAAGTGAAGTCTATTTTTGAGTTACGTTAGCTACCTTGAAACTGGAATTAGAAATACTCTAGCTATTAAGGAAGAAGCCCTTGTCACTTACCCTCGTCGTCCATTGATTCATTGTGATTATCTTGAATCGAGTAACTTGAATTTAGGGATTTCATCGACTGAACATCTTGAGGAATTTGTCCTTGTTTTCGTGGGTCTTCCCATTGTGTTCTTCCGGTGTTGTGGCTATGTGGAAAAAAAGGTTTTCATAAACGCCAGAGTTGTGATTAGGGAATTATGAAAAGCTGACATTGACCAGGTGTTTGCGTGGGAAAGCACAGACTGATACTGTTCGGAAAAAAAAGTTGGCAAAATTAATTCGCAATTATAGAGAGGATTTTGTTCTTAAAAATGATAATGAATTTTAATCACTTGCTTTAAATCAGTTGAAGAAAATAATTAAAAAAGATCGCCATGCTAGTATTGGTTGAAAACGTAAAAGAATAAAAGCAATAATATATATACAACAGGATAAACGAATATACTTTTTAAAAGTATGGTATATTTTATGCTTTTCGTTGATAAGAACTAATTCATTTGCACCTTCATACAGGTTTTTGCAAAACAATTTTGAAACGAAAGGACTAGGACTGTAGGGCAGGTAAGATACTGTCATTATTGGTTTTAAAGTTCCCTGTGTTTTAAACAATTACTGCAGCTTTTTTTCCTGTTATAATCAGAAAATCATTTCAGTCGAGCGAACTATATAAAATAGCTTTTATTTGTCACTTTGAGACTGAGAACATCACAGCAAAAATAGTGAAGTTGTTGCAGCAGTAAGATTTTCGTCACATAAAAAAACATGTCCTCAACTCTTATGAGAACTAATTCTTTCAGCACAGGATTGCCTTAAAATTAAAAACTATTAAGGTTTTCATCAAAAGATCTCTAAAAATCTCTAATTACTAAAAAAACATTAACGAAATTGCTGTTTACCGTGCTTCTGTCTATTGCAAACTATACAAAAGCTTTGGTAGGAAAAGCATGATGGTTCTAGGTTGTCTTAATTCTATATAAAGATACATGAATATCACAAAATAAAACGAAGATTCATACTCACTCTACGAAATACATTTCTCCGTTGGTTGTGTATGCAATTTCCCAATTTGTCGGCAAAGATATTTCTTCCTCTTTTGGTTTTTGTATAGGCTTCCTGGAAAAACAAAACAGTATTTCTCCATTATGTTTCTGCTTAATGTCTGCGCGTGCAATCAAGTTTCAGACAACAAATGTCACCTTTTGTCTAGACATGATAAAATAGAACATGCCAGATTTTGCACTTAGGGGACCGAAAAGCCAATCATTTGTTTTCTTTCAAATGAATCTATAAAAAATCCGTAGCCACAAAAATAATGCTTCTTCATTAGAAAAATCTTGAGCGTTGACTTTCACAAATGACCAGTAAGAAAGGAGTCTTCCTGATTGCGTCCAAGCATTTGCCAAAATTCATTGAGTCAATGATACATGAATATAAAAATATAAGGCCGATAAAAATAACTGCCAGATTCTGAACAACTTAGCCATATCGTAGGTGGACTGTAACAGTTAAGAAAATACTAGCTACGGGCCTGCTACCTATCTTTATACTTTCAAATTTCTGATAACCTTTACAAGACAGTGAAGTCAACCATTTAGGATATCTAAAGTAAAAGCGCCCAGACACCCATTAAAACACAACAAAATCCCATTAAAGGTAATAAGAAAGATTATTCATAATAGCCTTTTTAGTACTTACCCATTAATTCTTCCTTTGTTTATCTATTCTACTTTATTTCTCTTTTTATAAGACACTTTCAGACCCCAATGTTTTTCACAACCCTCTTGTAAACCTAAAATCTTCTTAGTAAATCGAACAACCGTAAGAAATCTTTACGCACGACGTTCCTCTATCTAACTCATTGAAGCAGAATATCTCAGAGTGTTTTCAACATCCAATCTGTTGACTAAACACGAGCTACCACTAAATAACAACAGACACGAAACATTCGCTACTGACCAAGAGTTCGAAGAGTAAGGCCAATAAATCAACATAGGACAATGATCCTCCTACCCCCTTGACAATGGTGGTTCCAAGAGATAACCATTGAGTTCTACTTACTTCTTAACTCTTCTGATTGTCCCAGTGCCGGGGGTCATTGGCATTTTGGGTGGCTTCGGCGTTCCATAGTAATTGCCTTCGAAATAGCCACTTTCGAGAAGCCTGCCTGATCTCTCCAGCTCCAGATATTCATCAACAGTAAGAAACTCATAGTCGACGCCAGCAACCTCGCCCTCTCTTGGGGACCTTGTTGTACCTTGAAAAGCAATTAAGAATGATTAACGAATCCTTTTTTAGCCTTAACCATAGTTTCCACCACAAGTCTGAGTCTTGTGAAAGCAATGGCAAAACATATAATAGAATGAATCTTGACTTCTTGAACCTTTTTGCCTTTGTATTGCATTTTTGGACCGTTACGAGTTGATCCAATAGTAAATACTAGTTTCGTTTCTATGAGATAAAGTTTCTTTATTGAGATATATCCAAGACAACAGGGATACCTAAAGATTTAGACAACCTGATAACCAAATTCCCAAGTTAAACCTTTTTTATGAAATACATAACATTACTTTTCACTTTCGTAGCGACGCAATTCCTCGTAAAAGCCTAATGCTTATTTGAACGCTGTTACCAATAAATCTAATCAATATTTTCCAGAATTTTTCATGTTTTTAAAATTTTGAATTCTTCTTTAGTACTTTATCTTGCTGTTAGATATTACTTTTATAGACACATCGAGGCTCCAAGAAACGTTTTGAGCATTTGACGTGTTTTGAGCTCTCGAAAGAATCTGGAAAAAGTTCTTCTAAAGGAAATTCTAAGTCGAAATTCTAAATCTAAGGAAAATCTCCTCAAATCATTTAAACAGTAATGTTCCAAGTTGCCAAATAACGTGTCTAAGGGTTTGCAAAGCATTAACATTACCAGCCTGCATTGCAAGATACAATGACACTCACATGGCACTGTTCTCAGGTAGAGGTTATCTCTAATCGTCTGCTGCAGATCATAGTCAACGGCGCCTTTGGAAAATTTGGTACCAAGATATTTTCGCAAATCTCTTGTGATACCTTGACCTGTAATAGAAGGGAAGTCGATGTTACTGTTTAATATTGCGAGAAAGTTTTCAATATTTCAACTGGACTAGAAGATATTACCAGGGTCTCGACAGGGGAGAGGCAACCCACTCCATGTCTTCCTTCAAATAAAGATTAAGTAGAAAATAAATTTTGATTTTTACATTAATTTTTATTTAACATTGTGAATACCCCCTTTTATTTTAAGAAAAATGTTTTGCCACGGCCCCCTGAAAAGCAGCAGTCTTGGCTGTGTTTTGAAAGGGAAAAAATTTGAACGGAGGTGGTTAAGGACATTTCTGGACTCTGCTGTGAAACGCTTAATACGTGTGCAAACTCATTTAAAACGCGGAGTCGATGTAATCATAAAAGCCGAATCTTCTATAGATACTTTATCTGAATGATCTTTTGAATTCGCGTCAAAGTGTTTCATGATATGATGAGACAAACCGGTAAATTAACCAGAAAAAGGATCCAATGCTTTAGCCTTGAAATAGACTTCCATGAATCGCTTAAGAAATTTATGCCTTGCAAAATTGCCAAAAAAAGCTTGACATATTTCCAAGCAAAATGCGTGTAACTTAATTTGCAATTGCTAACCTCTATACCATGGGTCTTATCAAAATGTGATTTGCTCATCAGCACCTCAAAATAATTTTTACAGAAACAGAATTAAGCTGCATATTTCGTCCACCAATTAATGATAGCGGCACAATAAATTACAGAGAATTCTGCATTTGTCATCAACAGATTAATAATTCATGTTTATCCAAAATATCACATGTTAACCTGTCTTGAACCCTGCTCAAAATAGAATTTCATCCAAGTATTGTCGGGTGATTCTAAGAAACTCGATTGGTTATCTCACAAGTGTCTTGTAAAAATTTCTGCACAAACAAAAAAATTTCACTGGCTTAATCAACTATGAACAACAGCTGCTTTGTGCGAAGAAAATCTATCTGCTAAATTTTTATTGCAGCGATAATTCAGAAACTCAAAACCTAACAATCTCAAACAAACTTCATTTGACTACCCTTTGTCAGAAACGTGTAAAAATGAGAAGCTAGCCCCAATGACAAGCACTAAATTTCTAGTAAACTACAGTGCCAAAATCATCGGAGATACAAAACATTTTCCAAAGAAACATTGCTGCATTCAAACTCTGCATCATAGATATAGTCCCAGTTAGTGTTTGTTTGCTTTAGCCCAGAGTGTCGAGCCTACACTATGCTACAATATAGTATATGAGATATACAAGGGGTAAATGTGAGCGGAGATCACTTTAAAAAAACTGTATGCAAAGATCAGTTCAGTCTAAATTCAGTTCAGTTCAGCTCTTTAAACCAAAGAGAGCAAGACAAGAGCTTCAATCCAAATATTTCATAGAGTTTGCAAAGCTCGAGAGTTTGCGATGTGAAAACTGGAAATGAATGAGAGAAATGCTATCGAAAAGAGATGGCTCTAATCCCTGGAGTTTAAATTGGTGCTATGATGCTACCTCTAATAGATCGTACAAACACGCTGCCTCGCAAATATTTTAGAAAATGTTGCTATTGGATCTTTTAGGACCCTCTTATGTTTTTCTCAAGACAGCTGGACGTAAGTCTTTACAAAATTTTAGTCCAAGTATTCGGAAAGTTGAAAAAGAATGTAAAAATTACTTAACAGAGGTATCAAAAGCTGGGTGCATAAAATAAATTCAAAGAGAACCTAACAGCTAAAAAGCTTCAAATTCCAAAAAACCACAAAGAGTTTCTTCTAAGTTGGAAGGAAAATGAACAGAGAATCCATCACCATTGTGCGATACATTGCTTCTTAATCAAGTATAATAAATTTTCACTTGTGTTACATGAAGCATTTACTGCTTGGAAAAACGAAACCTATCATGTTTGCACCATCACACCTAGGCAAACCACTAGCTTTCATAGGGAAGTGTTTCTATTTGGGTCCCAAAACACCCTTAATTTCGAAACCCAAAAGAAGTAACTCTGTTGTGCCCTTGTCCAACCAAAAAAGGCATCGTAAAAGCATAAAACGATCAACTGCCATCTAAATAAATTTGTCATTGCAACAAAAAGCTTTGGCTGGATTTTAAATGCATGGGCAAACCTGTCATTGAAACATGGCAAAATGCACTGCTACGTTTCATCGAAGGCCTCAATCTACTGCCTGCACGCACGAATCGGAACTACACGCAGGTTAGCCTCCTCTGCCTGCACGCAAACAAGTCCCTTCAGAACACAGCCCACAACCATGAATTTCTTGTATATACCACGCTAATTATGCATAATTTAACAAGACAGTACGACGGTAATCAATGAACTAACCAGAGTCTCATAAACACGGAATAAAAATTCTATGCTTACTAAATAATTGATGATAACGAGCGCTGTTTGCACAAACCAGAAAACATCGACTCACTATTAAAAACATATTTTGTATTATCTGACATTACAACTGATTGAGAAGTCTAATGAGCCCCAATTCAATGGTCTGTTAGTCTAGCATTGTAGCTGGGGCTCTTTATCATAAAACATCGATTTTTTGGCATCTTGCGTGGCTATAGGAGAAAAATAAATTAGATGAAAGAAAAATCTCACATTCACGACGAGAGGTAAAAAACTGAGGCTTGAAGAGGGGCTTGACGAGGGGCTTGACGAGGAAGGTTGTTGTCCTCCTCTGGAATGTTTTTTCTATTGCATAAAGCCAGTGGCGTACCTAAGACTGTAGGAGTGGTGGGTGAGAAAAAATTTTTTTGGACCACGCCCTTCAAACACTCGCAAATGCAGGAAAACGCCCTTTTTGCAAAATTTTCCCCTATTCTTTGATTCATTTTAGCTACGGTAAATAGCAAAGTATTTTGCAATTGTTATTGACACAAGCATACAGTATACTCCCCCCCCATGGCGAGAACCATACTTTAGAAAAGTGGGGGGGTCCTGACCCCCTATTCCCCCCCCCCTTGGGTACGCCACTGCATACAGCATGAAGGAACGTAGCCAAGACTGGAAATATCAAAACCGGCAAAGGAATACGAAGAAACACTCTATTTCACATAATACAGCGTAGTTCCGAAAAACGTGTCTCCTCTGCCATGCAATGGAAAGAAATAGTGTTATCTTTAAAACAGCACCAATTTTTCACATACAATCATTGCCAAAATTGCGTGGAACACCAAACCCTGTTGAAAGTGGAAACCCTGTCGAAAAACAATGTTGAAAGTATAGAAAAATATCAAACAAGCCACAAGAAAGAGTGTATTTCATAACCCCTTTCTTTTTTTCTGCAGTAAATCAACATTGTTTGTAGGTGAAGAGAGGGGTGGCTGAATTTGCCTTGGAAATCTCACGTTAGTATTCCAAGACTTTTTGCAGTGATTGGAGGTTTTGAATTGCTTAAATGCCCACAACAAGCCGTGGTATGTTGATTTATCGTTAACTGGCAATGTGTGCCTTGCCCTTTACAGGTTCTCCAGTCTTGCGTTCGAGCCATAAGAATTCGTTTGTTGCCAAATTTAGTTGCTACTAACTTTCAGGCTTAAGAACATTTATGAGGGATATACAAAAGGCTGTGAAATGCAGTGAACCTAAAACACGGGACCGCCGTCGGAACAGACTCACTGCCATGTTGTCCGTCTTAATAGAGGCTTAACTATAGCACCAAATTGAATTCGCATCTTACATCTTATCGGTCAAGGCTACTCTTCATAGGGGAGAGAGATGAGAAGACCTCGATAGAAATTTGCAAGGGCTAACGCACTTTTCTTCAAACATCGTTGGCAAGTTCAGATTCCACATGCAAACAGAAAACATTATGTAGGCTTAAAAACAGGACACTCGCAAAACACTAGTGTCATACATGTTGATTTTGTAGGGTAAACAACTGAACAGTTGTAAGAATTAAAAGATAAAGGCTCTCTTATCTTTTCAGATATTGAATGAGGCCTAGTTTAATCCGTTGAGAGCTCTAAAACAATGACGTTTTGAAAAGCTGAATGGAAACGACGCTAGTAGCCACGGTTACCAAAAGGCAACGTTGACAAAAAGACAGAGGGAATGAGGAGTTGAAAAACAGGATTTCATTGACATTGTTAGAATTTAAATATGAAATTGTCTCCTACTTTGTCAATTTGTTAATTCAACTAAACAAAAACAGAATGGCTGAGTGTGACGTCATCAAAATATACTTTTGAATCTAAGAAATCTTGATTCCATAACCTGAAATAACACCACAAAATACCTCCAAATATGCAAAATCAGTTGAATCAGTTAAAAATGTACTGAGATATCGTCAATGAAAGACAAAAGATTTACTAAGAATATGCCTGGTTCATAGGTGTTGGAAAGGGCCAAATTACTGCTGTTTTGATGGCGAAAGAGCCCTGCGCTTATGTGGCAGTTTCTCAGTGAATTTGCAAAAGATTCAACTGATTTTGCATACTTGGAGGTATTTTGTGGTGGTCCTTCTATGGGATCAAAATTCTAAAAGTATATTGTGGCATCATTACTCCCCCACTCCACAATCTTGAAATTCATTTAAATACTTCTGCTCCAGGTAAAACTCTCTTGAATAAAATTTTAAAAGTTGGATTCATTCAAAACTTTCTAGCTATTTGGTGATTTGATAAAGCAATACCTTTCAAGCAAGCAGTGGCGGATTAAAGGAAGGGGCAACTAGGGGCAGTTGCCCCTCCCTCGACGAGTTGAAGAAAGTATGGCGCCGCTTTTTTGGAAATTGGAATGAGAATCAGGTGAAAAGGTTTCTAAGACCAATAGGTTAATTTGCTTCAAGGATTACTTCAAAATTATCTTGTTTATTCCGAAAATGGATCTGAAATTGTTTTATACAGCGTTCTCTCGTCGTCAATTTTTGAAAATTTTTCAGCGCCCCCACTACCAACTGCCCCTCCTTCAAGTTTGCTCTGGATCCGCCCCTGTAAGTAAGGTTTGTATTTTAAATAGAAAGGCTGTGCAGGTCAAGAAAAAATTATTGGTATCTTTGTGTTACAAGAAATTCTTGTTTCGATCCCATTGCTCCTTTTAGCTTTGCATTGCTAACTGCTTTTTTTTTGTTTCTTTTGATGATTATGAAACATGCGTTGAAGCGTCATTTTATTTTGCAAATCAAGATATAAATGCTAACACAATGAATAGCACAACTATGCTGTTCCAATAATTTATAAACTGTCTGGATATGTTCTTTACATAACAGAAGCATGACAGGCCTAAAAGCAGGAATTCATAAGACAGCTTGGGACTTCATTGTAGTCGTGAGATCTTTATTTTATTAATAAGGGGACAGCCTCGCCCCAAAAGCAATAAAAACCAAAAAGCTAAGCCATTATAGCTGTTAAGGGTGAAGTTACAGCTATTTAATACATATGCACCACCTGGAAAATCATATTTATCAAACACCAGGAAATAATTAGGTCTTGGAATAGCACCCACTTAAATACAGTGATAGAACAAATAACAAAATAAATCAACAACCCTAATGATAACAGTACATATTGTACTGATAAGTTATCCTGTTAAAACATTTGATTATCATAAATTAAATAAAAATCTGCTGTTCTTTTGCTCTATTCCTAAATAATATAAAAACTTCAAACACTGTGGATTACAAATCCTTCATTTGTAAACTATGGCCATAACCTGCAGAAAAGAGGAAACAGACATGAAACTCAAGAAGAAAACCTCAAACCAGTAGAGACAGTTTTAATGGTGGTTTTCTATTGTTATGTGGTTTTATATATTACCACATCAGTAATATATGGTAAAAGATTTCTGCTGATTGAAACCCTAGCATCAACTTTTCAATGCAAAATCAGTCACCAGATTCAACTGGTTTATCCTGCAGTATCAAATTTTCTTTAGGAGAATTTCAGCTTTAATCAGTCTTCATTGATGATAACCATAAAACGCAAGGAGGCCAAAGGAATGGGACATTTAGAGGCAGTCACTCCCTGTACTCAACATAAAAAGTAAAATCATTCCCAAAATTATATTTTGACTCTCCTCTAGTAAAAGAGTCTTAACATTTCTTGATACAATTACACAACAAACAAAGCTGGCACCCTTTCTTGGTCTTTCAATGCCCATACTAGAGTACTTTTAGCAAGATTTAAGAGCATTTGCGCCTGCAAATAAAAAATATGTCACTAATTTTACTAAAAAGTTTCTGAGAAATAAGGTGGAGCTAAACATTGCTATATGAAATCACTTGAGAAGGACCTCTTCAACCACAAACCACTATGCATGCATGACATTGACCTATAAAAACTTGTGCTTATTCACAGTCTCTTTCTGCAGCCATCCAAATTAGACATGTGCAATAAAGATATTTGGATTTCTAATAACAAAAGAGATGAATTTAGTAACATGGCAGAAGGTTTTTCTTTCTATACTTATTGACAAGTGAGCTGGAAGTAGCCAGGAAGGAAACTTTCAAAAGCAATGCAGCTTTAGTTTACACAAAAATATACTCAGTGGATGGAAATGGAATAATATTATGCAGGAAAAAGGGCGCTTTTAAAACAAGAACCGGAGTTGAGGAGAACCTTCAAAAAATTGAAAAGTGGGATATTGTAGATGGCCATTGAAAAAGGAATTCAATCAAACTAGAAAGACCAAAATACCTAGATGTCAAAAATATGACAAATGGCAAAGAAAATGGGAGAAAGGTAAGATGGACAGTGGTGTGTCAAAGAAAGGTTCAAGATTCAAAACATAATAAAATTGCTTAAAAAATTGACAAAATGAAACAAATGCACAAGAAAATTATTTTCCAAAAACATCACTGTATTTTACAGGAAAACCTTCATAGGATAACAACAACTGAATGACTATGATTCTGCAGGTACATAGATAAATACGCTGCAGACAAAAATCTTGTCATGTTTGCCGAACAAAAGGGTCTTTGTCTATGTGAATGGAAAGCAGGTTTCTGTCTGCCTCAGGCAAGTGAAAAAAGGATGACTTCAAATAATTTCATATTCAAGAAAAACCCATTCTTTAAAAAATAGATGAAAATATCACTGCATTAAAGCAACAAGCATTGGCCTAAACACACATGTCTCAAATTATGGTATTAATGAAAATCTAAGAAATACATATTTTTCTGAATGCTTCACTGTCAATATTCATAACTTTTCAAGACCCAATATTAGTTTTTTTTTAAATATTATTCAAGTATTTGACAGGATAATTACTATGTCCTTAGTGTAAGTCGAAACATCTGACAAGTGGGTGAAATGATTTCAAAAATTATGTGAAGCAGTATAGGGCAGGATGTTCCTTTAGCTGCAAAAAGGCTCCCTTCATCCTCACTAAGAAAGAAGCAGGAAGTTTGTAAACTTACAAACTATCGATTCAGATGCAAATCAGATTAAGACAAGTTTAAACAACTTTGCCAGTTTTCGTTGCACTCGCTAATCAGCTAGGCCTATTTATGTTTCTAGAAGCCAGGAAGAGTGGCATATCATTTCGGTGGATTCGCTAAATGTTCTGGAGAATCAACACCACAACAAACTCTGAAAATCTCTTCCGCATTAGATTTCTAAAACATGAGAAAAACTAACAATGAAAAACCTCAGGAATCTCAGTAACTTTTCTATGAGTCATTTCTCACGAGTACAAGAAAGAGAACAACGCCTCAAAAACCAAAACAAAGACACGCCATAGTGATTTTTTTGACACGACCCTTTCAAATTAATTTGTTTAACTCATGCAAATATTGATAACTGCATACGAGTGAAAACATGGTTATTTGCTTTCAGCAGATACCTAATTCTATAATTACTCCCACTGAGAACTTTGAAGGGTATAGTTTTGTTTCATTTATCTAAACAGTGTTGGGATCAATTCGTAGAGATCGCTGGCTTTGAAATATGAGACAAAAGGGCCTTCTGTTCAAACAACTTCAGGGCAGGGAACCGACGGGAACTGGTGACCTCCATGTTTACAACAGGTTTACTCAGAGTTGCAAATAAGCAAAACACATTATTGATAGAGCTTCGAATTCTAGCGTCACGTTTGGGAAATTCCAAGTTCTATTTCAAAATTAACAGGAATATTGGTTTTATTTATTCTTTCGTTTGTGGTTCAACAGTTTCCCTAAAAATCAGCTGACTATCAACATAATGGGATAGGGTAAATGTTCGACATTCTAATCAGTTATTATCAGCCTGTAAGAGCTACCAGGAAACATATAAATTTGGCCAATTTTAATGGGATTTTAACGGATAAACAAGGCCAGTTCAAGGCAAACCAGGCTAGCGAAAACAAAACAAAAACAGTTTATCCATCCACTTTCTTCAGACTTTACAGGAAATCAGTACATGCCCCAATTACAAAATAAAAACATCTCATCGCATTAAAGTTAAACTTTTTTGTCTTGTTATAGCCGGATATCAGAAATTTAGAAAGAAACGCAAACTGGACTTTACAAACCTGGATAAACAGTGACCAACTCCAAATGTTCATTGCTGTCTTTGATCAAGGAAATTGCATCAGTTTGGGTGAAGCCAGCAACGTGTTTTCCATTTATTTCGAGAATAATCTCTCCAACTGACACGGTGCCAAGTTTATACCGGACTTTGTTTGTAAGCACGTCACCAATTACAACAAATTGCCCATACTCTGAACCACCTTCAATGCAGAGATTGAAGGAGCCGTTAGGCCCACGGATGACCACGGCTTCGTTTACGCGTTCACTCCAATGTCGTATTCCTGAGAAATTATACGACGACATCTTCCACAAACGCCCCCAAAATTAAATAATCAAAGAAAATACTTGAGACGATGTGATTTCTGCCAATTCGTAGTTATATAGAAATAATTTCAAGGTAAATCATCACTGACTCACATCAGCACAACCGCCAAGCAAATTATGCCGAAAGGAATGCATACAAAATCATAATGGCGCATTAGGAGAATTTACTAGCTGATCAGGGTGTCAAAACACCCTGTCGTTTGAGCGTCCCTATTAAAATTAACTTTTTAAACGAAGTGCTAGTTTTCGAAGATGCATACTCATATTTTAGAGTATTTTGCTATTTTATATATTCCCTTAAAGCTTCAGCTCCAGATTTGTGTGCATTGCCTAACTTAAAAATAACTTATTAATTATCAATATTACTGATTTGTATTGAGAACATATGAATTCTTCAATATTTTCTAAATTCTTATTAATGTGATGAAATGTTTGGGACACAAACGACATACATTGCTTTCGATTAGTTTAAACTCCAACAGCTTCCATCATGCAAAGACAATGCAAATTCGTGAAAAGTAATGAGGACTCAAATTTCCATATTGAAAGTATAATTATACTACCAGCCATTGTTAGAGTTAAGAAAAATCTGCTTTAAATTTGTCCATGGATCAGGGGACGAAAGGAGCAAGTGGCCTCCAACTTTTAGAAATATCAAAGAAAATTTCATATGTTCGAAAACGTGCCTTCAATTGTTGAAGCAGCCTTGTTTATATTACCAGAGAGTTTCATTTTTGTAAAGCACTGCTTGAAATTGCTAATTGGTTTGAAAATTTCTGTTTAACAGGCTGTCCTCGTATCATAAAGTCCTCAATGCCGTAAAAGCAAAGCTGTAAACGCTTTTGAGCTTGATGATCACATTAACCGTAAAAATTGGAGTAGCAACTCAGAACCAGGGACGCCGAACGACCAAGAGGCAAGAGGCATTGAAAATAATTATAATTATAGGTTTATCTTGAAAATCGAATAACTTTTGGCAAAATAGTTTTTAATAAATTTTTGGAAATGTCGTCAATAGAAAAGAATAAGGCAGTCCAGTCAGAATTTCATATGAAACATATGATAATGATGAACGGCCATTGTCTTGAGTACCTCTATGAAAAGGGCACTTTGGCCTCCTTGCCCCCCTCCCTCACTCCGGCGTCCCTGCTTAGAACCGTCCTGTTCTTTACATTTAAATCCTACTGTTTTTGCTTTGTATTGTAATTAAATTTCATTAGAGGCTCCCTTGAAAAACTATTTCGTCTAAAGGGCAACGGAATATAGTGTGAATATGAAATATGGAAAGAATGAAACTTGTCGCTATGTACACTAAATATCCAAATTTTTTTCCTGTTTCTACTCCTCTCGAGTTTTGATTCCTCTGAAAAACAGGAAATTTTGTGAAATTGCAAAATTATCTAAATTCATTAAAGTTTTGTCGAAACTGTTATACTTGGACATTTGAGATAAACGCTAAGATAACGCTCGCGGCTGTCGATTTCGCCCTCGTGCTTCTAATAAAAAATGTATGAAATTAAGGGGTGTACAAAAGTTGACAAAAGTTTCTCAAAAGGTGGGGTCATCAGGATTTGCGGAAAAATGGAATTTTAGAAAATTTGTCGCAGATGACGGCAATCTGTCATTTTCTCGACGGAACAACCGAATTCTCCACACTTGCCAGACGCGGATTTTCTCTAAAATGCCACATTGAATACGGAATCAGCAGCATCTATCAAATATTTTGGGACGCGGAATTGCGGCTAAAAATGTCCGGATCGGCAGATTTCAACTAAGAATGGCGGGAATCGGCGGATTTCTACCTCTCTGGATGATCCTCAACAAATGGAAAACAATAAATAAATATTTGTCACTTTCTGGTTTTGAAAAGGAGATAGAGTCTCAGTAGTCTCCAATATTATAACATCAACTGGCTGCAATGTTTCTGTTGAAGTCTGTCTGCGTTTAGAAGTGCATATGCAAAATTTATCAAAGTGACGTCATTACTTGTGTGTTGACTGGGATATTTGCATTTGCTTAGGCGAGAAAGCTTGAGCAATATAACAAGCAGAGCATCACGAGCACATCTTTTTGCTGACATATTTTTCCTAACAGGTGTTTTTCTCCAGTCGAAGCCTTGTACGAGTGATTCATAGATCAAAATAGGATTTTTCGCAGTTGACAGTAGCTTTGGGCGGTGTGTGTTGTATGAAACTTTCACTGTGTACAGTAGACAGATGGTTCTTTCTTTAATTTCAAAAATGTGATTCTCTTGTTCAGTACCACCTTACCGAAGTACCGCAGTCTTTATTAAATGTCATTTGTAGATGGGATAACTGCAAAAAAGGTAAATTTCCTTTGTTGCCCCTTTCTGCAGGCTTCCTCGCACGTGAATGTTGTATTAGTATTTGGATAAGTATCTAATTAAGATGAAGGCTCCATACATGAACAGAAATTAGCTTTGTTTGTTGTTTTTCTTTCGTTCCAAATTGGGTGTCTGGAGAAAATTGTTCTGGTATATCTTTGCTTTGCCTCATAATTATATTATTGTTGTTCTTTAGATCTTAATTACGCAATAATCTACAGTTGTTTGATTGGATACGATCTGAGAAGAGACAAGTCAGCGAATAACGATGAAGGACCTTGTTCGAGACTGAGTCATAAAAGAATAAGATCATCGCAAGTCCAGGTATGAGATATCGTCACTAAAGAAGAGGAAGACGGGGGAGGGGAGGCAGCGGAAGATGGAGAAGGAAAAGAAGCAGAAGAAAAGAGGAAGAAGAGGTACCAGAAGAAGATAAGGGAACCGAAGAAGAAGAAGAAGAAGAGGTGGACGATAGAGAAGAAGAACCAGAAGAAGGAGAGGAATGAGAATAATGAGCAGACAAGGAGCCAGAAGATGAAGTTGAAGAAAAAGACGAAGACAAGGGAGAAGAGGAAGAAAAAGATAAGAGATAAGAGAAAATAGAAGGAGAAGAAGGAAAAACAGGAGATGAAGAAAGAGAAGAAAAACGCAGAAGGAAAAGAGGTAGACAAGCTGGAAAAAGCAAAATTAGAAGAAGAATAAGAAAGAGAATAAGAAGAGGAAACAGAAGAAAGATCAAAAGAAGAAGAAGACATGGGGGAGAGACGGAAGACGGAAGAAAAGAGAAAGGAAGAGAAGATAAAAAGATCTAGGAAAAGAAAAAAGAAAAGAGGAAGACAGAAGAGAAGAAGTAGAAGAGGAGAGAAAAGACAAGAAGAGAAGAAAATGAAAAGATTTGGAAGAAGAATAAAAAAGCGAAAGGAAAAGAAAAAGATGAGGGAGAAGAAAATCCAAAAAAAGAAGGAACGAAGAAAGGGAATGAGAAAAATCAGAAGGATTTGTTAAACTAGATCAGTTGGCAATCAGACTGAGAAGGCAGGAATGATCATCTACAATAACTACAATAGCTGAAGGCGCGAGGAAAGATCAGGTTTACCGGCCTATTATGTATCAAACTCTTTTTCCGAGTATCGAAGATACATTTTCCGCGGACCATTCAGCTTTAACCAATTACAACCTTAGAGATATGTTTTCATGAAAATTCATGATCTTTGATAATATTTTGATTGGTGAATATGACCTGAGAATTGAAGAGGAATTTAGCACTAAAAAGTATTAAATCTGAAAGAAAATAATCCATTTTATGTTAAAACCGCGCCACAAGGGGGTGGGCGGTGTGGTCATGGCTCCCCCATTTTTTGCAAAGAAAGTAGTTTTAGAGCTGCAATAAAAGGGGTAAAAAGCCTGGGACCCCTACTTTTTCTAGCCTTGGCCTAAGCTTCAAAATGCAATTATTAGGAAGCAGAATTACGAGTGAGGTCTTTTGACTCAAAGTTTGGATCGTCTAAACAGAAATTCATTCACAACATGCTTCCAATCCGATTCTGCCGATGCTGTAAATACATAACATAAGGTACTGTTTTAAAATGGTATAAGAAAAAACTGCAAAGGTCATTAATGTGTGCATTCTCAATCAAGGGAAACACAACTTTCATACTTTATTTTTTCATTGCACTTTTGGCTAAACTGACAAAACGTTCAAAAGTTCTTTGTCTTCAATCATGAATACAAGGATTCGCGAGCATTTTCCATTTAAATCCTTACACCCTTTCCAACCAGAAGCCTTAAGTGTTGTACTACAGGCTCTATTTATATACAGCAAAGAAGAGAACGCTGGAGTTTTGTCTGCTTTATTGAGCGAATTTCCATAGCACATTTTTCTTCAGGAGGTATATTGTAAAATGATTGATTCTGTGGCTTGAATAAAATAAGAGTTGGAAGCTGAGATTGCACAATAATAATAACGAATTGTCAGAGCCAAAAGAACATCAAGCTCTCTGGTAGGGAAAGACTCCTTACCCATTCCTTACTCCGATAAGCGAGACTGCCGAATAACTTGGAGCTTTGCTATACGGAGTGAAGTTCATCTACAAACACCGCTTACGTGAAACCAATATCATCTTGGTGAGACGTACGTAGGACTTTCGCTCACTGGGACCAATATCTTCATTCCTTCTTAGCTAAAAGCTTATCATAGGTAGGACTTTCAGAACTAAATCCCGAGAGGTATTTCATACCCATAATTCTCTACAAAATATCTAGCTTTGGCTCTTCTATTAACATAAATTCGCTCGAAATGTACCATAAGAAAACTCCACCAATGTAAATTCTCAAAAGTGTTTCTTGGGTGTCTTATTCTACCCTGAATTCGTACTCTAAATGGAACATTCTGTGTATTTTTCTTCTTTGTCCCACTTTTCAGGCGACTAGCTCAGCTGAGATGTTCGCCAAGTGGGACAAAATTCTTATAAAACCTTGAGGTCCCAGTTAACGGGTGCATACTGTACTTAAACTGTTATAGATTCTTAAAAAAAGCCACATATATTACTTTAAAGACCCTGATTTTCATCGTATTGTTTGCGTCATCGTCCATTCCATTAATATTTTGAGACCCCAGAAGCAAAGTTGGAGTATATGTTTGTAATGAAAGCCTTTCCATCTTTCACTGCAATCCAATTCATCAAAATTGCGGGTAAGATTCACGCACCTACCTAGGCCACATTTACTTTACGTACCTGGCTTTAACTTAACGCACCGACACCAAAACAAACTCCGGGCATTGAACTGATAACAAACTGTGTTTCGAAATTACAGCGAAACATGGCCCTAAAATCAAACAAGATTCGAAATTAATCGCCTTGACTTTATTAGACACTTCCACTTTGATAAATTAACATGCCTAACTAGCAATGCGATTCCAGACTTAATCCCAACATTGATCTAACGTCTGAGAACGAAAATAGCAGACAGGTGCTATTGCTTTGGGCTTTGTAAATGTTTGTTTGTGCAAAAGACCTGTAACCGAGTATTTTCGAATGAGGGGGCACGCAGTAATCCTTGCTTGGAAATCTCAAATGAATTTTGTATTTTCATATCTACGAGGGGCAAAGTCAAATTCATTGCGATACAAGAATAACAATAATACTTTAGAATGAAGTATGTGAATTTTATTTTTTGGTGTTAAGGATATTCTCATTATTTCTCTCTTTCAAGAGACCACTGCCAGTTGCGTATGTAACGTTTGGCTCAACAATTTCCCATTTTTTCCAACTGCAGAAAAACTTGGATCCTTGATACTTCGAACACAAATCTTCATAATTTCCCACTTTAGGTCAATCCTTTGATAATGCTAGCTTTTTATGATTCGCACTTTCGCTGCATGGCCCCTTGTACTCATAATCTAACGTGAACAGAGCACAGTGGTCTGCAGTAGCGTCTGTAAAGTGAGGCAAAGGCGAAACAGAGGCCACTGCAAACCAGCAACGAGTTTTTTAGAGTCACAATTTTATCAGCCATGGTATTCCAAAGTGGAAATTTCACTAGAATAGAGTTTTAAAGTAATGATGTTATTTAACCTGCTTTATCATATAACAGGATCTTTTCTCTGTTATTTGCTCTCTGTTCATAACTTTATGAACCAGGGCAGAATAACAGTAATCCTTTTAAAGCTTCAAATCTTTCATTGGATTCTCTCACCCAATTAGTAGCAAATTTGACTAACTCTCCACTTTTGAAGATACTTCATGGTGCTCTTTTTGATCATGTGGTCAAAAAGTCGAATTTTGTAAAAATACATATCTTAACTTTATTGGAATATTCTCATCATTGTGTACCTTTGCATAGTTTAAGAAATGTATCACAGTCTACCCCCCCCCTCTTTGTGCGCCTTGACTTGTCTAATAAACAGTTGTCATACAGGTACATAACGTTCCAACAGCAATTTTTCGCATCAGACCCTCGATGCTCCAAGGACCAAAATTAATGAAAACAGACGTATTGCTTCATACCCAAAAAAATTCTGAAGAGAAACAAAAAAAACGTATTAAATTCTTTGACAGTGTCTGGTGAAAGGTCTCAAGGGACTGTCATTAACGGGACAAGGATTTGAAATTCCAAAGCCGGACAATGGGCAAAGATAACTACTTCAAGATGCAGCTTGGTCTCTTTCTTCATTTAGTCCGGTAAGGCACCACTAACGACAGTCCGGGTTCCTTCATAGGCCTATGATAAAATGAGTACAAGACTTGACACGATACGTGAGCACAGGGTTTAAAGTAACAAGTACAGGACCACATTTGGAGCGCAAGTTTGAAACAGAATCAGTTTTTCTATAACAATAAAATTCAACGTTACAATAAAATAAGAAACTCTTATACGCGTAGCAATTATACATTGTTTACAGAGAGAGCTGAGCTTATTGGCAAGCGAAGATATTCATGGTGAAATTCCGTTATAAACATTGATAAACACATCTAATGATTACAAAGCTCTGTATTAAAATACACAATTACATAGCACTGGATACAAGATAAAATCTTCTCATAATTGCCGTAACATACAGGATGCCTCAACACGGCTATAAATATTGAGAAATAGGACTGTTATAAAACCATTATTTTTCACCAATCATTTGTCCCATCGTGCACTGTCACAACTTGAAAGACCAGCGCACATTGACGGCTTGTCATACACAGTACTATGATAAAGACTAAACGGATGAATTGGTTTGGTAAATAACTATTGTAAACTATAAGAACCAAATCACAGTGAAGTAAGCGCTTTATAAAAGCATATCATATCTAAATTAGATCATAGATGGCACCATAGGTCACTGATTAAACAATAAAAAGGGGAGTTTATGTGAAATTTGATATTAAAATGTATATCAAAGGTATATATTGTGAGAAAGCAACCAAGTTAAAAACTGTCAACTAGCTGTAAAAAGAATCGATTAAACGTGGCATCTAAACCGTAGTGGTTTCTTTTATTTAATCAAACTAAGATATATTGTGATTATTAAAAGATCTAGTAAAATTACTTTTTTAAGATTATAATACTATCTCCATTAGATACATAAACACGCATAAATACATAGCAGACGATGGCAAATATTCAAAGAGATGGTGAAAACTATTAGGACCTAGATCTAACAAATGTTAGTCTTAGCTGTGGCTCTGTTGTGCTCTGAAAGCTAGGTAAAGGGCTTGATTTTGACAACAAAAACAAACTGGAGGTTCTATACCAGATGAAAAAGTCGATATCTTCATGACGTATAAACGAGGCTTCACCAAAGAATATTTACCTTCAGTCAACAGCATGGGAGAAATGTTAAGGCTAACTATTAATGGATTCACAAACGTTTTTGCATACAAACAGTTACATTCTCGATTCATACAATCCAGCAAAGACAATCTACTGTTTGAGGCAAGGCCCACCTTTGCCCATCAAAATCGTGATAACAAAGAAATAACTTCTAATAAATATACGTTGTGTTTCTTTTCATTGGGTCCTTTCACTTTTGCATTGAATCTTGGGCTAGACAGCAGGGTCTTTATCTGTTGAAACAAATACAAAAATATTTATTGTATTTACAAAAATAGACACAGACAACCAAAAGTAACAAACTAACACAACACAATGAAAGCACGAGTGAACAAATTGATCAATATAGAAAAATTTGATCAACATTAGATTAGTAATAAACACGATCAAAATTCAGCAAACCAAGAAGCTCTTGTGACAGGCTGAGGTACAGCCACACACCACCACCCCACATCAATTGAAATACCCCCACATCAACTGAAATACCCGACATCCATTGAAATACCCGACTTCCTTCGAAATACCCGACATCCATTGAAATACCCGACACCCATTGAAATACCCGACACCCATTGAAATACCCTACATCAATTGCATTGGTTCTTCAATATCATTCTTTATCTTATAAAAGCCACAGACATCCCCAAGCAAAACTGGAGACAGCTTTCAGCACCTGAGAAGGACTAAGGTGAAACATTTTGAAGCCATACCCCTATTAACCCTTTTTTCAATTTTTTTCAGATTAGGATGGATTAAAAAATTAGTCTTGGCGATAAATAGAGAGGACATGTCCTATCCATCCTGAAAGTGAGATCGTTGGTTCAACTAAAAACAAAGGCTTGAGTAAGAGAATTACGCATTCATTTTGCAAAGAAACTATTTCTAACTCCCCGACAACACATTTGATGGTATAACATTCATAGAAAAATTTAAACATTAATTTTACAACTTAAACATTAATACTTGTCACGGTTAAAAAATCGTCAAGTGAGATTCGTTGCAGGAATGGTAGAAAAAAGAATTTCACCTTTTGATGCATGACTAATATTCAAAAAAGTTCTATTTCTTGTTAATAGTTATCTGCAGATCTTCGCAGAAACCTTCAATATTCGGGTTGCAATCAGTATGACATTGTGTTATCGTCTGGATTTGCTTCAGTAAGAGAGCAATTCTCTTCTCAAGCTTGGCTAGTTCATCAGCGAGATCCTTGGCGCGAATTTCGCGTTTTGTGTACTCGAGACCCAGGTCTAAAAAGCAAGAATCAATTTAGAGTCTGACGTAAAATTTATAAAGAGAGGCCATTTGTCAAAATAAAACCAGTTCATCAACAGTCTTCGTTTGTTTGGTGGCTATAGATTGACAAGTTTTTCCCTGACTAAGCAGATTCGCCAGCAATACTTCGTTTTAACACCTAACATAGTAGGCATTTTTGTATTCTATCATCTGTAACAGGACATTTGTGAAGATTGTCAAAGCAGGAAAATTTCAAAGTTGCTTGGGGATAAGATTAAAATGGAATATTCCTAGCTTCAAAATTCTGAACACAACACTCCTTAATTCTATCCCTGAATCCCAACTCAATGGAACTCCAAAGGCCATTTCGTGATATTTTCATATTCTCTTAAGCAGAAAAATTTCTTTGAAAACTACATACCTTCAAGTTCAGAAATTTTGGCCAAAGTTTTCAAGTACATTGCACGGGCATTAGCAACTAGCTTCTCTGCCCGCCGTTTTGCGTCATCTAGTCCAGCAGAACGCTCCAGGATCTGTTTGTGGACGTTGCTGAAATTTCCTTTAATGGTCGAAGAAAGCTGAAAATCAGAACAGAAACAAGTTATGGACAAACTTGCAGATTTAATTATGTTGGTGTTACTGCAGAGAATCCCAATTCTATTCTGAAAAGCTGCAGAAATGCTTGCTTTTTTTAGAATCCCCACATGTCCAGAGTACACGATTCTCATGCTACTTTAAATATTTAACTCTCTCCACACCGCTTTCAAGGTACAGATTCTTGTTGGTAGTAGTACCAATTATCGTAACAACAACGATCTGTTGCTCTTTTAAGTGTCGTTTTTTCGTTGTAATATTAAAAAACCTTTAAAAATTTTTTGCGTTGAAATAGGGTCAAAATTAAGAAACTTCTACTACAAAAACCCAAGGCTATGATTCCTAGTAAAAAAGTGTAATTAACCCCTCCCCATTTTTGTCAGAAGATGGTCCATTTGTTTCTTCTAGAAATTGATTAAAAAGTGCTAGGTATTAGGATATTTCCTAAGGAAAATTAACCTCACTAGCAGTGGTGTCATTGGCCACGCCCATTACCCTCCCACTCTGCAGTAACTAGCGCCGCCACTGGATGTAACTCCAACTTTTGAACTTTGAATGAAGTAGCAAAATATGTATCTCATTGTTGTCAGCCTTGGTAACTGCTGATGGCATAGTCATTGTTTACGATTTATTACGAGGGGATATCACGTTTGATTCTTGTATACTTTATATTTTATGGCAGACACTTGCAAAACAAACCATTGAGAGCACCTCTTTTTAGGCTGCTTTGAGTTAATGACTAAGCTACGCATAAAGGTAAACGAAAAAAAAATCTGAACAACTGGAACTACCTTGCCGGCTTGATTGGCATCGGCAACAGCCTTTGTTGTTGCACTTTCAGCATTTGTGAGGTTCTGCCTGTTCTCATTATTCAGCCTCTCTACCATATCTGCCGTCTTTGCCATAATGGAAGTTGTAGCGTCAGCCTTCATAAGAGTTACATTCAGCTTGGCGATGTCAGCTCGTAGCTTGAAAAAAAATTTAGAAAATTGTAATTCAGATACAATGCAATGTCCTATGTACTTATGTTTGTTGAAAAAGTCTAAGAATATTTTTCCAGCACACACTAGATGTTTCCAAACCCATTGCTGGAGCAAACAACAAAAAAGGAAGAAATCACAAACATATCGATATACAAGGAAAAATTAAGTGTGGAAGCCTTAATCAATCGATCAATGATTTACTGTTTAACAGTGATCGTAGAACGCTTGAGATAACAGCAGCACCATACTTACTGACTTCAGTTTTTCTGACAAACGGTTGTAAGTGGCCGATGCTGTATCGTGCATTTGCGTTGCAGTGGACTGTGTTTCACGTAATTCAACCATTAGTAGGATAACATCTTCAGCAGAAGCCGAGACATTCTGTGCAAACTCCCTTCAAACAAAAACAAACAAGTTGAGATTGTTTCGCATAGAATAAGCTCAATTTTGGAAAGCTACAATGAAGGGTCTTTAGGAGCAAAATATGGGTGGCTGGGCTTTTAGGGATGTTATTATTTGAGAATTAGAGGCAAGGTTGCCTATTTTTAGTTGCTGTCTTAGCAGTTTAAATATTACAAAGTTTCTTGTGGATCGGGTATATATTAAAGGCAAATAAAATTTATCAATGTAGAAAGTGCAAAGAGCACATCAAAAGATTGCTTTATGTGTTCAAATTTGTCTTTTTTACCTTTCCTTGTATAGATTGTGAAGGGGGGGGGGGGGGGGGGTAGGGCTAAAAAGAGCTTACTTCATGTTTACTGCATTCCAGAGTATGTCATAGACAGCCATTTGATAAATTACACTTGGAAGGCCTCAGGTTGTTTTACAAAAAATCATTTCCCAAAGCCACTTGTTTTCTGTCAAGAATATTTTGTTGCGTTATTTAATTTTTCTGCTCAGGGTGGTGTGGGTATTAGAGAGGGAGGCTAAATAGAGCATTTGTGGAAATAAAATTTTCTAATTACAAAAAACTTATGATCATAAGGAAGACAAAAAAGTAAGCAATTGTGATAGCTATCAATTGAGTGCGTAAATGATACAATGCTGGAACAAAATGCTTTCTATTTGAGCATTTTGAATTTTAAAAGGCCAGGGTTTCCACATTTTTCTTTCAACAGACATGTACAATTCAAAATTTATCTTAACAATATCGAAAACAATAAAATTTTTACCAAAAACTTTAGTCCTAAAACCCTAAGACCTCGAAATCCCCTTGCTAGAAATGACCTCTGGCGTTCACTTTTCTAAGAACTTACTAAGTTTCAAAATGGGATATTTAAAAGGTCAATAAAAATCTTCAAAGTATAAATAGTAGGGAGAAAACATCAAAACTTCCATATAATTTTCCATGTGTCTCTAACATCTTTTACTATATGTAAATAATTTTTTAGGGGAAGAAGATTGCTAAAAAGGTTTACTTGAAGTTATAATACATCAAAAAGTGTCATACGAAAAGCTTCACTGTGTCATATAACGTCGAGTTTATAACACGTCTTAGCTCGGAGGGTGTATGCAAGGAAAAGGGGGAGAGGGTTAGTAGATAGTTGGATTCCAAAAGGCACCTTTCCATAGGCAAGTTGAGTGCTTGGAAATTATGGCTAAATGACCAGTTCTACAAATTCTGTTACCTTTTCCTTTTAATATCCAAAAGTTTCCACCTTCTTCTAAACTATGGGCATGAATCTTGCAAAACGTCAACTTTCTAAGAAAGGTTACACAAAAGGATAATACAGTTGCGAAAAATTCAAAACGAAACATACTGAGCTTGCAAGGCTCGCCGCTTCAATTCTTGGGCATTGATATAATCGTCATTGGCTGCATCCAATATTGATTTGACATTGGTCAAGTTTCTCACAGTTTCATTGATTTGAGTAGCAAGACTGGTGATCTCACTTGGCGTCAATGAAATGTTCAAAGCTAGTGTCATCTTTGCAAGTTGTTCGCTCTTTTCAGGGTGGTGGTAAGTGGCATTGAGGAAGTCGTAGATGTCCTAGAAGTAGATATTTTGTGGATAACAACAGTTTTGCCGGGAATAAATGGAAGAAAGTAATTATTAGAAATCATAGCTTGTTAAGCTAACTTACGATGGACAAGCAACTATTGAACACAAAGTAACGTGTTGATTGATCACTGGAGTTGATAAATGAATAAAATCACTCATTTGATGAAGATAGGTTTGAGCGTGCAAATGGTTGAACGGACAAATGAATGGCTGAATGAATGAATGAACGAATGACGGAATTAAAGAGTAAATAAATGAATGACTGAACGAGCAAATAAATGAATTAATGAATGGATGAATTAATTGATCAATTAATTTATGACTGACTGACTAGCTGATTGACTGACTGAATGAGCGAATGACTGGAAGAACGAGCGACTGAATGAAAGAGTAAATAAATGAACGAATATATGAGGAAATAAAATAAATAAACGAATAAATAAATTAGCAAATGATTGACTGATTGGATGAATGGCTGAATAAACGTATAAATGAGCGAATGAATGAATGAATGAATGAATGAATGAATTAATGAATCAATGAGTGAAAGAACGAATGAGTGAATGAAAGAGTAAATAAATGAATGACTGAACGAGCAAATAAATGAATTAATGAATGGATGAATTGATTAATCAATTAATTAATGACTGACTGACTAGCTGATTGACTGAATGAGCGAATGACTGAAAGAATGAATGACTGAATGAACGAATGAATAAGCAAATAAAATGAATAAACGAATAAATAAATGAGCTGATTGACTGATTAGATGAATGGCTGAATAAACGCATAAATGAACGAAGGAATGAATGAGTGAATGAATCAGCGACTGAAAGAACGACTGAATGAATGGCTGAATGAATAAGCGAATAAAAGAAAAAAATGAATGAATTAATGATAATCAGTTATCATAGTTAATTTAAAACAGCTTTAATTGAACCACTAGCCCCTTTGCAGTACCTTGATAAGCATGGTGATATTCCTTGCCGCTGCTTCTCCGATGCGCTTCGCCTTCATCGCATCATCCATTGCCTGTTTTGATTTCTTCATTGCGTTCATGACGGCTGTCTCACTCTCCTGTACTTCCCTCATCAGCATCTTGGCGGTGCCTAAGTGGGAAGATAGTATAAAGTTTATTTTTACAATGGGATGCCAAAGATAGACCAAATAAAAATTCGTATGCAACAGGTAGATATGGAATAAAACATAAAAGTTTAACTACAGTATAATCCAGATGAAAAATAAAATACCAACGCTAGTGTTGTAAAGGTTTCTGTTATTTCAAAAGTTACCTAGCGACCAACTCAGTTTATCTCTTTCCATTTTCTTAATACATTTTCTAAGTTTTTAAAATTTAATGAAACCTTCAGGTTACAAAATTACTTCATTTTACTTACTCCTTTGAGAACTAGTCCCACAATGTCCCTAGCCTTTTCCCCGAGCAATACAGAAACACCCCATCCTTAAATCCCGATTTGTAAAGAACTAAATGGCGTTATATTAAAACCAGTTCAACAGCAGATACTACGATCAGACAACCCCTGGCCCCTGGATTCTGTGAATGTTTTCCCAGTACCCTTCATTACCTTCTTTGTTTCTCATGGCTTCTTCTGCTTTACGGGCTTTTGCTAATGCTGCCTGTGCAAGGTCCTTTACCCCTGTGCAGTTTCCTCCTCCACACATGCCACAACCCTTGTGTGTGCAACGACCACATTTGTCTCCACATAAGACCATATTTGTTTCGTTCAAAATGCGTTCAAGTTCGTTCAGTTTGACGGTCAATTGCCCAAGCATCAGCTCGTTGCTGGAGTGTAAGTCGCTGAATTTTGGGTTGGCATTCACAACTTCCTTATCCATCTTTATTCGGTACTCCTTTGATTCATTCAGAGATTTCAAAGCCCTGCTAATGGTTCTGTCAGCAGAAAGGGACCTCTTTTCGCTATCAAGTGTCACATTGTATGCATATCCAACATCCCCATAAGCAATATCTGTCATGTTCATCTTGAGCTGTTTTCCCTAACAATAGCAACAAGACGGGTTCAAAGTGTCAATAAAGCAAGACGTCCGCATTTACAAACACAATGCTTAGAACTCTCGTATTTAAACAACCATTTATTCTATAAGCATTAATTTACAGGCACACTTACCCTTTGGAGCAGACTATTTAAGTACTCTTTTAGACGGTCAAGCTCTTCGTTTGCTTGTATGGTTCTGTTAGTTGTGTTCCCGAGCGATTTGAAAACAGCATGGGACTTAGAATTGATGCTTGTAAGATTCTTCCTAAACATATCAAGCTCCTTTCTGAATTTGTTTACATCACTGGCACTCAAACGTCTGTCCAATAAGATTTTGTCAAGATCTTTCATGGTGCTCTTGAGTGTTTCCAGTTCCAGGTCATAAGTAGCAAAATAGCTAGAAATATTTGACCCTGCAACATAGTTAGTCATGTTCTTCTCCAACTTGCTGATTATTTCGTCCCATTGGTCGTAGCAAGGGTGGCACCTCTCACATTTTGGCATTACGCCTGTTGTTTGTGCATCGCACATGTCACATCGATCACCAATCACACCGGGCCTGCACTTACATTTGCCGGTCTTTCTGTTACACTGGCTATTGAGAGAGCCAGCTGGGTTACACAGGCAGGCTGCGGAGAAAAATGAGAGTTACTCTTCTCAAAGTCTGTTCACTTAACGTCAGTAACTGAAAGTACCAAATGCTGTAAATATATAGCAATATATCTTTAACTGGAATGGCCATAATAAAACAAAGACAATTTTGCCAATCTTAACCAGAGAAAAGCTCTGCCCAAAATGATAATTTCAAAAGAAGATTTTCTGCGCAAAAATAATAGCACATCTTTTTATGCTAGCATCCAAAAAGCTACTTTCCAAGAAAGCACTTGAAAAATTAAAACTTGTTTTTCGAGCAAATCCATATTCAGAAGCTTTGCAAAATGGAAGAATAGCAATATAAACAAAATATATCAAACTTTCTAACTTTAAGTAAATCAATTGAAATTGGTCAGATTACTCTACTTAACACCTTTATGTTTTGGTGGACTAGTAGCAAGATTTAATATTTTGGAATTAAAGTTTGTCACTATCATAAGAAAAGATTACTTAGCCAGTAACAACGTATGATTCAAATAAAGTGCAGGCGCTTTTAAAAATGTACTTTTTGATTCTTTTTCTACTTCATATCTCCTTATCTTTTTCATATCTGTATTATTGTAAAGGTGTTTCCTTTAGAGAAATATAGTGCTACGATAAACAGTTATCAGTCTACCTTTACACCCAGACGCCTTAGGATCGCCCCAGAAGCCATCTTCGCAGTCAGAACAAGTCCTGCCGCCAAAACCAGTTCGGCATCTGCACTGACCATCAAGCTGAAACGATCAATCACAGCATGTTCAATTTCGTTTCCTTTAACGAATGCTATGGTATTCAACCAACGATAAAAATCAATAAAAAAATTTTGAGACCAGTAATATTTGTTGAGCTTTATAGAAAAATTCTTAATCTTGACTGACCTAGCAATAAGCTTAATTGCTACACTCCTGGCAAAAGTCTTGGAACACTAGAGTCAGTTTTAAAGGGTGAATTAAGCCAACCCTTTTCCTTTACCTTAATGATGTTTGCCTAAATTATCAAGACTGTTGGGGGGGGGGGAGGGGGAAGAGGAGAGCAACAGTAATATTTTTTGCCAAGAAAGGACAAATATAAAAATACGACGCAAATCGCTCGTGTTACAAGTAATTTTGACAGACATTGTAGGCCTAATAAGACTTCATCATCTGGCTGGTTTGTAAATGTCAATAATATCCTCAATAAATCGAACATAAATCTATTCAGTGAAAAAGCTTCCGCTTTCGCTTACCTGGTTACATTGGGCTTCCAAAGAACCCTCCTTGTCACATTCACACGACTGACAGCCCTTGCCACTGGCCAAGTTCCAATAGCCTGGTTCGCATTTGTCACACTGTATACCGACCACATGATTGCGACAGATGCACTGGCCAGACGATGGGTCACAGAATGCAGAAGACGACGAATCGCTTCCTTTCTTGTTGCAAACGCATTCTACGAATAAACAGTATTCATTTCACGGTTAAATACCGTATAAAAAGTCCCTGCTAGACTTGACATAGTAAATTAAACGTTAGAGAAACCGAGTCAAAAGTACATTGGTCTATTTTTTTATTTCAACTTGACTCGTGTCACCGAAGGACCTCCAATCATCTTTGCTAGTAAGGAGTCAAAATGCAAAAAACCCTTTAGCGGGAGATCTATATTATATCTATCTTGGTTACAATCGAATTGCAATAATATTTTACGAATCAAGGATTCCAAATTTTTGTATTTTGAAGTTGAAAATCTCAATGACAAAATTTTTCAGTTTGGTATGAAGAACAGTTGGATCAAAAATGTTGCCAATTTGGAAGAACAAACTTTTTTAGCACAAAAAGCCCTCTTGATTATACGATTTTCTTTCCTATTTATGACAAAAAACCCAATCAGATAGCAACAAGAGAATCGAGATGAGACAACCAAGTTCATAAATCAAAAAGCAGCCAAAACATGCAAGTTCATTTTATTCAGTCTGGCGCTAAGCTCACTACAAAGGCCATTCTAGACAGAGCAAATAATATGCTTTGTTTTCCATCTGAGCTTGCTCTAGGGGTGTGTTATTCTATGACGTTTCCCATCAGAACATCTGCTTAAAGGTAATTTATCCATATAAAAGGAGTGCGAATACCCAACGTGTCAAGTAACATTAAAAAACCGGCTTGCGATTGGTCAGTATTCTTGCGATTCAAAACTGCTTACATGAAAAGCTAGCCTAGCAGTGTAGAAGATAAACAGAACGATCGTAATGGCTGGGGCGATGACATGAAAAATCACATGTTTCTGAAAACCCCCGAAGAGTTGCTTGCTTTAGCTGGACACATTACCTTTAACGTCCACTATCTAGCTAGCACGGAGATCTATTGCAATAGAAAACTTCCAGTCAGCAATAATGCTTCTTTAACAAAACACTACAAAATGTGCCAGGAAACAGCCAAATGAAAAACTACTACTAGACGAAATTAAACAAAACCTATATATTTGAATTTACAAGCGGAATTTGCAAAAAAACCTCATAGTCATGGAGCGCAGTGGCAAGCAAAAATGAATGAAATTGAAACAAGAAAATGCTTATATTAATTAAATGGAAGATAACAGTACGTATGTGTGGGTAAATATGATAATTTGAAATAAGATACAAACCTCGACAAGTCCTGTTAAGTGCGTTTCCGAAGAATCCTTTCTGACAAATCTCACAATAAAATCCAGTGGTGTTGTGTTGGCAGTTGAAGCATTCGCCTGTCACACTGTCGCATTTGCCTCGAGCATTGGCGTTAATATTGCCATTGCAGTTACATTTCTCACATTTGCCACCTGGTGCCAAAGGTTTGCCAAAATACCCATCGGCACACTTCTCACACTGAGTACCCGTATACCCTCTCTGTAACAAAAACATCAGGCATCAACAGGGTGACAAAATGGCGAGACAATACTACTAGCAGTCTGACATGGAAACTGGATTGGGTTTGACTATCGTAGACACTTTTATTGCAGACAGAGTAACTGGATTGTTATTGCATCCGGGCTTACGAAACAGTTGTGAATCATATATAACAATTTCGTTATCTACAGCAAAGAAGGAGAAGGAAGTGATTCAAAGAGGGCCTAAGTGTGGTTGTTTTCCATATACAAACATTTGCTAGAATCTTAAAGGTTCAAAAACCTCTGCTCTTAATTTAAGCTATTTTATGACAAATTATAGCTAAGGACTAAGCCACTTATCAAATTAAGAATACTTACCAACAATATACTTTTAAAGAAATTTCAAATCTATCACCATGTTGAAAAAAGCACAGATAGATATTTGGGAAGATTTTATTTCAGTACTCAAGATTCTTAATGATCAGAGCTGTTTGATTCAAACATCATATACTCTTCACCCTAACGCTTTATGCAAACTGAAGCTAATGCAACCGGCCGGAAATTAAATTCTCCTTAAATAATTACTCCTCAAGTATTTACCTCACAAGCATCGCAGACCAACTTAGCAGGGGATGCCCCGTTATCCAAGTAGCATGTTTTGCTGAACTGATTTCCGCTACTTCCACCTGGGCATTGGCATCGAGAACAATCTTTGCTTGTTCCTGGAAAACAAAGGCTCAGTGTAGAAAATAGATATACACAAGTGTTCACTGTCCTAGCTTCAAATTTGAGAGCACTCAGTTTCAGGGTAGATATTGATACGCAAGATGAGACTCTTGAAGCCTTCAAAACGTGTGTCAATACTTTTGTAACAGAAAGCTTGATGCTCAAAAGGTGCTCCATTATCTCCCAGCATATATATTAACAAAATATCCCCCCCCCCTCCGCAAGAACACATTGCCTACTTCTCAAAAATAGCATACACCCCTGGATTACTATAAATATATAGTTATATAGATGTTCAGACAGGAAGGAACATCGAAAATTTTCCCACCTTTTGTTGCATCACCGTAATACCCTGCGCTACACTTTTCGCAATGATCTCCAGCGGTGTTGTGTTGGCAATTTTGGCATACCCCCGTCTTTGGATCACACGAAGTTGAATGTCCGTTGCATTCACACTTTCTACATTTTGGAAAGCCGAAATGATTGGCAGGACATTGGTTGCATTGCCTCCCAACGACGTTATCAATGCAGGAGCACTGACCAGTGGTCAGGTCACAGAACTGGCTTTTTGATGCAACAGGATCACAGTTACAAGCTGAAAAAACAGAAATCGATCTGTTAGAAAACTTGTCAATTGAAAGAAGTTGAATTTTGTAGATCTTTGATGAAAGTTACCGAGTTTCGTCAACATGAAATTAAACCCTAACGCTGAAACATTGGTTGGTAAAAAATGGATAGTTGTAAGATATAAGGAAAATGGCGAAGTGAGGTATAAAAAATGCAACTGCTTTAAATCGTTTTAACAGTAAATTTCATGTGCCTTCGCAAATCAATCATCCTTTATTTCCTTTTCTGCGATTGCAAAAGCCAAAAACTGTCACAGTTACACTCTCTTTCTTTTATTAGAGCCAGGTAAATTTTCCCGAGACTTGATGTTCATATTTCTGGGTAATTTGAGGCGCAGGTGTACTTAATGTTGTCAAATTTCAAAGTTGATTTTTCTACAACAATATAATTTTTTTCTTACTCTCAACCTGAGGATGGGCATGTTCTTGTGTTGTTTCTATTTTTTAAGCCAATCAAGCCTCGAGGTTCTTACATAAAAAGTGCACTTCGATCTCCACAAGCTAGCAAAAAATGCACTTTGTTTTTATTTGGTTGAAGAAAACGTGATTCTGTCTAAACGTTAGCAAGTTCCTTTTATAAACTATAATCAGGTCTGCATCCTACCATCCTTCAATTAAAATATAACCTAAAGTCTGCCTCCTACGATACTACACTCGTAGCAGCAGACATCTTGTTTTAAAAAATACGAATAAGAGACACACCTTTGCATCCCTGTGAGCTGAATCCATAGGCACCGGGAGCACATCTGTCACAAGTGCGTCCGATAACATTCGGCTTGCATGGACACTGGCCGCCCGCAGCTTCACAAGTCAAGATGTCGCTAGTGCCATTGGCGCGGGTTCCAACACGATCACATTGGCAAGCTGGAGGTTTTAACAAGAACGTTTGTTAATCACATGCGAGCAATTGGTGGAAAACCATAATTTCTTCGCTCAAAACGAGCGGTATAAACAAAAGCAAAGTGCGAGAGGAGGGGGCCTACTTAATCTGTAAGCTACAAGTCTGCGAAAAGTCTCGGTGAACTAACGTCAGTATTCAAGGTCAAATTCAGTCATCCCCTTCCCCCCAAAGTTGGTTTACTACCAAACGATGTACGGAATTAGAAAGTATGTTTCTTCCTGCGACTTTTATGTTAATTTCTAAAAACATTGTTTTGGGCGAAGGGAGTAGGGAAGTGGAAGTATTCGCGAAAAGATTTGAGAAATACAAAAACAAAACGCATATTGCTAAGTGTTAGAAGTACTATTGGCAATGATTGTAGCTGAGAGAGAGAAAACCCCTTATCAAAAGCAATGACATAATTCCTGAGCTGCGTGATCTGAATCAACCTCTTTTCAAGAAGGCTACAAGGCCTACAAAACGACGTATCGGATGACGCAGATTATTACGCTAAGCAATTAATGACTTACGAAGAGCGCCTCCATTGATGACTGAGGAAACAGAGAATTGAAGCCCCCGACACTGCGCAGGAGCATTTGGGTCACGTCGATTGGCTGAGAGGTAATATCTCTGGCATGTGTCGTCATAAAGTTGGCGCTTGGCATCTGCTCCCGCACCTTTGAGAATACTAACCGAGTCTGAGCGCGGGATAAATACAATCTGCGTGAACAAGAAAAAGTTTTTCGATCAAACACAAATGGCCTCATCTAAACAGAGTAACGATGCTTTTCGTTAAAGAACAAGGAGGAAATTTTGCTCCAGAAGTTAGGCAAACTTTCGAGTTGAAAAGTGGTTACTTATGAAGTCTCATTGCAATACTATCTTGATTAAACTTGAACTTATCATAAAAGAGGATTAATAATGTGTAACATAATAATCGAATTGCACCATATGAGAATTGTTGGTAAGAAGGGGCATTCCACACAGCACAGCTCTCCGCTAAACTAATTTTAAACGTATTTATCAACATAAATCAAGTCGCTCATTATCCATGAACAAAAAGATAACTTTTTGTAGCATTCTTTTGAAAAGGGTTTCCGTCCTTTTTCCAAGCTTTTGTAGACACTGTTGCAGTGGCAACTGCCTTTCCGAGCGCCATTTAACTTAACTTCCTTAAAATATCTTTGTTCTTACCGAATCAATGAGGATTGTTTCCCCAGGGAACAAACTCTTCGGCATCTTTATTCGCACATTGTAAACAACGTTCTCCTGTAGGCAGATTGGTTCCGTTGACTTGGCACTATCATCATAACTGTACAACGTCGCCTTCAAAGCCTTTTCTGTACCGGAGGCAACACAGGGACCACCAGATAGAGGCCGCCCGTCAGTCCTTCGCACCGTTGCCATGACATCTTGCCAGGATCCTGGCCCCTATGACAAGAGTGGAGATAATTTGATAAAACACGTTTTCCCTGGAAAGAACGTTAGCTACAACTGTAGACAACTTCACAGTAGCATTGGAATCTACATAATGATTACGCCGTAAAAGATAATTAGAGAATGGAACTTCCGGGTACAATGTCCCCCTCCCTACCAAAAACTTGTGTAGTTTATTGTTAACCCCAACACGAGTCGCTCGCTTTCTGTGTTCACTTGAACCAATTGGTTTGACGACTCAAGTGACAAGGTATTTTGAAGAAGTCTTATCACTGTTACATTTGCCGCTGTATTTAGTTCAGATACAGTATATACTATACAACCAATACACACTTACGATATCCGCGAGCTTTATTTGCATAAAGAGACTGGGGCGAGAAGTTGGTTGAAAAAGTTGTCACGGGCCTATGTTTCCATATACATAGGGTTTACTGGTGACGTATCACTGCTCGAATTGACATTAAAAGTATTGGAAATTTTGTTGATTTTTATTCTTAAACATCTTCCGTAGTCTTTTATCTCGAAAACAGTTTTTTTAAAAGCTTCTGTCAAGTATCCTCATCAGATTTGGTTGTACTTTAGTTAACACTTCTACTTTACCAATAAATAATGCAGTTTGATGTACAACAGAGCATCGTCAGGGCCTACAAAAACGTTGGTAATACGGTCGAAGCCCGAGAGGAAAGCAAATTAAACCTAGAAAGGAGATGCCACTCCCAAATCCCGCCCTTTTTTCATTGGTATTCAGTTCAGGATTCCTAGAACTGGAGGGTATTGCCCTCAGGAGGTGTGATCACTACCTTGGTCTCTGAGCATCACACTGGCCAAGGTTGAAAATTTTTACACTTAGTAATATAAGTGTTTTGGGAGAAACAAATGCTTCTTGTTTTCGCTTCGAAAATAGCCATCATGGCTAACTAAAGATGCACCAACTTGTTAAATCTAGATACATCAGGTATCAAAGAAAAGTTCATTAAGGAACTCTAAAGAGAACCCAAGCTTGAATTTTATTGAAGCAACTATTTCAAAGGATTGTTGCTTTTTAAAAAATTATTTAGAATAAAAACAATGGAAAAGATTTACCTGAGGCTGAAATCTGATAACCATGTCATAATTTCCGGAATGAGGAACCCGGACCATTGTGAAATCGAATACACTGTTTTCTTTGACAAGCACATATCCATCGCCAGTCCATATTTTCTTGCTTTTGTCAGCTGGCTCAGTTCGCTTGACTACAGAAAACACCTAGAAAGATCAAAATTACATTTCATTTCGTGAGCAATGAATAGCTTGTTCTATTGGTAAAAACATCATTTTGTTCATTTATTCATTAGTCCATTTTATATTGTTTGAGACAAAGAGAGAAGACTTAATTCATACCTGTCGAGTCTTTTTGCGTATTTTTTTGCTTATTCTTTTCCGCTTCAAATAATATGAAATATTTCGTTTGCATCATATTCAAATTCATTAAAACGTGTGTTAGAACGAACATCCCGAGTTAAATCTGTATATTCTGGCAAAATATTGAAGTTTGCAACTGAACGCTAGTCACTGCAATTTTGTAGAAAAATATTCTAAATACATTGAAGTTTTGATTGGTGGTTCCTTCAGTGAATCTTTGCAATGTGTACTTTTTTCATTATGCAGTGATCATATTTTTACATTAACATTAAGCAGTGCTATCAAAATACCCTTATTACACAAAATATTGCAATAAAATAGCAAAAGCAAAATTTAGCTTTTTTTCTACATTAACAAGGGCGCTCGAAACCAAACAATTGTATACGAAACAAATTCTTCACACCATGTGATATAAAGAGGCTAGATCCTTGGGTAGTTTGAAAAGTTAAGTCTATAAACCCTGGATTTGTTCATGAGGTTTTTTTCCTATCTGCCACTATCCTTATTTAAAGTGTAATTCAAATACTTACCGAACCAGGTGCTGGAACAGCGTCCTCTGCCTCGAACCTGTTTTGATCCATTAGAGCAAAGAAGTAGCCAGGCCTTGGCATGTCGCATTTACGGCCGATTATGTTAGGCCTACACTCACAGGATCCCGTGATTTCGTCACAATTGTCGTTGTATGCCCCACCAACGTCACAACCGCATGGTTGACAGCCATCAATGGAAGTTCCCAGACCCCAGTATCGTGGCTTTGAGGGGAAAAAGGTGTGCTTGAAATTCAGCAAATTTAGCAACAACAGATATAAAAATAAAGTCAATAATGCGGCTACCTGATAATTCGAACTGTTTTCTAATTCGAACAAAGTTTTTTCCCCCATTTGAGTTTGAGGCTGTAACCAGGTGGTATTGACTGCTCTTTATCTCCTCTTTTCTTATTTTGCCATTCTGGATATTACATTATGTTCTCGTATTGATTGTTTAGTTTTTACTTTCTATATGCCTATAAAACATTTCCCTTGAAAGATTTAATCATCTAGCGTTAACTTAAGACAATGATTATACAAAATCAAAAAGATTCTACAGACAACTACTGCTAGATTATTGTAATCCAGATGAGATCGATTAAATGGATTCTACGATCCTGTCTTTCGTTATTCTCCAGTAAATCGTCACGAATTAGCAGACAATGTACCATTCCACGAAAGTACAAAATGAATGGGAGGGGAGATAAGGGCAAATTTTCAAATTTTTGAGAAAAAAATATCCTACACCTGGTTGAAACTTCACATAGTGACACAGTGTACATGGCATTTGTCAAGTAGCATCAAAGTACTTTTAAAATTTTTCCTAACACAGCTTAACATAAAAGTCATCATTACGAGCATCTAACTAGCCTCGAACATCTTCAAGTGTATAGAATCAAAGTAGAAAATAACAGACAAAGAAAAAATAATGAAAAAGTGCTACAAAGCAAGACAATCAAAAAGAATCCTTCACTGTCAACGAGAAGATCAATAATTGTCACCCTCAATCATCACATCCTCTTTCATAGTTCATTATACATCCTTTATTAATAAAATATATAAAAGGTGTTTTTGAAAAGACTTACAAAACACTGGTTGCACGTCGTTCCTCGGACAAATCTTTTGCAATTACATTTTCCATTCAGAGTGTCACACTTGTTGACGATAACAGTACCACGTTGGTCGCAGTTGCAAGCTAAAAGACAAAAACGCGCATTTGTAAGCAAGGGGGAGTTCTCAACAAGATCTAAAAGAAACCAAGAAACTGAGATGAAATCATTTCTGCATTGTGAAAAAGAAGATCGTTAGTGAATTGCAATATGAGCTGTCTCGTTTTCACACGGTCAATCTCGTTCATATTCAGCCATCAATCAAACCTTGTATACGGATTGTGATCATGAGATTTTAGATTTTTATGAGACTTTATGGGCGAAAAACCTGTGATTGGCGCGCAAAACCTATTTAGATTTCCTCTTTGAACTATGTATCTTTCTGTGCAAAACTTGCGGACCCATTTTGCAGAATATAGGGATGGGTGGGCTGCAATAACTAGGTCGTCAAATGGCATTTGACCTCTTTCTGCTAATTGGACACCACATTAATGCTATATCTAAAAGATCATAATTTTTGGTTACAATAGTAGCAAATATAAAAAGGCTAAAAGTTATATTGTTGCTAATTTTTGCTAAAGGACGTCCGGAAAAAACTAGACTGCTTAAAATGGACATTTTGAGTGTTAAAGTTTCTTTGCAGCGATTCTATATTCAATTCTATATTTCTTTAAAGTTCATTGCAAAGACGCATGCAATTAACTCTTAAAGAGATGGAAACAAGTATTGAACTTCACAAGCGAAATTCAAATAGTTTTGAAATCAACGTCGAGACAATTTAAAAAAATGTCAATATTGGGGAGCTTGAAAAGATGATTTCTTGCTTACGCGAGAAATTATAGGGAATATATATAAAAATTACAAACTCAAGGTACTACGAAAAAATTACAAAAATCAAAATAATGTTGCCCAATCTGTTACCAATTACACACTTTTTGTAAAAATACCTTTACAAGTATTCTTAAAAAGCACAGGATAACGGCCAAGCTAAAGTGGAAACTTCAAAAACGCAAAAACTAACGAAGTTTATGATAGGATAAGACCCACAGGTTCACGACGTCCATAGATGTATGGCCTCCCTAAAGTACATAAGCCGAATGTTCCATTTAGACCCAACTTGTCTATGATTGGCTCAGCACAACACGAATTGGCTAAATGGCTTTCTGAATTTTCGGACCCTGTTCTTCAAAAATATTCAAAACATTGCAACAAGGATTTAAGAAGAAAGTCTTAAAAGTGAAACTGTTGACAAAACCCGAGCCTGTTTACTGTTCTTAACAAGCTTTTAAACTTGATCCATTTCGAGACCAAACATTCTTAAAAGATCCATTGATATAAAAAGAGTGTATCGCTTTAATGGATTACTCACATCGGCATCCTGCTAGGTTTGACTCTTGGAGATTATAGAAGCCATCTTTGCACGTGTCACATCGTCTTCCTTGCACGTTCTCCTTGCAAATGCAACGTCCGGCCACGGTTCCATCGATCGGATCCGTATATGTTTCGCATTCACCGCCGCCAGTAGAGCCGGACGGATCACAATCGCAAGCTGGAATAGAAAGATAAATCCTTGTAAGGTGCACTTGATATGATGGCCAAATTTAATATTGTCCTCGGTGATGATTGTTTTCTTTTCCCTTTCTTTAAAATCAGGAGCCCCATTTTAAGCCCAAACGCAGGATTATCTTAATCAGGATGTCAACTTTTTGCAAACAAATATCATAAGAATTTCTTTATTCTTGATATCAAATAAAAGAAGCTTGCGTACAAAACTGTGCCAACATGTTTAAATACAAAATGGTTCTTATACATACGTAAGCAGACTTTCGTATCAGTGAGGTCTTTGAACGGGTCTCGGTAGAATAGCGGTTTACACAGCTCGCATTGTCTTCCAGTTGTGTTATGTTTACAATCATCGCAAACTCCACCGCTTCTATTTCTCGTGGCTTTGAAGACGGCTGGATCAAAATGGCACTTGTCTGTATGGCCGTGACAATTGCATTCTGGGAAGAAAAGAACAGGGGATAAAATCCTTGAGAGCGTTGTTTGTTCATATATGGGTTGAGCCAAAATACACTATGTGTTGAACCAAAGGAAATGGAATGTCATAACCTAAAGTGGGGACCATTTTCAAAAGAGTTTAGGCGTAGCAAGTTGAGCTGTGTCGTCATTCCACTCGACGTACGTATGTACAATATCTAGAAACTCGGAAACAAATAAGTTACGCTAAATTTTTGCTATCAAAATCAACAAAATGAAAGATTCCTATCAAAATCAACAACAGCAATATCATATTTAGGATAAGCAACAGCTCAAACATCGTATTCGTGAAGAGCAAAGGATGGCTAAATTGTTGAATGGCTTACTTTGGCATTCATTAATCTGCTGGTCATAAGCGGGACGCCAAGGCAAGTCATTATATCCCTCTTTGCACAATTCACAGTTCCGTCCTCGGGTGTTGTGAGTGCAGTTACACTGTCCATGTACCTGCAAAGGGATAACAAATTAGATTTATGTGATGTTGCTAGTTTTAATCGACTATCAAAATTCAAAGCTCGTGGATACATTTCTGCCTTAAGGGGAAAACTACGACGCCTGCCAAAAATACTGTGACACCCAGGAATTTGCGCTGTATTTCATATTTTTAATTTCTTTTACAAAAAGTTAGCACTCCCCCCCCCCTTCCCCCAAGAAAAATGTTGACAGTTACACTCTTTTTTATAAGAACCAGTAAATCTAAGTTGAGACTGATTGTTCTCAATTTTTCTACAACCTGGGGCTGAATTGTTCTTATTTTGCTCTTAAATCAATACGGTGTAAGCAGTGCGATTGCTAGATTTTTCGCTCTAGGGAGGTATTCAGGCCTCATTTGCCAACAATGTGAGTGAGACAACCTTTATTTGTCCGACAAGTTTGAATTTTCACCAAAAAAGCACTCACTCACTCATGGCTAAAAATCCTCATTTTTGAGACAAATGAGAAAAAATCCTCATTTGTTCAAAATTGTAATTTGCAGAAGCTCATCCTCAGCTTGTTCTTAATTTGTTCTAACTTTTGACCAATTTTGAGGCTCGTGTTCTTATAAAATTGTTCTTATAAAAAAAAGTGTAAAGCAAGTAACAAGTAAGATACAAGTAACGCAAAAGCAGAGTTTGGCAGGGTTTATTTTAAGGAATTTTTATCACTGCACACATTCAAAATTTTTGAAAATTTGGGTGTCACCTTTTGAAAATTTTTATGACCACACCCATCAACCTAAATGTATGCAAAACGATCGAATTGCAACAGCTCTCGCCCAAGCTTTACATGAGATTTTGATGAAGAAACGCGGTCTAGGTTGAAACATGTTTTCGAGAATAAAGATCTTAAAGAAAGGATTATGAACAAAACAAACTCGATAGTTTTTAGATAGTGAACAATTTTCAGAGATGTAATGCTCCTTTAAAAGTTTTACGTGTCTACCGGTAGTTGATGCAGTTTTGCTTTTTCAATGCCAAATCTCTTAATTTTAGTTTTATCACTGCACAAAATTTGAGTTTATCACTGCAAAATTACGATTTATCATTGCACAAATTGGTTATCACTGCACGTTAAAGTAAACCCTGTCCTCTGAGGGAGAGAGGAATCACTGAGCTTCACTTTGAAATCTGACGTCAGTTTTCCAAGACTTCTGGCAGGCACAGTAGGCTGGACATATCTATTCTATAAAGAACTGTCTATAAGAAACCAATCTCCGAGACGACCTTAGAAACCTTAATAAAAAATAAGAAACCTTAGAACAGATCACCCTCAACCTTACTAAACTGCTTGAAAGTAATTATATCGAAATGGCATAGACATTATTCCATTAAACGATTACACACCTATTTCCTGCTCATGGACAAGTTCAATCGACAGAGATAATGGAGAGGAGAACTCATTGCGACTGATAAGGTGTTCCATTTCACGTGAAAAACATTGTTGTCTAATGTTACATTTTTGGATTTCTAAAAAATTAGCATTTGGTATTAAAAAACCTTTTGAGAAACCTTTTAGTACTAAAATAAACAATAATATTTTTAAGAAACTGGAGACTAACCCTGAGCCTAGCCCCTTATTGATATAACTTCAACCAAAATGTGAAAAGGCCTTGAGGCATAATGTGAAAGTCTTCTTCATGTTCCATAAATTTATTTTTCTTGTCACTCTTTTTCTTAAAATTTCTTTTAACTTTGTCTCTGCTGGAGTTGTACAACCTCCCTTTTTTTTTATGACATTATTTTACAATTGTAGCTTAACGATCACCTTGGTATGCATACCACAGCACAACCACATAGCAATGGGGGCAACTAGTGAGATTTACGGACTCACGGGCAGTGATGCCCGTGGATGGGGCTCAGAGGGGCTCAGCCCCCCTTGTTAAAATTCAGAGATACTTTTTTGGGGGGGGCCAGGCCCCTTGAAAAAACGAGTTCAGATTTGGTTGGACATATACTGTGTTGAAAACCCTCTATTATAATGTCGATTTCTCATGATTATAATTATAATGAGCAATTTCTTATCAGTCTGCTTGTGTCATTGAATTGTTTGAATGGTTCCTGTCCTACATACAACAGAGAGTCTATTGGGTGTGATAAGGGTGTGGCCTCTAAAATTTGCCTACAGCACGGCCCCCTTTCCTAACTTTTTAGGACGGCACCCCTGCTCACACGTAAACAAAATGAATGGGTCGCAAGAACAGGACCAAAGCCTTAAGAAGGCCAGATAAAGAACAAAACCAGGATATATTTTATCCTGGACGGCTTTGACAGGCCCTCCAAAACTAACTTACTTTATATCGGTTTAATCTTTGGGAATTAAAATGTTCAAAATTTAGATTAAAACCTCAGAGCATAACCAAAATTTCCCAATTACAAGATTCGAAGGTTCTTAATCTCCTCCTGTTAAAGCAGAAACGTTTTTAACAAAACGACATGACTTAATCCCATTTTTGAGGCCTTTAAATTATCAAGGTATGATAGCAATCAATGGACGCTGAAAGATCTTGAGAAATCAATGACACAGGGATATATTCAGCATTGTATCGGAAACCATGCCTGCGTTTTTAGTTGTTTAATAGAAAACTTTGATAATTTTTAGCCTATTTGTTTTTACGAATTATTTGAAAACAATGAAGCTACGTGACGGAACCTGCCAGTTAGGCCTCAAGGCTTTCTGACAGGAAAGCGGCACTTGAAGCAGCTTAGAAGCACGTCGTCAACCTCTTTCGATAAAGCATAATTAGCCCTTGAGATTAATGAAAGCGGTGTACGTTTTCCTGCCAAGTACAAACGTACAGCTTGCTACAACTATTAATCAAAGTCTTTCAATGATTGAGACAACCTTCAGAAAATTTATACGAAGGCATGAAACAAAACCCAAAGAAATGGTCATTGAATCGTCGCTCAAAAACCGTGAATGTTGAAGTTAATAGACGGTAATTTCTAACCAAGAGCAGCTTGTTACAAATTAGTTTCGTCTCATCCTCTTTCAGCAGAAGGAGTAGATTTATACTGATAATTGAATGATTAAAAAGTGTGGCCACCGCTTGATGCAGAGACATAAATTGTTTTTAAGAGACATTAATATGGTATGGTATGGTATGGTATGGTATGGTATGGTATGGTATGGTATGGTATGGTATGGTATGGTATGGTATGGTATGGTATAGTATGGTATAGTATGGTATGATATGGTATGGTATGGTATCGTATGGTATAGTATGGCATGGCATGGAATGGTATGTTATCTTAAGGTATGATTATGGTCACACTAACTGTTGCTTGACAAACTTTGACAGTAAAAAGTGCTTAATTGTACTAATTTGGGCCTAAATTTTGTGACTCCAGCCTGACTTCAAGCGGAATAAATAGAACCGGAGTCGACTGCACAGACCTGTATCCTTTCAATAAATATTGGATATTAGATCAACTTTAAGTTTTCTTAAGCCAAGTGGCAATTAAAAATAAATCAGACAAGTATTCAGATGTTGCGTGGTTAAGGTTTTAACAGACATTAACAGTAAAAACAGTTGTGCATTGTTTGAATTGGGAAAGGCTGAAGGAAACCCGGAGGAAAGGAAATGAAACAAGGAATGTATATGGTCTTTCTACAGAGGATAGAATGACAGGACACAATTTGTCCAATTTTCCCAAACAATGCATACACAGGCTCCGGTTTATTGTTCCAAATCAGATTTACCGAAACTCTCATTAAACATCTTTCTCTGGTTATTTGTTTTTTAAAAGCAAATAGTCCCTGCAAAAATCTTTCTTTTAGAGAAATAGGGTGACTGTAAAACAAGTTTTTTCCCGTGGAGCAACCAGTTGGCGAATATTTGCGTTTGTTAAACAAATGTACAAAGTTCGAGCCTACGCCGGTAAATTTTATCAGTAAATATTTTGCTGAAAACTTTTAAGAGCTCACTTTATAGTCTTCTAATTAAACACAAGTGTAGTATCTGGTAATATCTCGTAATAACGCCTATTTGTAGTGTTTGGTAATAACTCTAACATTTGCATTTTATACATGAAGCCGATAAATAACAGCACTGATAGTTATTTGGCGGAGACAGCGATGGGGTGCGGCCATCCATCGAAGAGAGTGATATGCTTTTTTTCAACGTGAAAAAGTACCATTTGTAGGAAGATTAGGCTAACCCGCCAAATAATTTGCTAGTTTTCCAAAATTCGCCATTTTTGAGCCATAGACAGAGATTTCTAAATGCAATCGTGGAAAAAACAAAAAAGTGCAGTTTCCCTTTGCCCAAAGGAAATGTTGAAAATCCAATTTTCAACTTTAGAAAATCAAACTAAAAGCAAATCCCATTAACTTCCCTTTTTCTTTTGATGTTTTTTCTTATTTAACAAGATCTCCTCCCTCTATATCAATATCAAACTGACAATATGAGCTGAAATTAAATGTTTGGACATTTAGCTCTGATACGATACCAACATTAAATAAGGGAAAGGGGGAGGGGGAGGGTGGAATTGATCTGTCACAACTTTTCTTTGCAACTACTTTTACAATGCCAAATATTCAACACAGTATCAGGAGATTTGGCCACGATTGTAGATTGAGTACGATTTCGGAAAGAACCAACCATATTAGAGGTTTAAAAAGGTACATACCATATTTGGGAAATTTTTGGCTCCATTCGTAGGGATGCACTCTTCGGCGTGTCCATAACACGAGCAACTTCCACGCACGACCATTTCGTACATGGCGTAGTAATACTTCTTTCGCACGGCTGGCCCATCGCTAAGAGCATCGTCGCCAAGTGTGTGCAGCTTCGTAAAATTCACGCGAAGGTTCGTGAGCTTCAACAGTTTCTGCACATCGTAGCTATACGGGTTCTTCACAGGGATAAGCGGATCCAGCACTTTCATTACAACCTGCAATTAAAATCTCGTATGGAAAACAAGGTTGGTAGTTGGGTATAATTACAGTTTACAGTCTTAGTAAGAATAGGAGTTAGTCTAGGGTCTTGGACTCCCTTAAAAAGTCCTTTTTTCGACTAAGCTCGAGTATTTTGTTATGGGCAGCTGTTCGTCGGGCTCCTACTTTGAATGCCACTCAAAAATATCTCACTCAGATACAGTCTTTTGTAACACCTTTATTGATAGATTTATTCAAGCTGTTGTGATTCAAAACTTGCATAAATCTCTTTTACGAGTCAGAGAAAGATGAGTTCAGTTTCTGACTGATATTCTATTAAACAACTCTACTTGCCTCTCCTTCCGTCGATGGCTCGATCCCAGAATACTTTTCTTCACAAATGACGTCATCGATTCTGAGTTGCGGCCCGCGTTTAACACCAGGGAATGTTTTCGCGCAATCTGCGGCAAAGTATCGATAGACCGACCATGTCCTGTTATAATCTGATGATTTTTCGACAATCATTCCAGCAGGACGGAAGGTCTTGAATGTCATGATAAGATGGGTAAAGTGGAACTCAGCCTCGAGATCAAGCTGTGAACGAAGTGACTCGAGTTAGACACAACAGGGTGAGTACGTTAACAGAACCAAACAACTAATGTTTGCTATGGACCGCAGCGACACCCCCGATATTTTAAGCTTCTAGTTAAATTTTTTACGTAACAAAGCTTTATAAATATTTCTGGTTCAAAATGAAGGTTTCTATGATATTTGATGTTAATGCAAGTGATTGATTCATCGTCATTCGTTGCCACTTTAAGGTCCATATCACTGGTTCCATACTGCGTGAACAACCAGACTAAAGTATTTACAGACCAAAAATGGTACATACGAAAAGTTTTTCTCCATTACAAAGAAACCAAGGGTAGAAAAAAGATCAAGTATTTTTCGCACATACCTGGATAGAAACGTGCTCTTTCCCGTTAGCTGCTTGCCACCATGTTTTGAGTTTGTCATCCAGACTGTCGGAAACCATGTACTTGGGCAAATGGCTCACTTTGTATCCTGAAACCAGACGATCAGTTGGCGCTGTCGAGTCACAAATAAAGCATTTTTTCTGTTCCTTCAGGAATCCCACAATGCAATACTCTTGCTTCTCTTTAAGGCCACAGGTTGAGGTTGCCGTTAGGCGGTCTTCCCTTCCAATCAGCAGATCTCCAGTAGCTGGGTAGCAGCTCCTCCTTGCACATTGCTGTTGGGCTGAGGCTAATGAGGCGATGAAAAGGGCGGCTGAAAAGAAAAGGAGTTGTCATGTTACTTGACTGAAAAAGCAAGAAAATTGAATCTGCAGGTAGCCAGGATCAATTCTTGAGCGAATTGGTTCTTCTGCAAATTCTAATTTTCTTTTCGACAACAACCCCTGTTTGCAAAGTACACAGTCTGTCATGCTATATGTTTTTTTGATACTTTATTTAAAATTGGATAAAAAATCTAGCTTAATTATAAAAAATAAAAAATAAGCTAATCAATACCAAATAACATAACAATAAATGAAGAAATATATTCATAAACAAGGTCGTAAACTAAGATGAGCTATATATATCTATGTGATATAATCCTAGATTTGGTACATACTGGGTGCATAATTTGCAGGTGCATGGAATCACAATTTGTTTTATTTGCCTTTTGAAGATTTCTAGACTGGTTACATTTCTTATTACAGTTGGTATACTGTTCAAAATTTGACTACACCTGTAAGATACTGTTTCAGTTCCATATATAACTGTGTTTGATTTTTTAGTGATAAAAGACTCATTCCTGAGAGGATATGATGACTCACGAAATTTGAAAATATCATTCATAAAATCTGGATTTTGGTTGATCTTGGTTTTATACATTTCTATGGCTAATCTCTGCAGGTTTTGTTGATGTATTGTTGAGGCATTATCTTTCATAAGTAAGCCTTCAAAAGATGAGTAATAGTCATTATATGCCACCCTTAGTGCTCTTTTATGAACATTGTTGATTAAGTTGTTCCTTTTTCGGCTACAAAACATCCAGACAATGGGACAATAATTGTGGAAGGTAGTGATAAACGAGATCATTAACAGCTTTCTCTTTTCTTCATTTAAATAAGGCGCTACTCTGGCAAGGGCACAAATTTTCCCCCAGCTTCATTACAAATCTGTTTTATGTGATGATCAAACTTTAAATGATTATCAAGTACTACTCCAAGTAATTTTTCTTTATCTGTGTTTCTGATTGAATAATTCCCGATTTTAACTTCACTCTCCCCAGAATCTGCCCTCTGAGGCTCTATAATCATATATTTACATTTATCTTTATCTAGAAGCATGCAGTTATCTTTGAACCAGCTATTGAGAGTGTTTATCGCAGATTCAAGCTTTGGGATTATATCACTAATTGTTTGCCCTTTTATCTAAATTGTGTTATCATCAGCATAATTACATATGTCACTTTCGTTTAGAAATAGAAAAATATTATTTATAAAAATAATGAACAATAATGGTCCTAAAACAGATTCCTGTGGGACTCTCTTAATTAAATCTTTCCATTCACTGCACTTACAATTCAGTTTTACTCTCTGAGCCCTGCTTTGGAGATAACTGTATAATAGCTGCAACACATTATTACTAAAGCCATATGCATGTAACTTTGCAATTATGTGGTAAGTCATGTGGTAAGCAGTCAAATTTGGCTATACAAACGTGACATACTTCGTAAAACGAGGCTATACAAAGGAAATGAGGCTACAGAAACAAAATAAAATAATTACTAAAATCATTGGCCCCTGGCGTTTCAGAAAACACACTACTCTGTTCTAGTAATACTTAAAGCATGTCTGGTGTCCCTGCTTTCTACCACGCACCAGCAAGACGTACGTAGACCTGAATTCAAACACTTGTGTTATCAATCACGAATGAATCAAGGCATGTTATGACTTCAATTTGGCGGATGACAGACGGAAAGAGAATCCCAATTAGACATTTCTTTAAAACCTAGAAAACTGATACTGGTATACCCTAAAATCATGCCGAATCTTCAAACACCAAACAGAAAATTTGCACACATTGATGTTTTGAGCTTTAAATAGTTCATATAGCGCAACCTTTCGACCAGAAAACAAGAAGGTCATGCAGAATCGTATTGTTCTTGCCTCCTTTGCGAATCAAGCAGCAAGAATCATAAAGCCTCGGTATCAAACTCTCTCCACCTTTCGTTAATATTGGCCTCAAGTCTTCTTGAAGATACTCGTAGGGGCCTATTTCACAAGACTTGCGTAAAAGATTGTGGAAATCTAGCTATAGAGAAGCTGATAGGAGAGCCGAACATTTTTGCTAAATAAACATAATAAATAAAAACTTCTGTAATAATTGTGCTCATATGAAAGAAAACAATATTAAAATGTTTAGAGAGGAGCTTGTCATGGAAATGAGTGGATTGGAAATGTATTATATGCAATCGAATTATGCACATGCACACCCAAGAAGTCAGGCTGTGGCGATCGTGTTTCTTGCATTCCCTCACAATGTCAGTTAGCACTGTTCACTTAGATTCAACACAGCTTTCCATTCAAACTGCTCTTCCAACGGCATATCACATTTCCAACATTTGCTAAGTTAAGTGCTGGTCAGTCGAATAGCCTTTCTGTTCTTCACACATACTTAGCTATGACCTAAGTTCGCTTTCTAGCTAAAATGCAACAGAAAAAATCGACCCCATTAGTTTGCTGTTAAGCTTAAGGCCGTCACGACGATGAGTATAGGTGATGTGATAACCCCTCTTGGAAAAAATCCGTTGCAAAATGGAGGGTATTTGGCCATGTAGGGATGCTTCGTCGGCCAATTTTCGAATTTATCGGTAAATAAAGGGTGGCTTGACCATTTTGTCGGCAGAGACCAAGCCCCCCCCCCCCCACTGAGCATAATAGCTAGCGACGGCCTTGTCATCCAGACCATCTTGCGACACAGCCTTCTTTATCACTGCACTAAAAATTTTCAGTTTTACAATAAACTGCTTGTTTGTGGCCGAGCAAAATTGAAAACAAGGGTTACTGTCTGGCCATAAATCATCATCCTCAGGGGGATCATCATGACTTCCTGGGGGCGGGGGTCCTGATTCCATGATAATAATATGGATTGATGATCTTCATCATAATAATCATGATCATGATGATAATGAAGGTGATAATCATAATGATGATCATGGTCACGATGACGATCTTTTTCTTTCAAGCAATCTGAGTTTGTTATTCATACGTCAAATATCTTTTCTGCACTTACGTTGTCCTTTATAGTCACGAGTGGTCAAAATTATTCTACCACCTAAGAAAATTCAAATCTGTGATTACCTCAAGCAAGCAGTCCATATAAAGCAGAGGAAATTCTCACATTTGCGTGACTGAATTAACAATGACATTTCGTATGACCTTAGGCCTAGTGCTTATCTTTCGGCTTGTTTTTTCCACAGAATAGTTCCTTGCTGTTACGAATTGAAGCAATATCTCGCTCAAAATGTTGTTAATTCGAATTAATCCAATATGTGAATCCGTAATTGGGTCTAGGACATATGAAACAGGAGAGGAGGCAAAACATTATGAAGTTAGGCCTAAATGCATCCGGAAATCATTGCCTCCGAGGTATTACAAGAATCACATTATATCTTACCAAGGCTCTTTAAGTCAATGAAAAATTCCGTATGGTCATTTGAGCCCAGTGCGATAGGGAGTTGTGTTTTTGTTTCGAGAAATTTCTCACTCGAAGTATGAACATTTTGAGGGAGAGGGGTGAATTTTGGATGCATCTAATTTAAAAAGAAAATACCATTAAAAAACTCTAGTTTCATCGTCCTATAAGTTAAGAAACTCTGCTTTAAGGGATTACTTTTAAGAGAGAAACTCCACTTTTCTTTTTACAAAATCTACAGTTTTTAGTTATGAACAAAGTATTACAGAAATTGATGCTTTCTCGACAATTAAAATGGAGCTCCTTGGAAAGAAAGCAGACTTTTACTGTCAAGGATATGGTTGTGGTTTTCAAATTTGCAATAGCACGTATGTAAATACAGATTTGTCAAGTTCAGGAAAAGAATTCTACAGGGCAATAGAATCGTATAATCGCCCTAAAAGAATTTATAGCTTCTTTGATTCATTGTATTGGCGAATATTTCTAATATGTGGACCACTAAGACAACTGTCAACAGTAATTAAAAAAGTATCTTGGGTTGAAGCCGCGCCATGGCTTTACCGAAATCTTGCATTTGCACAGGGAGTCTCTGGCACCATGTTTTGAAATACAAGCCCACAAAATGATCTTGAAATTGGCAAGACCGCCGGGGCTGTCTTCCTGTAAATCACAGTACCGGATGTTGGTTTTTGTTCCAAACAGTTCGTGAAAATACCCGCTTGTAGCGCCTAATTGCAACGTCCTGTCCAAACGTGACCAACAGAGTATAACAATGCGGTTTGCATTGGCCTTCTGTGAGTTGGTGATGGCTTCGATAAACCACAACATGTGATTTCTGGCTCGCACTGACCAATCTCGTGGTGATTTCCCTGAAAATTTGTCGCGACACTGAGGGGTCAACAAAAAATTCCAAGATCATTCTAGATAAAGCCACTATCTTTAATTCGCATTCTTTAACCAAATTGTATCATTTATTTGCGACCTGCCGATCCATGTCAAGTGAGAATACATAATGAAAATTGTATGGCTCTATGACAGTGTCGAAAGATAGTATTGTTTGTCTCCATAAAACTTTCGCTCGTTTTGAAGACAATGTTGCTATTCCGGCGTATTCATATTTAAAAATTCAAACTCCATCATCAACACATCGTAAAATCATCTCTCTAGATTTACAAATACCACCAATTCTAACAAACAGCGAGAGAGAAACTTCCCTTGCTTATATTAAAGAAATTCAGCCCTGGGAAGGAAGAGACGATTTCTCCTCTTATTAAAACTCTAACTATTGCAATGAATCATTTAGTAATGTTTATTCATAATTTTCAGGGACAATTCATATTAATTCATATTAATTCTTATTTCTTGCCATGGAGAGTACATTAGACTTCATAAATCTAAAACTACGAGAACCAAGAAAACATGAAAACGTATCTTTGCACAGGTTTCACAAGAAACTTTATGATTTACAAGCAATCTTGTGAAATATTGTATAGGCTCTTCTTACACTTTTTATTAAAAATAATTACACAACCCCAGAAATGTTTATCATTTATATTGTCCCTCACAGCATTTTCTTTAGTAACCATCTTAAATGCCATAACATGTTCCGCCGATAATACAGGTTGGCTACCCGTGAAAACCTCTTGCCTTGCTAGAGCCCTGTCTGTATTACGAGTACGTAAGCTGATTATGGAACATTTCAGTGTGTGTGCTGGTATCTGCTGAAATATACTGTGAACCTACATCTCTGGGATTAGCGTAGGCCTCCCTTGTGCTAAACATACTTTATTCTCGCCTTTACCATAAACAGAGACAATCCGCATAGGTTTGTGGTATGCCAAAGCATTAGGCAAGACTTATTTGACCCTGGGAATTTTCAGCCGATGTTGCAGTATTCGTATCAATGACAACGTACAATGACATGTTAAGCATCTTTTTGAACAAAACAAACGAAATAAAATTACTTTAAACGATACATACCTATTGCTAAAGTCCTGAACCACTCCAGGGCACGACTCACCCTCGGCAGGCTCATTTTGCGGCTAGGAAATGGCTCACAAAATTTCAGATCGTTCAAGGCCAATGTCAGAATTTGATATCACCATTTACAGCCAGGATCTACAGAAAAATTGGTTCAAACGATAAATATTCCAGTAGCTGGCTGTACGTGAAGTGAAAAGTAAACAGAGCCAGAAAAAATGTGGAATTCCACCTCCAGCCAAAGGACTGTTTAGCTACAATGAATAACTAGAATGCTTGTTTGGAATTTTCCATTGATACGGCGAACATAGGAAATTCTTTAGAGTGACCAGATTTGCTCTTAGGAAACTGTTAAGGCGATTTTTCAATAGCCGAGGAAGCGTGCAAGCGGATACCGAAAACTAAAGGGAGTTGACTGAAAAACCTCTTCTAAATAGGGGAAATCGAGCATAAAAACAAACATAATGAAACAAACCATGGGTTTAACAATGTGGTTCTAACCACTTTTCTGCCAGAGCGGGCCCAGACTAAAAGATCAAAAGACTTTGGCGTTGGGACAATTTTCAAGTGGAAATGAACAAATGATAACTTGCTCTTACCTTGTCGAAAAACTACCCTTCCAAAACTGTTACTTGCCAAAACTTTGTCTGTGAACTTGTTACTGATTTTTGCCCTGCCCTTTCACGAGATGTTCAACCTTACCAGCACTCTGCAACCACAAGCGTCAAAGGAAACCCCTCCTATTTCTTGCTGCTGTGTGACGGCGCTTGGCAGGAAGCTTTGAGAGAGTTAAATCCGATTCTTTTTCGTAGCACTTACTCCTCAATGTCTCGCAGTACCCCAGCTAAACTTGCTTGTGATTTTAAAAAGCAAGGGCAGCAGCAAATGGCTATAAGAAGCCGAGAGAGAGCACTCCGTCACTTGCAAACACTTGATCAGCCTGGCGGAAAATGCTGTGAAGCCATTTCAACCGGAAGTGCAATATCGGAAGTCACACAACCAATCAAAGATAACTGTTTTGTGAGCGAAACCTTTGTGAACACAAAGGCGAAGAATTGCGGGAACTTTGAAGTATTGACAGTTCGATGGAAGCCGATTTTCTCGTGCTCATCCACCCAATGGAGGGTACCTCTTCAAAGCACAATTTTTAAACTTTAAATATCTTTCGCAGAATTCGCATGTTCTGCAATATTACAGGATTATAGGACTGCCGTTGTTGGATATCATTTTTCACTGTTTGCGTTCGGAACTTCTTTAATCCTGTTATACACACAAGTGCTTAATAGCATTGAAAACTGACTCTTTTCCTGAAGTATTTGCAGGATTTTGCAAGGGTTTCGATGCAATTAGCCATTAAATTGTGTTAAGGCACATTAGAATATTAATGAATACGAGGAAGAGGGCACTCGTGGTTTAAATCCTACTTTGTAGCAGAATTCATTTCTGGTGAACTTTCCTGAAGTGAAGGGTCCTCAAGTAGGAATCCTACATTCTTTAATTTTGCATAAGTATTACAACTCTTCAAATTCACTTGAATTTCGCCTTTTATATAACAGACAATCTCTGGTGAGGTCCGATGCTATTTCTTCAATAATTTTACAACTACATACTAATGCAATACAGGGGTGGCGCCAAGGAATTCAAAATGGGGGGGGGGGCTCGATTTGATAGTGTTATTAGACTTAAAACCAACTTTTGAAAAACGCACTAAAATGCCTGACGATATTTTATGGCTATGATTTTATGGCATATCTGAAATTTGAAGGAAGAAGCTTCCCTGTGAGCGAAGAGAGCAGAAAAGTTTTTGCGACCACGCCCTTCAGATTAGCTTAAGATATATTTCAGAATATTTCTTGCAGCTTTTTTCTTGCAATCGTTTAAAAAATTCTGCTATTTCAAAGTTACGCTTTTGTTACGTTTGATTAATTTCAGTGTTGAAATGGAATTCATTGCTTTATGAGGCCCCATAGACGTCAGCTTATATCTTGTAAATTATGCAATAAAAGGATTTATCGTACTTTTCTTTTCTTCTATTTCTTTTCTTTTATTCTTTCGATTTCCTTGAAAAGATTTCTTTTTATTTATTTTTTTACAAAAAGTGGGGGGCTGAAGCACTACAGATCCCTTCTGGCGCTGCCCATGCAATAGAATATTTCAAATTCCACTAAGTAACAGTTTTGCAAGACATTTTTGCTGATAAAATCTGCTCTATTTTGTTTATATGAAAGAAGATCTATTGTCACATATAATTTTTTCTCTACTGCTGGGATCGTTTTTAGAATAAATTCTTTAATATAAAAAGCAGTAAATCGAAGTTCAGGCTGGCTAAATATAAATACAAGCATACATCAAGAAAAACTGAAGCAATATAACTATGCTGACTATTTTGGAGTAATCAAAGATGCGAATTTAATTGGAAACTTCACATAAAGCAGAAAAATATAAGAACATCAAAAAATATAGAAAGATTAAAGAATTAGAATCCGTTACAAAGGAAGACATTTTGTATCAAAGAGCATACTTTGAATAGCCTGCGTCACAGACCATCATCACCAAGGAGGATGCAATATGCTAATTTTCCCAAGATCTTGGGAAAATCGCAGAAAACGAAATTGGCCTCCGTTTCACACAGGCACCGCGCAGCCATTGGGCTAGCAGGGGCTATAGCCCCCCCCCCTCACTTTTGCAATAATAAGCAAGAAAAGTTTTTGCACGGTGTTCTCTAACGCAACTTTGGATAGTTAACACCTATGTAGTAGCAGTTCTTCTTGACTGGGAACCATTCGCTCATTTCCTAGGTTTTATCTTGTGTAATGATTTGATGTATTTTCTAACTTATCATGGCATTTTTTAGTTATTGATATCTTCTCTAAAACAGACTGTTTATAAATATGTAGCAGAAATAAGCAAATATTTTCTAAAAGGGGCGTTTTCCAGCGTTCTAGGGGGTGTGGCCTCAAACAAACTTTCGGGCACACCCATTTCAGCCCCTCCACTCTTAGACTGGTGCGTGGTCGCTGGTTGCACAGACCACTCTCCTCCTTGGTGGTGATGGTCTGTGACGCAGGCTATCTTTGAACGATTGTTTTATTCAGTTACAGAAATTCCTAACAGGGGCTACTGTGCCAATAAATAATTGACTGCGCTAATAACATTTAATTTGCCTATAATTATTCGGGCTACTTTACAGAGTATGTTGCATATAGTATAGTGATTTCACATTTAAGCATTTCAAAATGATTAATTTTGATAAAATTTACAAATTATAACCTGCTTGATGTATTTCAAGTTAGTCAAACAATTAATACCGTTGAAAATGAATTTGTTGATGCAATAAAGGTTAAATTAGTACAATGGAAGGCAATCCTTTTACAATGGTTTCCCTTCAACATTAATACCCAGTTACTGTCGGACGATAATAGTTTTTAGAAAACCTTGCTATCTTCGCCTTGTTGAAATTCTGGCTATTGTTTAAACAAAATTGTTTAATAACAAAATGAACTGGAACATGAAATTTCCTTGCCAATGATAGCATTTGCAGAACTTTTGTTCGTGCAATTAGCCATAATCTTTTATGGTAAACATTTCTTCCAAGATCCTTTCAAGCAAAGTCTGTTACAATTGAGTAGAAACCTTTGATATTGCCAGCATGTAAGGTTTTCCAGAATAATTACTTCAGAATAATAACTCTTCGAAATCAGTTGTTAATTAATGTAAACACCGCACAAAAATATGGTTAGAAAACACAAGATAAAATTTGTATGAATTTTCATTTGTTTTCTGATCTTATCTGGAACAGCTTAGTGATTCTTTAGATAATATCATTAGAATTTTCAAAGTGGCTCTTTAAAGAACGCAATGAGTGTATGAGGACAAAGAAGAATGAAGCAGCAAAACTGTTTATTTACGAATTTATTCTTTTTCTTTATTGTTTCATTAACCGTAACTAGTTTTATTTGCTGCAATTTTGTCTGACATTTTCTCTGCTACATTGGTTAAATTTTGCTCAAACTTTACACCTTTATTTAGCTACCCCATGGTTTTATCTATCCAAAAGACCACCACAGTAAAGATAAGATTGGAATGTACAAAATGGCCTTATCAAAATCTTATCATTACCATATCTCCAAAGGCAATTTGGCACATGTCCAGGTAGAAAGAAGCTTTTGAGATCAAAGAATAGGATACATTTGGGTGCAAAGTAACCAATATTATAAATCTTTTTATAATATTATAAATCTTTTTATAATATTATAAATCTTTTTATAATATGGGAACAGATCTGTAATTATAATTATCATAGATTTGTGAGGATTGTTTGCCCTGAAAGCCAACTTGAGCCAGACAAACATTTACCCTTGTAAAGGATTTAAAAACTCACTTCTTGTTTGAAACAAAATGGAGAGGCAGTAAAGCACCTGTGTAAGGCTATTTTTGAAGTTTATGGGGGGAGGGGGGGGGGAGGAATCTTTTACAGGATTTCCAAGTCGTGGAAACTGAGCAGCATTCTGAAGTGATGCATTATGGGAAATATTCAGCCTGGGAAGTAATGCAAATAGTTGCAAGTAAACGTCCTATTTAACCCCAAAATAAAATGACAAGCCCAAGTGTTCTGTCTAGGAATCAGATGACACACATAATGTTTTTAAATCCTAAAATATAGAGAAAGATTCATTTAACATAAAAACACTACGAGTACTATAATTTTTGTAATGTATAAGCTTGTAATGTATTTCTGCAAGTGCTGTGTTCTGAATTTTTCTGAAAAGGGGTTGGTCCTAAGAGAACAACATTCTACACATTCTTTAAATTAATATTGAAACCGACTCAGAACTGAAATCGACTGAAGGAGGTGGAAAAATACCAGCTTAATCTTTATTTTGAGTTACGCTCAAATAAATTCAGAACTTTTATTTTTTCTATATTTTAGGAAATTCTGTAATCAGGGCCGGCAAAACCGGGGTAGGAGGGTGGGGAATGGCCCTCCTACTTTTCTGCATAGCTAAAGAAAAATTTAGGCAAAAGCGTAAATAAATGTAGTACATGATTCTGTAAGTAACTTTGCCTAGTATTCTCTTAAATGTGTCCTTAGCTTTACCTTGGTTGCTATGTCTTTACAATAGAAGACATACATAAAGTTGAATATGGGAATTAGATTGAAGAAATCGGTCTTTGTCTAAATTTTACAACGAGTAACAGCTTGGCTTAGCAAATAGATCAAACACATTTCGCCGGCCCTGGTAATAGGCCAGTTTTCACTAAATTTCAGTCGTTAGTTCCCCGAACAGGTATGTAGAAAATGCCTACGAAAAATCAACAAAAAGAGGTTGGAATAATATTTTCAATCCATACAGGTACAAATGGTCTGAAGCAATGTGTTCACCCTTGATGCATTACACTCTTTTTTTATAAGAACCAGTAAATTTAAGTTCAGGCTGACTGTTCTTAATTTTTCTGAAAATCTGAGGCTGGATTGTTCTTAATTTGTTCTTAAATTAAGAGGGTGTAAGCAGTGCTATTGCTAGCTTTTTCGCTCTAAGGAGGTGTTCAGGCCTCATTTGCCAACAGAGTGAGTGAGACAGCCTAAATTTGCTGACAAATTTGAATATTCACCGAAAAAGCACCCACACATCGCTAAAAATCCTCGATTTCGCGAAAAAACGTTGTTCAAAATTGCATTTTGCAGAATCTCAGCCTCAGCTTGTTCTTAATTTGTTCTTAACTTTTGACCAGTTTTGAGGCTCGTGTTCTTATAAAATTGTTCTTATAAAAAAAGAATGTAATCTTTCTTTAAGCTACAAAACGGAGCTACAAACATAATCATAAAACCCGTTTCTATGAAATATCTAATCGACTATCTTTCTATATCAATCTCAAAAGAGCTCAGAATAATAGGGAATAATTCTAGAAACAAGTTGAAAATCAATCTAAATTCTATGTTAAGAAAAGATAGTGACCATTGCAGCTGACGAATTCTTTGCTAAAACCCTTGATCAATATGATCTTAATTCTACCTCAATTTCTTCAATGATTTCAACCAAAAAGGTAATAAACGTTTAGTTTATAATATTATAATAGTTTACGGTTTCTGTTATTCGGATTTAGGGGAAACGCAAATTAGATATCGGTATGCAAATTTTGGATAATAGCTATACATCTAAAATCTTACCTCCCAGAGATTCATTCTATAAGGTTATATATTCGGGATAAAAAGATATCAAAAACTTTTCCAAAGCTCTTTGTTTTCCCTAGATTTATCAGTAAGTCCTAATTCTAGGCCTTTTTACCAATATGCATTCAAAACAATATCGTATACAAGAATTGATATTAATCGCAAATATGAACATGTTATAAACAAGAGTTGCCTAAAAACTGTTATCTCAGGCTGCTACTTGATTTCAAATGTTTTGGTGCGTCACCAAACACGAATTTCAGTCTGTATGCTTCAGCAACAATAACAGCAATGTCCTCTTCAGTCCAGCTTCGGGTTGGGAGGTCTTGCAGAAAACGCATGATTGTCTGAAATAGAAATGTTAGGAGTCTCAACATGTTTGCAGTAACATTAAAAGTACAAAGAATGTTACTGAAAAGGAATCAGAGAATCTTCCGAATACTGTCAAGTTGTTACTGTAAGTCGAATGACTTGAGAAGTTTTTAATTAGCCTTGGCGACATTCAACTTAAGATTAAATGAAACAAGTCAAACTTTATATAGAGAAGAAGGTGAACTTTTCTGTACACTCTATCCAGTCCTTTTTGTTTCTGCGCGAGACAGTGTTGTGTGAAATGTTTGATCGTTTCACCACCAACGTTGGATCACTCTCCAACAATGAAGAAAACGTTGGGTGAAATGTTGGATCGTTTGATCAGGGCTTAATGCATGGGAAAAACAACCGTACACAACAGCATGAGAGGCTAGGAAGGACTTGTTTGAAGTGTGGATTTCGCAAGCGAAAGTAAAAGCATAAAAGCGTCAAGAAAGCTTCTTGTTGGTAATAGACGAGGCTAGCCTCGTTATAGAACCTTGACAAATGAAAACAGTTTGTTGGGGTTTGTAGAGATGGACTCATCGTGAGCTTACGCGTTTCATTTGGAATCATTTAGATACTGGTTAAGTTGTTTGTTAATGGTAGGAACTGTGGGTGGGAAATCTGGTTTGGCTTACAGGCTGCATTTACTTGCTTAATTACAGCATCGTCAAACTGCATAGTTGGAAGCCCAGCCCAAAGCATTTGTCTGCTTTACTGGTAGCTTAGAAGGAAAACTTCTGGTCGTAAATTCTTCGTTATTCCAGCCAGCCTTAGAAACTCCGTCTAGACCAAAACATTTGGGTCGTGTTACAAAGACTTTGGTTTCTTAGCGACCTGTAATAACTAATCTGCTTTGAATCAACATTATTCGGTTCGCTTCTGAGAAAGAAATAAAAAACATGATGGAATTGCGTGACACAAAGACAAGGAAGGTAACAAATGGCAAAAAAGGTTTCAAGCTTATCTTTCGATAAAGTATCAGATCAAATATGGTTTTGAAGGCTCAACTTCAAGAGTCATTTATAGGCTAAGTAAGGGGCTTTCTTGCTGCAGGGGCACGATAAAGAAGGCACCCCCTCTTACTTTTCCACAAGCAACAAATTCACAACAGAAGAGGGATGAACAAACAACATTGAAAGAAGTTGATTGCTCTCGTGAACCTTCAAATAAAATAAATCCTTTTTTAATCTAGTGCCCAAGATGTCGCTGGTTTTGAGCCACTAAATCTAAGTTTAATTCCATCTGCTTCGAAATTCATGGCGCGCGCCCCGTGCTTGAAAGGAAAGAAGCGGTAGAGGAAAACTGGGCCTGCCAACCAAATTGGCTTTGCACAGAAATTTGAGTGTTTACGAAAACCGGGGAAATGTTACACATTGAGTTGGAGATTAGCTGTTGTAAGGCCCTATGATTTATCATCTTTTTGAAAAACAAGAATTTCAACCGCAACAAGGAAACCACACCCATATACTGATAAGTAATTCTTTGGCAGGAACACAAGGAAATGACAACGCCACCTACAAATGGAACGCGTAAAAAAGAAAACAATATCATTTTGTTTGCAAAATTTTCATAATTTCACAACAAAACGATCATAAAGCATCAAAACTTAATACAATTGGGGAATTAAGATACACCAGGTAACAGCTTCAAAAGCTATGAAAAAAAGAGTACAGATATTCGTACAAGGAACAACTATGTAAGACACCTATCTAAAATCCCCTTATCTAAGTTATCACTGCCTTGCCAGTTTTTGAAGAATTTTATCATTTAAAAGAATAAAAATCCCAAGATATTTAAGAATATCTTTTAATGGCTGCCATAAAATATCTTTGATACGGTACGGTCAACATAAACTTATCTTCTAAAATAAAATGAAAAACCTAATAAAAAAATTTAGAAATGGAATCTTTGAATTGGATCCACTTTAACCTAATTAGGTGTAATGCTCCAGGCCATGTGTTTCACTTTCAGGGAGCCAAAAACAAATATTTATTGCCTCTCTCCACGCCATTTAAAACCTTTTTTCCTTCACAAATGAACATACGTCAGCCCATCATATTTCCAAATATACCCTAGTGTCCCTGTTTTTAACCAACAGAAACTCCAGTGTGGAATCCGTGTAGTTTACGCCAGGGATATCCGGCGTGGACTAACGATGTCCCATGGTATTTCTATTGTTTATTGGCGAATGTCCGGCGTGAGCTCTGCTTGGATCACACATTCGCACTCATAAAACATAAGGAGGTTGTGAAAAACCGATATCTTATATAAAAGAAATATATCAATAACGATGCTACAGCATGCCAATCCACCTCTAGTGCAACGCAGAAACTATCAAATTTTATTTTTTGTTTAGAAATTAAAAGATGCCCGAAATAATAAGACGAAAAAACGAGAAAAGATATGTGAAATAAAAATAATTTTTACGAAAAGATGTCCAGAAAGAAAGAATAAGACCTAAAATGTACAAAAAAATCAAAATAGATTGCCCTCTCTGTAGAAATTAAAAAATAGAAGGAACACTTTATTCAAATAAGGGCAAACAGCTTCTTTGCAGAATCTTGGGGGAAGAGGGTGGTTCCCTTTTCCTAAATAACTGACAACGATTTGATATTGAAACCCCTACCCCTAAATACTGCAACATTCACCTTTCAAAAACAGCGTTGTGCTGGGAATCAGACTAAACTTTCACCATAATTACAGTCAAAAATCTTACGAAATACTTGGCTATGACATTTCACCTGATTGATTTTTGACATTTTAGCAACCTGACAGAGATACCAGTTACCGGCACATTTTGCTTTCCTCCTACAAGAATTTTCTTAAGAAATAATGGTCAGAGGGACTACCATTCATGCTCTATTATCACATTTCAGAGTGTTGCCTCAATAACATCAGACTCTAAAACTATTCAAAAGGCTAATCTGGCTTATCTCCAGCGCAAATCTCATATCCGAGAAAGCGTAACTGGGTGTGGATCACACGCTTACCCAAAAACAATTTCAGCGTTTTCAGTGGGTCGTCACATCGACGCTATCAGAATCGATATCGAAAATCTGAGTCATGTTATCAGAATTTACATGGCATAAAAGGGGAAAACCAAATTTCTTTAATGATGATTCAAAACAACTTTTTGGAAAGGGACAAACATACCAGTAGAGCAACTATCTAAGACCTTTTCTGAGTTGGGTGGGTCGTAAAATTGGATTTCCATGAGATTGCTTCAATCAACATATTCTTGGATTCTTTACAATCTATTACTTTTGGTTGTTAACTTTATTCATTAAAATTTGTTGTTCAAAAATTTTGTTTATAGAAGAAGCACTGCAGATAACATGGGTGTAAAAGTGCATCCATAAGAAACTTTCCCCAGTTCTAGCTATTAGCCATTTTGCCCAAAGAGTTTCTGGATAGTTTATAAAATGAGCAAATTAATGTTATGAGGCAAGAACTGGTCTAGGTTGTCAATCTGTGTGGAATTTTTGGAAAACCTAAACAGATATAAGGGGTATTTGCGAGTTGTCAAACTGTCCAAGTTGCCAACAGGTGAAAAATTTCACGAAAAGCTTAACAATATAAGTGGTATTGCTGTATTTTGAGCAAACGTGAAAAATATCTGGCTTTATAATTAATGAAATAATTGAAAGTGGTTTCGTGTGATAAACATCCACATTTCCACGGCTCGGTGACTTTTTTTAGTTGGTAATGTTAGGGAAAGACTCAGGACCCTACATCACGTCCTAACAAGGGACAGGGAGGAGAGATTTGGAAGATTGGGAGGAAATATCAAGTTTGTTTCATTTGAATAAAGACAGGATGTAGGAGTCTGGGAAGTAGGGAAGAATTTCAAAGTTTACAAGATCTAGGGAGGAAGGAAGAGTGGCGGGATAGAGTTAATGAGTTTGGCAAAGAGACTTGGAATGGGTAAGCACTAAAAGAGTGTATGGCTTTAAGCAAAACAGTCTAAATGATTTAAAAAAGAACAAAGTATGCTTATTGGTGGAAGACAGAAGATCACGAGCCCAAAAAAACTAGGCCTTTCGAAAACAATAGTGAAGACATTACAATGATTCGTAATTGTAGATATCTTGGCACTAATGTAGACCAATATCTGTGTTGGGAAGAACGAGTTAAAGATACAATAAAAAGAGTCTCTGGAGCACTTTTCTTTCCTTAGGGAGAATTTCTCTCCGAAACCATACAGAATCGTGACAAATGCCCCTTACAGTATGTCTGTTGAACCCATGAGTAAGAAGGGACAACGATCACAGAATTAGTTCTCGAAATACCAAAATCACATCGAAACTAAATGAAATGTCTCTTTTTAGAGACAGCTTAAAAATGCTTCACGCACAGAGGGACAAAGACATGAAATAGTTCGGGTAAAAAAATTGACTAAATGTCACAAAAAAATCAAAAAAGCCTTAAAACAAAAGAAGCCTGAAGTCCTTGTCAATGTTACAAAAAACTGATACTGGTTTTCACTATACCAATTAGTTTTGTGTCTTGGTATTTTAGCTTTTCCTAGTATAAATAAAAAATGACTTATTTCCAATATATTCTTATTGTCAAAATTAGCATTCACTGTTTATTGTAATTAGTTAACTTACATTTTAACAGAGTAGTTTATAAAACACTAATGCCTTGAATGGAAATGAGTATATTGAACAGAAGCTTATATCCAGATGGGGATCGAGCATGAATTAAAATAATCACGTGATTGGTGATAGCGCGCTTGATTGGCTCATTATCCTTGACGGCATTTTTGATTGGTACCTTATCTTGACCAACCGACGACTGCTACTCCCTGTCAAAGTCAGACTATATAATTAAATAATAATGATGATAATTTCGTTTTAAGATATTAAGCCAGAATACCTGGAAATCAAACATGTGCGAAATTTCCTTGGAAAACCGCGTGAGCAGAGCAGCACAGACGTAGAGATGAAAGATTGCGAATCCGTCGGGCTCAGCCTAAAAACATACACAAAGGAATTAAGCCCTTGCTGACCGATAAGGTTACGACTTAATTAAAAACTTAAGATGGATGACATACTGGGCAAAACGTGATTCTTACTGTCCAGGGAATATCTTTTAAAATGAATAGATCAAAATAAAATTTAAAATAAGTAGTGAACATGCCAGACCATAACTTGCAACTAAAGTCTAGAAGAGTTCCTTGAAGAGGTTTTTTAATGGTCATGGAATGGATGTCAAAAACCCTCGTCCCGAAGGCATGGGTTTGACCTTAAATGTATAAGTGGAACATAAAGTAAGTTAAATAAAACTACCTGGATTAGATGTATCAAAGGGGAGACGTGCAGGGGGGGGTGGGTTTGGGTAGTTGTTAAGAAGATGGCTTGGCACAAAAACTTGATGGTGAAAATCTTTCATAGTTAAATAAGCTGTTATGCTGAATTGCATTCAACGGGGTGAAAAAATCTTATTAGTCTTATCAGAGAAAATGAATATTCTGTATTAAGCTAGAAGGAATAGCAAATTACTCACCCAATATGTATCCCAAAGTCGAATTAGACATCGCAAAGACAACTCTCTCATAAGGAGGTTGTTCATCCATCGAAAAGCAAATTGTAAATAGTCGATATTGTATTCTCGAATGTGTTTATGCAAAGGCCCTGTTCAGGAAGTAAAAAGAGAACTCGAATACTAGTCTAAAGGACAGGAGGTTTAAAGTGAAAAAATGTAATAAAGTTTAATAGGTATATGCATTGCAAGAAATTTGCATTTACCCCCTGGAAGTGAAATTAAGAACATAAGTAAAACGCAATCATTGCTAAACAGTGGAATGCAAAATTTACTTTAGTCTGAGTAAGGAATAACGAACAGGATTGTGTAACACTTTGCTAAATTTTTAGGGTTTTGTCGATCGATGGTCTACTACATAAATCATTTCAGCACATGAAAGAGAATTATAATGGCACTTGCTAATACCAATAACATGTTTGTATACTGGAAGATTGAAAGAATTAAAGGTTCAAAACACATTTGAACGACTTGGCGTTTATTCGTATAAGTATGTAAATAAAAGCATTTGAAGAAGTTCACAGAACTGGATCTCTCCTCAGTCAACCGACCTTAGTATAGCTGCAAATGCTTTAACCTAGCAGCTTTTTTAAACTGGAGGTAGCCTGAAATACTTCAAACAAGGGTAATTTAAACAAAGAATACCATCAATTCGGCTGACAAGGTCACTAAGTGCGTTGATTTTGTGTTGAATGCCTGGTTGTGCAAACGTGTAGTTGTCCTGCAACATGAAAATGTATTTCAAAAAACAAGTTTCGTCAATTAAGGGGCAAAAGAGAGGCAGCCCCTACTTCTATATTCATTTCAAAGGACATCTGTTGTAAAAAACTAGCAAAAAAGGACAAACTCAAAGAAGGATTCAGAATTAAACCATGGGCCACTTTTGCATTTTGCACGAAAGTGAAAAGGCAATACAGAGATCTAAACCATATTAAATCTTGCTGAACCTAGAGACTATTCAAATCATACAGGAAGGATTAAACCAATCAGAAATCAGTCACGTGCTAGGCTAGGCTTTTGTCTAAATTTGGTCATTTTAGCGCAGGTAGTCTTGCTCCCAGCCGAAGAAATTCTAGAGGTACTGTTTCGTGGCGTAGATCGTACCAACGATTGAATCTATATTGCTGCCTAAATGACTTTCGAGGTAGACCTCTTTTCCCACGTAACAAGAAACCATTGCTGGTTTTGCGCATTAAATCAATGCCACTCGCAGAAAATTACAGGATTTTCATTGCATTAGACAGTGTCATTACCACTTGCATGAGGGTCAGGTGACAAGCAACTCACGAACATTTCTTGAGCTCTAAAACTGCTAGTTCGCAATAACTGTCATTTTCTTAAGTTTAGAAAATTTACATACTACAATTTTCATCGTAACGCATAAAATTTTAGTTTCAAGAAAGAGTGAAGAGCCAAGAATAGGACAAGGAAGGGGGTCTCTAAAAAGAAACTGAAAACAAAATATTAGTCACAAAGAGATGCCATGTTTATAACCCTAGAATTACACAATGGAGGTCCACGAAAAGAAAGCTTTGAAGTTTTGGCACTTTTAATTTCACATTGATTGATTAAAACTTTAAAGCTGGTTCGCCTCGTCCTGGTCAATTATAGAAAGCTAGTATAAACATATAAGTGAATTGCACTTGTGAATCACCGAGTGAGCTTCAGCGCTCAGATCAGAGCATCGCGAAACAGCACTCAACGATGCTACGGAAGAGCTGAACCTTGGTTATTGATATGATTCTTGTAGCCGAAAATTGAAAGAAAGGTACCTGAATTCCATTCAGCAGCTTTGTTACGCACCAAAATGTGTCTGCTTCGACTGAATCCAAAATGCCCTTGGGAACTCTGTTAATATCGTAAGTCTCGACTTCTTCATCTATAGGGAAATTTGTATGGTCAGTGAATGTACAAGAACAGGCGAGCCGTGCAGACGATCCTTATTCTCGGGAAAGTCCTGTTAGAGATGGGAACTATGCTAGGCCAATATGATTTAATTATAGGATGGATAGGCCCTTTTCTGGCTGCCTCACTAGTGTTGGTACGAGGTGCCGGTTACCCCCCCCCCAATACTTTGGAAAACAATGGTCTATTTTTCTACGACAATAGGAAATGTGATGTCATCTTATTAAAACAACAGGCTTGCCCCCCCCCCCCCAATATTTGGCCAAGTCTCCGCCCCTGTTGAGAAGCTCTGAATACCCGAGGCTTTTTATTTGACCAAGACCAAGAACAAGGAAACAACTTTTTTGATAAACTAAAAGAACTGTTTTGTTGCTCTTCACCGTGCTAACAACAGCATGATGACTACTGATGAAAATAAAATATCTGCTAAATAAAACTAAAAAATTCACCATTGCAAAAAAGGATGTCCAAATCTGGGCGATTTTCTTAAAAAGGTAGGGAATGGGCTTTCTTAACGACAACACTCAACACGACAAAGAAACGGATGCAGGTAGGGGAAGGGCCGCAAACACCAGATCTTATGCGATTAGTGGCCAACAAACTTGAATAATTTTATCTTATAGATACTACTTTAAACTGAATCAATCAATCCCCTTGACTCTCGAAGTTTCCAGTTAGCTAAAAAGTTTTAAGGCCACCCAAAACGGTAAAAAATTACCTACCTAAGTGCTCCGATAAAAACGTGATGAAAAATGGAACAACCAAATCATTAATTCCTTGGACATATCCACTGGCGGGATGTCGAATTGCCCATATATACAGAACACGTTCAAATATCTAAAAAGAAGAAACAAAACAGATGCAAAAAACAGCTCTTTTCCATGAAAATACTTCATAAAAGATTCAAAACTTACGTCTTTTGTCTAGCTTTCTATCCTGCTTATATCAAATTTGCACCGTAAGCTATCAATAAATTATATCCTGAGTTGCAGTATTTAAATGAGAGCGTGAAATTTCGAGGAATTAGACAAAATTTACAGAATTTAAAAATACAGTATAAATAACAAATTGAGATCTTCATGCTGGAGCAAAAAATCCTTTTTGGTACCCTGAGCCATTAAATTCGAGCGCAGAAATGATAGAGCAGAGCAGAGCAATGGAGGAAGTTCTGACAGGAATGACAAGCTTTCTTTCATTTCATTTAAATGCCCCCCCCCCCCGTTTCTGAGGGCAAAATAATTCAGTGGGTGCTCATAGCTATCTTTTTTTGGAATAACTCGGTTGAAATTTTATCGTATGAATTCCTAAATTTGATTAGCAATCCCCCTTTTCTATCATGCTTATGCCAGAATCAAGGTTGGCATCTGCAGTACGTCTGGTGACTTGAAAATTTCACATATTTCTACACTAGTTGAGTGGGTGTATTGGCAATGCACATCAAAGCCACAATATGGCGGAGACCTGCACGATCTGAGCTACCGTCCTATATGGCAGATGTCTATTCCTTAGAGGTTGCCTCCACAGCACTCTGACCGCAGAAAATTATTTGCGCTGTAGTTGAATTCAAAACAATTTATACTGCTATCCTTCTGCAGCAAAGACAGCTGATACACACTAAATTTTGATCTAACTAAAGGAAACCCCCTTATTCAAGAAATCAGCTGATCTTTATTCCATTTATTTTTATTCTATAACACAATATTTACTTTGAAGAAGTCCTATGATATTTTCCTATGAATAAATATGAACATTGTGGCGGTATTTACTGAACATTGATGTTTACTTCAAAGAAAACCATACCGGACACGGTTCTGTATGAATTACAAGAAATTAGCATATGCTATCCGCAGGGCCAGAGAGAGACAAGAATACTCTAGTTAAAGATATAAGGAAGTTAAGTCCTACACAAATCTGATCAATGCAGTTCCTGCGGAAACTAGAGAAATTCGACAAAACTAGACTAAAAATAACTGTTCTATTCCACACATCACGGCGTCTAAAGCAATCCTTGTACAGCATTGCCCGCTCTGCCCTAGCCGGTTAAAGGCAATCGACAGAAACTAAATCGGCCAATCAATAAACCTCTGAGTGGCTTCACGATTATTGATTGGCCAATTGTTGATTGACAATCTAATCAACACTATCTGTCGATTCATTTTTTAAAACTAATTTATGACATCAATATCTTTTGAAAAATTTCAAGCACAGATGGTTGTGCAGAAGAGAAGTTCAAAATCGCAAATAAATTTGATTCAATTTGAGAATTACACGTTATAAGAATAAAAATATCTTCTAACCGCTAAAAAGTAAATTCAGCTTTGCAAGGCAAGGGTCACCTTTAAACAGTTGAAAAAGCCAAGTGATCAATGACATTTGAGAACTTCCGTTTGGAACAAGGCTAAAGTACTGTACAAAGATATTCCTTACCAAAAGGGAGAGCTTTTCAATCGCTGCAGAAGTTAAGGTTACTGATTAGCCAAGAAAAATCAGTCAGATTCAAATCCACATTAGGATGTAAACTATTTTCCCTTTGCTCATCAATCAGAAATTCATATTCAAGCCAGTGCATGAAAAATAGCTTTTCAGAAAACGAACACAGTTGACTCCTCCTGCTAAAGTTTTTATCAAAAACTACATTTGACACACCAAAACAAACTTAATCTAGACACTAGATAAAAAGATGCACCATGTCTTAGTGTGGCCAAGAATTTACGTTCTCCTGGCGAATCTTTAACCATGATGAAAACATTTTAAAGCTCAGCATTTCCCATGTACCTACCTCTTTAACACATAACTTACTGACCATAATTATGTTTGGTTACGTAATTCTGTACAAACACAGAGTATTTTGGATTCAATGCTTGCTACTGTTTGCTATATATACATAAGTCAAAAAGAATTTATCTGCTCTACAAAAACCTTCCTCATAAGACATTGTACTAAATACCTAGCGGGACATACCTCTTGTACAACCCGTTGCTGAAATATTGGTATTAACGGATTGGTCCGTGGGATGTCGATACTGATCTACAAATCAAGAGTGCTAAATTTAGAAGAGTGATCTACAAATCAATAGTGAAAGATGAAAATTCGACTAAAAGTAATGCTACGTCTAGCACAATGAATATGCGGAAAGCTGATCGTGTAAATTTATGTGTGTTGGTCTGGAAAGCATTCAAATCACAAAATATCATACAATAATTTGAATGACAGATTCGACTTGATAACGAGTTATGACCATAGTTGTGATTATTACCAACTCTATATAGAAGAAAATTGTCGACTTTGGTTATTCGTTGCCTCGACAAGGAAAACATAATAGAAAATCATATCCACAAAAGATAACAGAAAAAAAGAAAAACAAAATTACAAAGATTGTCAATAATGAGTTTTGGGGATCAGATCACTATTGTTGCACGGAAAGGCAGAAAATGTTGCTTGATTGAGTCAATCGTACCAACATATTAAGAAAAGGCAATATTAAAGTTACAAATATCGTTTTGCAACACTTATTCTGCAGGCCTTCTAAAGAAAAAATTTCAAAACAGCTCTGGCAAAATACTGGCAAAACAGATGTAAACTGATCGCATTATGAAAGTTGACAAGGGAGCTTGACATTTTACATATATGATAACATGACAACAGATCAATCTTATGAAAAAAAACATGGTTGATAAATTACTTGCATTTTGCTGCATTAAACTGTTGTATTCATCTGGCATAGCTAAAACAGCGTCACAACTCATTCCTTAGTGCTAAAAATGCTAAAAGTAGCCAGTTGCTTTTTGCCTTTTTTAAGATAACATTAGAATCTTGCTATTACCTCTTTTTGCAAAAATGTTAAATTATATGAATAAAAACAGAGAGAGTTTTGGTTACTCGAAATGTGCAAACAATGTTTGACCGTTGAGACAAGAATGCAGACTTTGGATGAATTATGGAGTTCGGGTTACCAAGAGTTAAGATTACTATATTAAGATTATTATAAAGGGGGAAAGTATCGTTCGAAAAAAGAAAAATCCTCTGTCGAACTACTAGATTTTGTCTGAATACGAAATATAAAAGTACGTATGCAGAAATTCTTAGGAGGAAGGGAGAGGGGGCAGGGATAACAAGTTTTAAGATTACGGGGGCTGCTTACCTGTCTATATGTCTCTTGATTTAGTTCATCAAATCGTGTAGGGTAATATTGTGCGACAAAATTTGAGTATTCTTGTCGTTTTCGCTCTAATGTCGATTGCCTGCGATCGATGCTTGGAGGGAGGTAGCCCTGTCGTAAAAAATAATATTGACAATTGATCAACAACGTCATAAAAAGGGGAACTTACTTGCGAAATTGCTAGGGGCTGGGCAGGCCATACCTTGTACTTTACCATGAAATGGAACCATTTGCTACATTCCAGCAAAAACGGGTACATTGTCTGTGTGTTTATTGGTAGCAAAGTTGGGCAAAACAGCTTTTAGAATGGAAGGGGAATAAATCCACTCCTCGTGCCAATCTGCAGGGTTTCACTACGTCGAGATAACCTCCGGTATTCATGCAAAACTGCCACGAACTACGATTTCTTATTCATTATTCTAAACAAATGTCGGTTGCTCCTATTTCACAACATGGCAAAATATGGGGGTAATGAGGAAAGCCTTAATTTCTTCAAGTTTTACCATCTATGTATTAAGAAAAACATGGCAAGGTGGGGTTGATGGTATCTTTAAGAGGGAAAAGCAAAATATATCACTTAAAATGTATGATGCTAATGAAAGTAGCAAGTTGTCCAAAATAGAAAAAAAATCATTAGAACATTAAAAAAACAAACAAAGATAAGAAAAACTCCAGGGGTGTAACATAAATGCAAAGTTGCACAGTTGCAAAAAAATTATAAAGGATTTGTGAGAAACCTTGCGCGCACTTTGAAGGATCGTGCACAGATGTATTAATAAAAATAATATATCTCGCCAAATCTCCGTTTCGGAGCAGTTAATATAGCACAAACACAGAATTGCCAGGAAGACGTCATGTGCAATATAGTACCACAGGCTATTTTTCACTTAGGTTTAAAAAGTTCAACCAATTTCTCGATTTCTATCAGGCATTTTGCTTTGCTTTTTAGAATTTGTTCCATTCCTGGAAGGTGTCTTTTGAATTTTTCGCATGGCCATTAAAGTTCTAAGTTTTCTTCATGTAATTTGTATTAAGAAGCAGCTGTAAACTGCTGACCAGCAATCTTAGCAAAGGTCACGGAGCATTTGGACAATCGTGCAGATTTGTGTCCAGAATTTTGCTCATGGCACTGGCAGCATTTGCAAAGGTGCTTTGAATTCATTATAACCGAAATACTCACAGACAGCAAGCGCCAAGTGCTCGGCCTAACTGAATTTGGGATTCCATTCCAACTGAGTTTCTGGAGTTGATCTGATGCAAAAAGAATTTAATTAAAAAATTAACAGTTCAATTATGTTTAAATTGAGGATACGATACATTGCAGAGATACATTGAGACGAAAAAGTTCATACAATACAATTTGATAAGTTAAATTAATACACAGAAAATACAATGTACTACAATAGAATGCAATACAATATTTTAGAATACAATAGTATACAAAAAAATAGAGTGCAATACAATACAATACAATACAATACAATACAATAGCGTACAATACAATAGCGTACAATACAATAGAAAGCAATACAGTATTATACAACAGAACATCATAAAATTCAATGTAACTCCTTTTCATTTAAGCTTTCCCTACAGATTAATTCGAAAGTATTCGAAAGAGCGGAACGGATATTTCTCCAATGAAGGTTCACAAAAAAGTTTTAGAAAAAAATGCAAGAGTACGGTCAGCCTGAAGTGAGAAAGGTCGACGAAAGTGGAAGTTTTGGTTTTTCAAGGTTTTGCCTTTCTTGATCGGGTGTAGCAGGATCTTTATCGAAAAAGTGTGGCGAAGAGAGAAAATGACTTTGCTTATGTTTTCTGCTTCATCATCAAAATCAAAGTCCCTCAAACTAACTACGTGCTGAAATATATATCGTAAAGATAAGTGCGTCATAAATTACGTGATAACGAGGTTAATACTGGGAAGGAGGATATTCCTATTACACGGAGGGGGGAATTTTAACACTTGACCATGCAATAAAGCCAAAAATGACATTGAACGATGACTAGAATCGTATAACCCACCCATATCAGTTGTCGGACCAGCAAGAAGCTTCCCAAATCTTTCAAGACGAGCACTCTCTTGATCTTGAAGTTCAGCCTTCACTTGCCTTATTGGCGAATGTGGTGTGGGTGGTTGCATTATCTCAGCTGGTTCTGGCGAGGCGGAGGGGGGTGGGGAGAATCTGTTTTTCGTTGCTTTGGCTGGAATGCAAACGAAACATCAACTAATAAAAATTCAAAATGGTAAACTGGGGAAAAACCAAGATTGATTTTCAAAGACTCCCAAAAAATTAAGCTATAAAGACACAACCACAAAAAGATCAAAATATGTTTTTTTATTCCGATAGACTTGTTTATCAAAATTACATACATTTGACACTCAACGATCTAGAGGATTCTGACAGGGTTTATAGTATTGGGCAGGTTGGTCTCCCTACTGACGATTTCAAAATCATAAGGACGAAATTACGGGTCTATATACAGAAATCTGCAGCTAGAAGGTCATCAAACAGCTAAAAATGACTAGGACAATTTTTCTTCATTTTCTATTGATTTGCAGCATAATGTTCCAAACCTTTTCAAAGCAGAGATTATAATAGATTTCTGGAACTATGATAATCTTATTCCCAATCATTAAAAAATTGAAGGATTGTTCTAGAAAGTCAGACAAGATTTGGGGATTATTCTTTGGCTGTTGGACATGATCAGTCCTTTTTGAAGTATGAATGTATTTTTATTTTCTAATACGTGTACTGTTGACAACATTTCTTTAAAAAATGGATGTTATAAACTAACAAACAAAAAAAATATGAAAAACATTTATGAAAAATATGATAATATTGACATAACAAAAGGATCTTATATCTATTTGGTTAAAGGTAATCAGTTGACGTTTCAAATTGAAATCAGTCATAGCTGTAGAATTGTTATATTTCCTACTAATTTTCCACCTGGAGGGTTGAGTAAGCGCTGGGGAGGCTTGTTTGGCCAAAGGGGCTTTAAAAGACTACATGCAGAATAAGATTTAACAAAATTCAACAAAAGGCACTAATATTTGTCTTTCCTTTTTGAACAAATACTGAAAGGAACTCAAATTTGACACTTAAAAATAGCAGACTGGCCAATAACATTGGATACTTTATGCCAAAATCAAATAAAAAACGTCTGAATGTTACTGAATGCTACAGGAATCCATGTCTTTCTTGCTTGAGCTTATGTAAAAAGATAACATATTGTTTTCTGCATAGAAACTGTCGTAGACACATTCATGAATAGACAGAAATTCTATAAGGTTGGTTGCTATTAGCTATGGTCAAGAATTATGCAGACTTTTTCAGAAGTTTAGCAATATCAAGACAAGGTCGGTCTGCTTCATAAACTATCAAACATTAGCTAATTTATCTCTTCATGATTTGGAATGTCAATAATACTAGATGAAATCCAGTCTAAATTTTGAGGTAGAGGTAATGTTGGGGTTAGAGGAGAGTCTTGGTTAGGCGAAGGGCAATAGAAGGTATGGCAGTATAAAAAACAAAGAGGCTGTTGCAGGAAAATATTTCAAACAATCAAAAGCAGGAAGTAAAAATGTGTTGCTTGTAGGCATTAACATAATGCTTGACTTCCGCGACAACCTAAGCACAACATAACTGGGTCAAACTTAAGAGAAGGGTATCTTCTTTCTTCAGGGTTAGTTTAAGAGTTTGGATAAGGACCAAGGCTAGAGTGAATGTCAAGGGTTTGTTGACAAGTAGCAACACAAAATAAGAATCTGAATTATGAAAAGTCTAAAAATAATTACGACTCTTTTCGAATACAAAAGGAATACAACTTTCTATTTCTACAAGGTAAATATTGTTAGTTAACTAAAAACATGCAGAGCAATTTTGTAAAGCACAAATGGTGAAGGAGCATATATATGGAAACAGACTAGAGTACCTCTTCCAAAACAACCTCCTTGTGAGAAGAAAGTCAATAACTGTTAGTAATTAGTGAAAGAAATAAGAATAAACAATTAGTAATTAGTAAAAAGAAACATACCAACACCAAAGCAATTAACATTCTCACCAATTGTCTCAGATAATTTTGAAACAATTGCTTGCTTGACTTTGATGGAATTCTTCAAAGGCTTATTTTCATTTCTGGCAGATGCCTTGGGCTGTCGGCTTTTGGTTGTGGCGCTACCAACACTTCCACGGTCTCCAGACTCCTCTTTGAATCGGTGAGATGGCGAGTCTATCTTCCTTGTGCTGCTTGACCTTGCCGGTGATGACTCCTTACATAAAAAGTACTTCAATAAACTTCTATGTTTAAAAAAATTTTGGAAGGGCGCATAAATTTGGGGGAAAAATTTGTGAAGCATTTGAGGTTGCAGAAAGAGCTACAGGGCAGGGGGAAATTCTCTAAGAGTAAACATTAACAAAATGAAGAAACTTTGTAAGGGTAGAGAGAGCAACAAGCCCTCCTGTGCCTACATGCCCTGTCATCTGTGGTTGGGTGCAGTGAGTATAAAGAACAACCCTAGTCATCGTCAGGGCCATAATTCAAATTGTTTTTACACCATATTGCAAAGAGCTAAGTTACACTTCAAAAAATGTTGTTATGCATTACTGCAATTTATTTCTTGTTATAAATTAGATATATGCTTTACATTTCTGCTCTCTTATGTTACCACCTGCATACACTAAATATTTTTCAAATACCCTATATTTAATATGTTTTTCAATCAAATACCCCGAGTGTATATTATTGGTCTTTATGGTAAAGCTACTGATAAATAAATGTTACTAGCCAGTAAACTTACAGGAAATGAACCATTAGAGTTGGAAAACAACTTAACTTAATTGAAAATAAATCACATTGTTTCTTTTTAGATCCATTTAGTTGAATTCTGGGCCTAAAGAGGTTTCAGAAACATGAAATTCAAGTGTTTACAAACCTGGGGTTTTGCCACTGGTGCTTCATAAGATTCATGACTAGGAGACTGGCTCAGTTTTATAATTTCATCTTCATCATCCTCCCAAGCATCAACTGTTGATCCCTCAAATTCTTGATATGATAGTTGCTTCTTGTTTCTTGCTTTGGCATTCTTGCTTATGCTTTCAAGAAGAGCACCACTAGGAGCAGAAGCAGAAGGAGTTTATAACAAAAAACAAAAACAATATTTGCACTGCAAAAAGATACAAATGAGAATAAATTCAATGTTGAATCTTAATTAGAGAAGCTAAAGAGCATCTATCAAAAAACAATAATTTAACCAAACTTCTATTGAAGCCTTTCAGATGATTAACTTGGGCCAGCAGGGATATGAGCAAACAAACTTCAGAACAAAAATTTCATACTTTGTCTGTATGCAACCAACAATCAGACAAGCCACTTAAAATGGGTTTTTGATGAAAAAGATAATAATCACTGGCTAGAATTGATCTTTTAGAGCAAAAGTAGCACATAGCTTGAATTAAAAAAAAATAGTGAAAATTATCAAAAATACCTAAATTGTAAAGAAATAATTGCCACTTACTCAGTAATGTGCAGTGGTGGGTGCTGTGCTCCATAAACAGCTCTGAACAAAATGATTGTATGTTTACATATACATAAGCAAATGTTTAGATATACAAAAGAGGAGATGGCTGTGAAATATTGCTTAATCAAAGTTTGTGTGAAATGACATGAATTGACTTTTATTGTTTACTCCTCTGTAAGGGGATTGCAAAAGAAACAATGAAAGTTTTTGATCATGGCCAACCCTATCTTCTTCCATCTAGCATTTTTAATATTTTAATGCTCTGATTTTCGGCCATATTGTATCTCTTTAGTCTCTGAAAAGCCTACTAGGTCAAAGCTTTGTCAATTGGATGATCAACTGTGATAACTGCAAAACATCTTCTGTCTATCTGGGAATTCATCTGTCAAACAATGTGGGAAGTTCCCAGATGACAGGCGTAAGCATTATGGCAAAGTTTTCCAATCAAATTAAAAACTTGAATATAGTTTGGAAAAGCAAAGCATATCACATCAGGAGGGTAGGTAGAGGCAGGAGGGGCCTGGCCCCCAACACCCGAGAAGGCCTCCAAACAATAGTGTTTACAGATCGAGGAACAACTATTTATAGTTTGAGTTTGAGAATGAGCACATGTTTCCTCAAACCATTTTTCCCATGACTGAGTTAGTTTGTACATTTTTGTACATTACCTCTGTATGTTATATTTACTATAGTAGAAAAGAATCCCCCTCCCACAATGTCAAAAATCCTAACTACTACCATGTATCACACTAAAGTACTTTTCTATACTGTAAATCCTCGAGTTCCACTCGAGTTCCAATTAAGGAAGTCCCACTGAAATTCACTATTCCTTGTATGGAATTGGAAAAAACCAAAAAATGTTATTAAATCTTGGTAGTGCTTGCTCTCATCCTTATGTATTTTTCAAAGCAAAATGAGAAGTAAAAAGCAAAACAGTTGAAAATCATTTGAATAGAATGATTTGATTCAGTAAATGATAGGACAACAAACTAACCTCCCTGGCACCTTACTTGCCCCAGTGCCTTTCTTCCAAAATGCTACTTTAGTTGTTTGGGGTTGTGTTGTGCCTTTCCTCTGTTCTTCAGATACTGTTGGTTTCAATTGGTTGGTATGTTCTAATGAAGTAAACCTGGCTCCAACAGTCAAAACCCTTAAAATAAATTAACTAAAATAAATAAGAGCAAAAAGATAACCCTACATTTAACATATATATCATTTAAAATATCTTAAAAAATATTTTGCAGGCTTTGCTAGAAGAAAGTTATCCTGCATCAGTATTTTATAGTATAATGCATGTGACTGAAAATTCTGGTAGAAAATCAAAGAAAATAACTATCTGAGGGTGGCATTTCTGTATCAGAAAATATACCCCAAGTTCTCTTTTTGATTAGCAATCTACCTTTCATATTATTTTACTCATATCTCACTTGAAATGTTTTAAGTTCACCATATCCATGAGATAAGTTGAGATGTGAACTCCAGATACAAATATATATTCTATGGGAAAGAAATCCTCTTGGATAACAGATAAGAAACTTGACTTTAAATGGACAAGTTCATTTTCTTGTGTAAATTTACTAGATTATAAATAACCCTGAACCTCAGTAATGGAACCATTACTGAGGTTCAGGGTTATGTATAATCTAGTGTACTGAATTTTTGCTTCAATACAAGTCTATTGGTGTTTGGTTTCACCACGACTGAAGGTTGAAATGAGCAGCATCTAGTCTTTACGAGCAGCTAATGCGGAAGCAAGTTGAGATGGCAGCTCAGGGGGCCTCAGCCCTTAACAATGTCCTAAAATGACTTAAAATCCTAAGGAGCTTTTCAATGCTTTCCTTGGATACTGAAAAATTGTATCCACAACCTCCCCCCATTTAACCACAACAATATAAATGTGCTTTGATATCTCTCAAGACTAAGCAGCATTGTTATAACTATGGAAAACAAAAAGTCTTCATAAAAACACCAAAGAAAAAAGCAGTTGAAAGGACTGAAACAGCATAGGTTTTTGTGGATAACTCAGGTATTTTTCCTGCAAAATTTAAGAAGGGATATAAAGAACAAAGGAATAAGGATCACTGGCCATGTCTTGTTAGATGTGAGTAAAGGCAGGCATGTAACCTACTAGAGAAAAAATTAAATGTCTTTGTCAAAAACATTCAAACTATTTCCTTCCATCAGACAATTGTCCCAACTGACCAAAAATTTCGCTGAAAATTACAAAGATGTTGATATTTTGATGTCGTATGACTAAAACCAGTTATCGCCTTTTGATTCGTCAAGAATGTTTTTGTTCGTGTGTTTACTTCACACTTCCGATTTTGATAAGAATCATTCTGCTCTTAATGTTTACTATAAGCTACCAATACATTACCGTTCTTTTGCTGTTTCACTCATATTTTTTTGTAATTACATCACAATTGCTGTTGATACAACATCTCAACGTGAAATTCTTTCATACTTCGTAACAATCACAAATACCAGTCGCCATTATTCAGACATTTTCCGATTTGAGTTTGAGGAGCACGCGCAGTGGCATCAAGTTACTCCTAAGCCTCATATTCATTTTCTAGGCCAGCCAGCCTGGCAAAGAGGGCAAAAATATGTGGGGCAGGATGGTCACTCTATAAAAAGCTTAATGTTTTAATTTAGAAGCTCTGAGGAAGCCATGCATAGCGAGGCGAAATAACTGTTAAATTTAATTTTACTGTTTTCGTCGTTGTTTTTTATTCTCGGTGCATTGCGGTGCTCTTTGTTTTCATGCAAGGTAAAAAGGCGAGGGGCCTAGCCAGCGGGGTGTATAGGGGATGTGGGATGTGACAGCCCCAAATTCTTCGGGAGTTAGTCACTGAATTTTCAGTTGTTCCACAAAGATTGTCGGTAAAATCGTCAATCGGTAGGTGAAATAAAGGGGTAAATGGAGGCCTCGTTTTTTTCGCTGCAAAGTAGTGACAAAGCATTTTTGGAACTTTTGAACAATGTCCATATAACCTGAATGATCAACATGAAGTGTATCTCTACTCTACATTGGTAAAATTACATGGATTTGTTACACATGAATACCTAAGATCTGGCAAATGAGCAAATACTCTTTCATAATCAAATCACTGTCATTTTCCTTGGTTCTAACACTTATGAACCAGTTACTTTAGCAATACCTAGATCTTTCACTCTCCACATCTCAGGGAATTCGTTATAGGCTTAACTGATATTGGACCTGTTCTTTCTGTTTATGTGGTCAAACCATACTAATCAGATATAGATGAAATAAAACTAGAATTAGAATAACGATTTCAATGTCAAAAAAAATAGTTGAATAAATCACCACCTTACCACTGGACCACAGAAAAAGAAAAATTCTGTTCTATTAAACTTTTTCCTATTCTGTGACTTGACTAGCAAGAATCACACGAAACCAGTACGTGACGGCATCGAGGGGTAGCTTAGAAAGGGGGTGTGAATACCCAATGTTATCTTCGAATTCATTTCATTCAACTGAAAATAGCAACATTTACTTAGAAGCTAGTTTAATTTACTTGTAAGAGTGGGTCGTCAGTTTAGCAGTTTGCGAATAAACATGTGCATGACAAACAGGTAAATAAATCAATTAAGACAAAACGGATATGTTACAAGGAGTACGATGTACGAAACATATCGTCAAACTTAATAAAAGATTGCTAATGCTTTCAATTCTAGATAGATCATAAGCTACTCTTTATCAAATAGAATGAAAAATCGCCACTACAGCACAGCCACTCTAAGACCTCATGGGAGGGAAGGGTAGGGATTCTTATCCGCAAACAAGTTGTTGACGTGTGACCTTAAAATTTAAGTACTGACACAATTTCACGTGCAAGAACAACTTGAAGTCACTATCATGCCTGCAAACACAACACGATTGTAACCTTCTCGAAAATTATCTTTTTTGCTTTCTCCTAAATAGATTCAGTTTTAAAAACATGACCAGCATTACTCTTTTTAAGTTGACAAAAGTGCATTGGGTAGGGGCAGGTAGTATTTTCTGAGATTTGGCTAAGGCAAATAGTTCTGGTATAAAGCACAGAAATGAGACAAAGGAGATTCATCTCGTAAGTAGCTTGTGCCACAACCAGGGCCGTCGATACGGGGGGCGTGGGGGGTGTGACACCTAACGAGAATAATTGATGATCGTTTAAACTCTCTCGTGCTAAAGGCCAGGCGCGGTCTGGCCCGGGTGGCAAAGTGGCGATCCCCACCGGGCTCTCAGACATGTAAAGTAAAGAAAATTACGGGCCCTTTCTGCAAAAGTTAGAGTGGAGAAGATAATTTTCATAAACTGGAAACTAAAGTCACAGCCAAGCATTGGCGAAGCTAACCAAGAAGAGGTGGTCCTGGTCAAAGGGGGTCTGGGGGCGCAGCCCCCAGAAAAATCGCGTGAAGCCACGCCCTAGAGACCCTCGGAAAAGGGGGAAACGCCCTTCTGGATCTGTTGAAATCAAGATTTCAGTGAAACATTTTTTACTGCCACATTTTGGAAAAAAGGGGATGAAGGTTCGGATCCTTTCAAGTACCTCCTGCCTTACATTGAAGAAGTCAAAAGAGCATCACAAAAATTCTTTCTAAAATAAGTAACATTTGAAAATGTTTTCATTGATTGAAAATTTTGAAATCATGGACTAAAAAGAAATTGCTTGTACAGATAGGCATATACAGTTGTAATACATACTGGAAACATAATTGATTCAAATTATTTAAAAAAGTAAAAATATTTTGTCACAACATATGTCTGATGAACGGTAGATAGGTTCTTGAATCAATTTGTTGTGAATATCAGAGGAGACCCCTGACCATTTGCCAGTACAATACAATCTGAGTCACCGAGTACAAAAGCTCCCAGTAATTACCATTGTTTTCATTTTCATCCTTTTCAAAGCGTCCTTTTCATCGGGACCTCTGAATTGTATGGTAGTTCCTGTTTAAAGCAGGAGGACGAACTACTGAAATTAAATTTAAGCAAGCCCTTTTTCTGTCATGAACATTCCATCTCCCCTCGATCTCGACTTTCCTGGTACAAAAAAAGAAGTTTCTCTTTCGGCAGCGGCGGCAAACTTTTTCTACTTTTTAAAATAGGCCTTTGAATATGACTTCCTTTGCTCTCTGCAGTCTGGGGGAAAACTCTATGCATATCAGGTTTCTCGCGATGTCTGTGATATTCCCGACTTTAACAGTAAATAGGACCAACAGAACGACCCTAAACAATTTGATTTCCGCAAGTACCACTCGTCTTGAAACGATCAATTCTTGTATAAATCAATTGACGACAGTGTAGGGCCGAAGCTTCTAGCAGCAAAAACTTCTTCAGCAGCAGAATCATGATGTCTTCGTTACAGTTAGTTTTATCCATGATATCAAAATAGTCAAGGCCTGAGTAACTGATCTGACTATGACCTGAGTGAAAATTCTTTGTGACCTTTGACCACGGCGCAGAAAATCAACAAATTATAACGAAACATAGGGCTCCAAAAATCTAGGTCCTGCCTCCATGAAAGAGCAGGACCTGAGGTCCTGCCATTTCTGAAGGGCAGGAGTGCCATTGTTTTCTTCTATTGTGAGGCAGGACCAAAAACAGGGCTACGAGGCGTTTGCCCATTGTTGGGCAGGACCAAACATAGGGTTTAGTCCTGCCTACGAGTATTGGGCAGGACTGACCACAGGGCTAAATTTTTGACGATATCAATTTACGAACGGGATACTCGAAATTCCATTTCAGTCACCCTGTGTCTCAAAATTGAAAAAGGGCACAGCCACGAAGTATAAGTGTAGAATAAGACAAGAAATGCCTTTGAATCAGGCATATAATGATTTCATAAAGTGAATCAATTTTTAACATTTTAAAAATTGTTATCTTTGGAAATTCGTGGTCCTGCCCGGCAGGACAAGCAGGACCTTTGGCTTCGCCACTGCAGCCAAGACATCAAAATGAAGTCTGCGCGCAGGCCAAAGGGCCCCACTATGACCAACATCCACTATACAGAAACTCTATTTCAAATTTCGCACAAAGGCAAATCTGTCCTACTTCCTAGGGAAATAATTTGAAACTGTAGGTAGCGATCAAGGAGCTGTTTTTTTTAGTTGTCTAGAGTCGCCATTGTTACATATCTAGCTAATAATGACCTTCCACACATGCTCAGGAAGAAAGCTTCTCAAATTGGGAAATTTATGGAATCAACTTTGCGAAAGAAGCGAAATAGGAGCTTTGCAAAAACAAACTTTTGCGTTTTAGCGAAAATCATGGACTTTGCGTGAAAAACATTTCTATTCAATCGAGGTTTCCTTCTATTTTTATTCCACATGCTACCAGCAAAACACCGAAAAAGAGGTTTCCTTCTGTAAAATTTGTCCAACTTAATAAATCTTCGCCAAAGTTTTCAAGAGGATCAACAGCAAAATTTTCTAGATATATCAAAAAAATAAATTTTCGCAAATTTAGCATTTCAGGAGATTTTGCGTATTAATCATCCCCTATTTTAGGCCATAAACGCTAAAAAACGGAAAGGTTCCTTCCCTCACAAATTTCATCCCGTGAAAATTTCTTTCCGCGAAAGTTTCTTCCTTAAAAGTAGTAAGCAACAGTTGAAGGCCTTCCCCTGCTGCCCTTTAAGTTTTTCTTTTCTCTGAAACCCTCTGCAAGGTGCATGCTTAAAAGTTATAATGAAGTTTTTCTGTTTGCTAATTGTTAAATGAACAACGTGTTTAGAATAATAAAGTTTGGTACAGACTAAGGAATCTGTATCGTTTTAAGTTCTCTCAATGATGTTTCACTGTGAATGAGCTTGTAGGTCAAATTGTAGCCAAGATACTAATCTAGACAAATGAAAAGATGACATATAAAAGAAAAGAACATGCAGGTTGAATTTTTTATTATTTTCTTGGCTAAATTTTAGAATACTTATATATATATATTAGGTTCGCTTGAAGATATTGCGAAAATTGTCGGACTAGGATTGTCATTTTGAACTGTTATAAGAGTTTTTTAGAGTTACAAATAGAACCATTGTTTTGCTGTTATTGTGCAGAGTTTAACTCCATACATCGAGTCCTTTATATAAATAGAGAACCACAACCGTCAATAATTGATTTAAACTGAGCATATTTTAGCCTTTTCTCGCATTAGTTGGTGTTGCTCAAAAAAGGTTTTCTGCCAAACCCTGAACCGGAACCTTTTGGTTTGCTGGCTATCATGCAATTATGACACTGAGCAAAAATATAACTGAAATATAGCTGTTTGAGAAAAATTATTCGCGAGTTTTATCAATGAAGATTATGATCATGTGAGAACCACGCCCGTATCTGTTGCCACGCCCATTTTGTCGGCATCCCCCCTCCCCCATGAAAATTTTCTAGCGACGGCCCTGGCCACAACTAAGGCCAGTGATAGTGTAAAAATAAAGACCAACTAAAGATTCCAGTGATTTATCTTTTCGTGGCATTTTTAGTTTTATTTGGATTGTCTTTTTTACTAGCTTTCATGTCGATTAACTCGTAATATCATTCCTTTTTCTCTTCAAGAGTACGTATTTAAGAATAAACATAAAGGCAAAACCACTGACACCCTTGATGAAAATGGTCGAGATTCTTAGATGTAGAAATTTGAATGGATCAGCTCATTTCTTAAGATTTAAAAGTAGTGTCATTGTCACTGACAAAGAGTTGGTCCTGAATCCATTCTTCGTTTTCAAACGAAACCGGTGAGGTTAAACAACTAGGACGGGTTGAGGCTATAGCCAGGTAGTAGTGACTACCGTTTCTGTCCCAATATATATTCTCTCCTAAGAACACTATTTTGCATGCTTTCGTTATTAAGCTGTTATTTGTATACACATTGACTGAAGAATATGAAAAATCAAAACCATCAACGGAAGACAGGTACAATACTATCCCGTCACTAAGAAACTCATTTTGTAAAAACAGCCTGCTCGGTTTTTTATAAATGAAAAACAAACAAAACAGGCTGACTAATTTTTTATAATACGAGCATGAAACACACAAAATGTGGATGTATATTTGAATAGAAACTATGAAATCTGCTTTTCTGTGGCTAATTTTAAAGAAAATTTTGGACAGATTGTTCAGATTTAATTAAGCTTTGGCTTGATAATACTCTCCTATGTAAAAAAGGAAGGCAGATGATATTAACTGTAGTAGGTACCAGCCATGTGGACTAAATTTCAGACTGATTAGTTTCTTTTATCAGAGTAGAAGTGGTGCCACCTGGCAGGCTGCTGTTTCTTGCAAGTTTGTTTTTTTAATGGCGGGGGTTATACTGTAGAGACAAAATTTCCAACTTTTTCGACTTGAAACTTCTTCGTGGAGCTGCTCTTCCACATTCTTAGATTAATTTCAATTCACACACAATCAATAAAAAATCAGATGAATTGAAGTCAACTAAACTGGAGGATGTTAAACTTTTTTCCTTGGTTTCTGACCTAGACTTACAGTTAGTAAATCTCAATTATTCATGCAATGCTCTGTTTAATAAAATTGACCTCGAAAATCGTCGAAGTATTTAGATTTATGCCCAATTATTTCCTGCGAATCTTCCACATTAAAAACAGATGACTTCTCAATTTCGTTCTGCTTCTTAAATGACCTAGCAGCATAAAGACTATCAAGCAATCTGAAAATAATAAGTTAAATTTTCTCACAACTCTTACAATACAGTTTAACAAGAATATGGGTTGTGAAACATCAATGCTAATATATTCTTATAATATAACATTTCCCAATAGCATAAGAATTGGGCTTGTAGAAGATTAAGATTCATTAACCACAAAACAAGTTTATTTCTTTCCTTCTTTTGCAGAGTGTTATACTTTGATGGTAGGTAATGCCCAAACGTGAAATTGTGCTAGTTATTAAAGGATAAATTTTGGTGGCCATTAGAAAACCATTGAGAGATACATCAACTTAGCTTAACCCTTAAACAAAACATACGATTAAAGTAAATACTGATAAACTAAAAATTGCAAACTAAAACTTTTAAGTTGCAAACCTAAATATGACCAGCTTTTTTATAAAGAACTTTATAAAGAACTTTGAAGTCCCTCATTTTTGGACATATTTCGATAACATTGCAGTACCAAATGCTTTTTAATAGTTTCTTAATTCTAATTCCACATTTAGTGTCCTGAAAGAATCATAGATGCAGGAAATTATTGCAATTCAAAGTTTTACCGTAGCTAGAAAACAAGGTCGTCAACAAAAAGAAGGCAAGAAAGAACTTTGATATATGTAAATGGACAATATCACTCAAAAGAAACATGTCTACTCAACTGACATCTTCTGATGGAGTCTACACTCTTCGTTTTACTGACATTTTATGCGAGCTCGATTGCAAATAAATGCATCCGGCCACCTCATTTTCAAATTTTGCAGTGATGAAAATATTCAAAACAGAAAAATTTGTTAGGTATCTTTTCTTTAGTAGGAACAGTCTCTTGAATGTTTTCGCCTTCTATATGTTAACTCCGTAGAAAGGGGTTCATCATAAAATAGTGTGCACAGACAGGAAATTCAGAGGACCTTAATCTAGCTTGACGAGATGTCAATAACATCACCATTCAATTAAAAACCTGTCAGTTATAAACCTGTTTTTAACACGCTTTCAATAACAAGGGTTTAAAGAAGATTAATAAAGTTTTTTTTTCAGTGAAATACCAGAAACATAATGGCAGTTTTAAACGGAAAGTTGGTGAATGGTTTACTATATTTAAATGAAGTAGTTTGTGATAGTGGCAATACTATAAATCTACTAGATTACATTAAACACACTCTAATTAAAGGTGACAATATCATTTTCAACTTTCATCAGTTTCTTATACGAAACTCAATGGGAAGTGATAAATTGGATTTTAGAAGGGTTTAAAAACTCTCGTTTGAATACGACGAAGTGAAGTTTTGAGAACTAGGCGAAAAACACACACATATCATGTTGATCAATTTAATGGCAACCACTTAAGTTTTAGATGAAATATAAACACAACGCTTCGCAACTGATGTTTTGTCTTACGTAGACATAAAATCTGCTAGATAGAGAATCTTCTAGAAAATTCTCGTTATACCTAACACTGGACAAGGAATGGGCATCGAAGCGAGTAAAGTGACATGATTGCATCTACAATATGGTAAATTGTACAATAATGGCGTGCATATAAACGACATCCTGACACTTGAACCGTGCTTTGGTTCTTCGGGTTCTTCGGGTCACAATACTACTAATAGGCCCTCTTAAAATGACTGTCCTACATCAAGTATGATTTTGCGTATCGCAGAATGTACAATCTGATTGGCAAGAGCATGGAATAAAAAATTCAAACTAAAACTAAAATTTGGAAATATCACGGGAAATAAGTAGAGTCAGTCCATGATCTTTGTGTCAGCTGCTTTAAAGCAACTATATCAAGATGACCTATTGAAGATTCATGCCAGATTCATACAAGATGCAGGCTAGACGTAAAAGACGCGTTGCCTCCCGCAGGACGCGAGTAACATTCTTGTGGCAATATATTTTAAACTTGCAGTGTCTCCTAATAGTATCTTTAAACAACAACAAGACTCAACATAGGGACTGAGGGCTACTGGAATCCATTCAAACGTTATAAAGTGGCAAATACTAACAAATTAAGACACGACACTAAAAAAGAGATGCAAGCACATACAATTCTTAACAAACTTCAAATTGTCATTCGCTTAAAATGATCTGAGTCAACAGATCTGAAAAAGGAGCAAGTTGACTAACTTGGCTTAGCCAAAAAATTCTCACAGTCAATGTTAAGCAAGACTATAAGAAAGACTTAAGTGAATAGCACATCGGGGCGGTTCAACACAAGCAACAAAATATAAATTATATCTGTTGGATATTAAATTAAGGGGTATTTTACCTAACATGAGCTGAACTGGACTCCTATGAGAAACAGTTGCTGGAACCTGAGAAAAACCTGGGCCATAAAACAGGATTCAAGTGAACAGTGTTTCAATAAAATCCAGACCACTTTTATATTCTGGCCACTGTGAAAAAGGCAGTGTACGGAAATCACGAGGCACCGAGGATGAAATGATTTTGAAATACCGCTACATGTAAAGGAACGATTCTTATCATAAAAAAATCTTCGACCGATGAAAATTTCTAACAGACTCTACGTTGACACTTGCAGAAATAAAAAACTTACAATAAAAATGTAAATAAATTTTCGAGATTTCCAAGACTTTTGGATGAATAAAAGAGCCCCGTTAAGAAAGGGCACGCCAAAGACGTTGCCACCACGAAGCCTTTTGAGATACACCTGAAAAGATATATTCCTCCTTCTGTCTCCGGACAAGGCTACAAACGACAACATGTCAGGTATAAGGTATGAAGTTGTCAAGATGCAGAGATCTCTATAAATTTGGACGGCCCACGACGAAACATGCTATCAAAAACTCTCCTTTCTTTTGGGTGGCTAGGAGTTTCCTTTTACTTTGTCTGAAGAAAACTTGCCACCTCAAACATAGATATTCTTATGCACTGAGTAGCCAAGTATCTGGTTGAGACAAACTACACGGCCTCGAAGTCAAAACCATGGTTATTGTAAACGAGATGTGGCTTCGCAGTGGCTGAGCTGACGTAAATTAACGATCATGGGTAAGATCAGTACTAAATAAAAGAAATTAGAGCTCTAATCAAATTTAAGTGAAATGTAAATATTTACAACCTATAATGAATTAGTTCGATTCTTAAAGGTCGATTCTACGGATATACATATGTATAATACAAACCGCATTCGTTTAATGAAATCGTGTTTTTTTCTTTTTTAACTAAAAGATAACACTAAGTCGCCGCCTTGGTGGACCTGCAAGTAAAAATCACCAAGTTATATATTTCTGTCAGTGGTTTAGTGCTATCAAAGTAACAAGCACAAAATATTGCGAAAAACAATAGCAAAAAAGGAACTTCCCAATTTTCGGCATTAACAAGGGCCCCGCCTAGCAGTACACCCCTGTTTTCTGCATAGCTTCCAATTATAGGCCATTATTAAAAAAACTGAAAGGAGACAAACCAGCAGAGATAATGGATAGGAGGCATTGATGCATGTAAATTAGGAAGTCTTTGTTGACATACTTGGGGCATTTAAAACGTACACAGCTCTAGCTGATAGCAATGAACACTAAGTAAAGGGTTTAGTTATACGTAAAATAGCTAGATTGTGAACGAGCATCATGGCTGATCAATTCACGCTTGAAAAGTAGGAGAATCCACTAACAAAGCAATGCTTACCTTTTCCTTTAGCAGAAGACGTGCTTGTTCTATAGCCAGGATCACGCTGCAATCGAATGTCCGTAGCAGACAGAATTGATGCAGCTAAACGAAAAGAATAACAGAATAGAGGGAAAGGTGCTTACTCTTGTACAGAAACAATTCTCATAACAAATATAGGCTTTATCGCCATTCTACAAAGCCAGCCACTTTTCATACACCACTGTTGCAATTATACCATCAATATGCAGTTAAATAATTGATGACGAATTTGCATGTTGTATGAGTTGGTTCAGACTTCTTAAGAGAGGGTACCGATAATAAAATTTTGCTACTGTTTTTTCATTGATGAATAAATAATAAGTCAAAATTTTTATAGAGGATAAACATTTCAATTTTAACGTAAAATGTTAACTACATTATCAAAGTGTGTCCTGTCCAAAATTAAAGTGAGTACAAACTTAGCCATAGTGATCAAAATCGTTAATAAAACTTTGAAATGTTTTGTTGAAAGTTCTTCAACATCTAGGTTTGACGATTGTGAATTTATAAGTCATTGTAGATTTTCTCATCCATCGACCGAAAACTAGACTTTGCAACTTTTAATTTGACTTTTGGAATTTCAAGTATAAACCAATTACTTCTGGTATTCTGTAATGAAAACGATTTGAAAGTTTTCACAGAGCTTGCATTCCAGACTTTTGGTTTTTCTTTTAACTCAATCACCTGTGAGCAATGATTAGCATTGTTAATCGTTTTACATATTAGCTTTTACATATTATTTTCTTCTAGAAGCCCAAATTAGATAGGCACAATCTTCTTTGACCGTATATTGCAATTAAGTCGAGTTGGATTGGAATGAATTGAATTAGGGAGTTAAAGAGAGCACTAAATGAATACGTACTGTCGGAAAGAACGTGGATTTTAGGCCCAAGTGAAGTAAAGTATCTATGTAGCATTGCTTCACAGGCTGACGCCCTCATACTTGGTTCATACTGAAAAACAAAATTAACAAAATAAATGAACATCGTACAGATAACCTCTTATAAACAAATACATCGCAAAATGCAGAAAATAATGTCACAAAGCCAATTTGTCGAAATTTAGAGGAATTTCAGGTGTAAAAAATATTCGGCGTTCACTGTGCTCAGAAAGTCGCCCTTATTACGACAACAGGTGAGTCAATTTTGAAGCTTAGAGAAAAAGCAAGATAACAACACCAATGCTCAAGAGCAAAGATTGGGTTGGGATGCATGGTTTTGCAAATGCTAAACGTGCTTCAAACAGAGGATTAAAACTCAGTTCACGACTCAGTCACGTTGAGAAAGTACGTCAAAATCAAACATAGATTGGAATAGTCCATCTCTTAATGGAAGATTACTCTAATCTCTGCACTGTCGCAGCTGATGACACAACTATCGACTGAGAGCATAATCAACAAAGGCAAAAATTGGAAATGATGAAAAAAATGCGAATGTGGCTTCATCTCAATAAGATAGGATGATAAATTGAACGTACGCCTGATTTGCAAAATCTAGTTAAATTTGAATATATTATTGAGAAAACCAAAATTCAAACTCACCACTATGAATTGCTTTAACAAATCTAGACCCTCATTGTCCATTCTAAAGAAAAACGAGAGAAACATTGCGAATGAAAGCGTCTATTATAAATTCATTCGGACTCTCAAGAATGTAACAGCAGCTCCTTGTATCGAAAGAAGAGGTAAAATATTCCTATCTTATCCTGGAATTTTTATTGTACCAACAAATTACATAATTTTTGTGGCACCAGCTGTTTATCAAATGTTTTATGCATACCGTCTTGTTATTTGCAAAAAGAAAGCTATCTAGATTTAGCAAACTTACAGGAATCAAAAGCACAGAGTTTTACGTACCTTGGGATGTAATTGTGCAATTGCTCCGGTCTGTAAATCGGAAAATGACCTGAAGGACGACATGAGTGCATGAGCCAACATATCAGTGATCAATACATCACCTAGTTTTGTCTAAGCTTTTGTCACGTGCAAAATAGATATAAAGGTAAACTGACCAAGGAGCCCTAGGCCTTGTAATACTCTCATGTTTAAATCAAATAAAGCTTAAATCGGGTTTGAAATTTACGTAGAAAAGTAATTCAACTCTTATGTATGATCCGTACATATTGGGAAGAGGCTGTTAGGGAACAATTCCCTCTGTACCATAAGCTCGATGGGTTCTTTTACTTGCTGAGATTGCAACCGGGAATACTTTTACTGCTGGATTGCAGGAGTTATGTGCCAAAACAGTGGATAGAGCCAGTGCTCAAGCAAGCAACCTATAACACCTCAGTTTAGGGCTTTAATCACTCGGTCACGGCACCAAATAAAACAAAGCTGTGCTAACAGCGCTCTCCACCTTGACTGGACTAATAATTCAATGATACTACTTTCTTTATAAACAAATCTACCAAATTTAAGAATCTCAAAGATTGTAATAATAATGTGACGATACCATTAACGAAATCCGGATTGCTTGTAACTCCCGGCCAACTAGCCTCATTCGGGGTTCCCAGCATCTGTGAATTAACAAGGAAACCACGTTAAACCCAATTGAGGCAAAAAAAACACAAGAAATTTTTCAAATCCGAACTGATATCTGGTAAAAATGCGCAGAGTACTTTGCAGAGTAAACAAGAACGAGAAAAGTTAAAGAACCAATCGGTATCTATGACATAAGACGATGAAAAGATATTGCAGAAATCACCTAAAACTTATAGGCGGAGAAATGCAAGAAGGTCTACAATTGGTAGAAAAATGCTTATTTGATTTAATGAAAGCTGCTAATTTTTCGTGAAGATGAGTAATTATAATAACAAAAAGAACAAATGAATTTACCTTAAATATCAGAATAAGTTCATTCTCTGCGGTTGAGCCTGGGAACATCGGCCTACCGCTGACCATTTCGTAAAATATACATCCAACTCCCCTAGAAAGACCAAAAAGGGGGATGAGCTTAAGCAAGTTATTAAAATCATAGAATATATGGAAAAACATATCACTGTGAAGCTTCTCTTATTAGAAACCTCAAAAAAATTGACGACCTCAAATAATGAACATCTTCCCCTAACGGGTACATCAAAATAATTAACGATAACATAGTCCCAACATTTCTTTGAAATCCCGTAAAAGTAAACCCCAGGCAGCTACTTTAGTATTCTTTATCGTATTGAAGATTCACTATATCTAAAAAAAGTATATTTTGGAGTCTAAAACTAGATGCTAAAAGTTTGAAACCAAAAGCGCTAGAAGCAGTGACTGTACTGACCACATGTCGATTGATGCATCATATTCAGTAGAACCAAGAAGGACATCTGGTGGGCGATACCTACGGAGGAGCATCAGTAAACATTTATCTATAAAGCAAACTCAATAAAGACGGCAAATGCAAGCTGTTCAGTTATGACGTAATGATATCACATTAATTGAATACAAAGTGATGTACGATATTGTGAAGCATGTTTTTACGTCTGATATTTAAGGTTTTCCAAACTTCAAATTTTGATTTTGGTATGGTGACAGGGTTTGGGTTGACACAAGCGAGGATGACAGTAATGAGGGTAACAGGAGAGAGGGTTACAGGGATGATGGTGTTACGGGTTAGGATGGGAGACTATATTAAAAATGGATGACGGCCAAGGAAATAGACAAAAACAAAAGCAATGCGAAGAGAATAGCTTTTAGAAGGATTTCTGACAGGTTTTGAAGGCCTGTTAATTAAACATTCAAAACTCTTGTATTCAATCTGAAACTGATGTCAACAATTTAGAACAAAGAAGACTAAAGTGTTTTTAAGAGCAAGATTGACTTGGTGTTTGAACACCCATTTTTTAACCAGTAAATTATAATTCATGATCTATATTTTCTTGAATCGATAAAATTGACTTGAATCGACTAACCACAAAGTCACAACTTCATTTGAATAAGTTTTTGTTGGCACAGATTTCGCCCTTGCAAGGCCTAAGAACAAAGGAAAAATTAATAAAGGATGAAATGTCATATATTATGAATAAATTAAAGCAGCTGGCATTGACAATTTCATTAAAAAGTACGAAATATTTATGAATATATATTGGAATTCAGATGTAAGATAGTCACGTGGTGGGGACATATGGCTTGTTAACAGCCACGCGTTGTTGAAGCTATAGAATCAATATCTTCATTGGATTTTATACAGATAAAGGATCTTAGTTAAAGTTTAAACCCAATCTTTACATTTCAAACTAAACTTCAAAGAGGAAACGTGATGATAAAGAAATCATTATCAGCTTTTCAACAGTTACTTCTATCTGGTAGCTTATCTAACTATCAAACAAGGATAGAACTCCAAAGAGTTAAGAAGACGAGTGAAATTCTTCAGAACTTTATGATTTATTTGTCTAAAACTATCGAGTTGCATCAAATTAAATACCAACAAAAATATTAGGAATTTCATTCACTTGTAATACAAATCATCATATTTGCCATGCTAAATAATTCTCCACGCACTAAAGCGCATGTTTTGCTTTCAGCATCCTCAGGGATAACTTGGTCCTCTCTTATCACATCTGTACGTATTCTATATTCATAAGATTTACTGGGATTCCCTTTTTGTTCTTACTCCAAATGAGAAAAAAGCCAGGAACCAATGACTAAACACCAGGGGCTCACCGGTTTAAATATTTCGCAATAAACCTATTGCTGAAAATAGTTGTAGGCCAATTCTTTATAAATGCCGACGATCTCTAAATTTCCTTACGTTTTAACATTTCCGGCTTCGTTTATGCACAGTGTCTATTGTTAATTGCAGAACCAACATTGTCCCTCATACACAAACGAACTTCATCATTAATATAACGGCTCCTTTTTAATTTCAAATCCACCTAGCTTTCTTAATGTTAAAAAGTGTCCTCTCGTTTATTTCCTGGCATCTCAAGATGATTATTTCCTCGTACCTAATTATCAAAACATATTTTGCGACGATTTTCTTTACAAGCTAATTAGAAACCAAGCTAAAGTTGGTTGACAATGCAACAAAGATGTGCGAAATCATGAAGATGGTTTGGTTCAAAACATGAAGAAAGTACACCATAGTTGAAATAATTCAAAAAGTTTTACCCGATAAGCCGCAATACTTACCAAAATCTGCTAATTTCAGCTCTCCTTTCTGATTTATAAGAAGGTTCTGTGGCTTTAAATCCCTTTGAACAGAACAATATTTCAACGATGAAACCAAAGCCGAAGCAGAAGCTTTGTGTTTTGTTTACTTATACACAGAAGCAAAAAAACTTAAAACACCGCAAATGTTGAAATGGGAAAAGTAACTAATTACTGGCAAAAATAACAAATGTAAGCTGCACAATAATAAATAATAAATCTAAATCTGATGAAAAAGCTGAATAAAGCAAAGCCAAAACGCATTGCGATTTTATAAGAAGCAAGAAACGATGAACATATCGACAGACAGTAAAAGGCACTACGTCCAGTCAGTCCACCATTAACAATAGATTCTCCAGCGCTTTTATGATCGAAAAAACATCGAGAATTAGCCGATTGGATATGTAACAATTGATCATTGTATAATTCAACCAATGGGAATTTAAATGGCCTTCGAAAAGCGTCGGTACATCGTGCCTTCGACAGATAAAAACCTTACAAAATAATCTCATCTTTTTGATTTTCAAACAACATATGACTTTGATGTAACGAACACTCGAAAATTTTAATAAAATTCGAACAAAATAATTATCTTTAGACTACGCCCAAGCCTGCGGTTTCAATTCTATACAGAAAACATAATTGATTAAATAAGATTAAGCTTAGACGTTCTCTTTTCTGCCGATTTAAACTGACTTTTCACATAGAGAGAATTGATTCGACCTATTTGTAACTAATCTGATGTCCAGGCTATAACTTTTCATATGATGACATTCGACATTTTAGCTTATTTTCAAGATAACAATCTCTAAGCTGAAGGTTAAGCGTAAAGTTGAAAATAAATGTGCAAATGTCACAGAAAACAGTGCACAGAAAATCGGTAGTAAATTTTAAAGTTATTCAAATGGCGCTAGTCAACATTTGTGAATTTTTGGCAATTCCTGGTATTGCAATGACAACGAGCTCTTATACATAATGCTTTCTACATACCTGTGTAGGACCTTCCGCTTGTGGCAGTAGTTCAATCCGCGTAGTAATTGAAAGAGGAAAAGCTGTGAATGAAAAACGTAAATCCTGGTACAGCACCACGATGAAGATATAATGATACGCAAACCTTTTTTGTTACAAGGCTCAAAGAAAGAGGAAAAAGCCACACTACAATATTTGGAATTACACTAAAGTACTAAAGTAGAGAAGCAATAAAGAACCGTTTTTCCATACACTTCAAATTGTGCAAACCTCTTCATTGAGCACAGTATAGCAGATAGCAGATATTTTCATTAAGATCATTAAGGACACTAGTCTCCGTATAATTTTGGAATCTGATGTTTAATAGTGTAAAATAAGAAAACAAGGTATTCATGAATTTTAAAGAAGGTTACATCTTCCACTTTAGTTAAGTTCGGGGTCAAAGTGATGAAGCCTCACTTGATTACTATTAAAGGGGAAAGGTGAAAAGTGAAAGTGGCAAGGTGAAAGGCCATCACAAGTGAAGACTTTCACAACACACATAGACAAGTTCTATTATCTACAATTGTCTGATGATTGCATTAAGCGTGAAACTCCGAGTAGCAACTCAGAACCATCCTGTTCAATACACCAAAAGCAAAATCATCATAGATTTAGTGTTTGAAAAGCACTCTAACTTCTTGCAGCAGTTTGGCAAAACGAGGCTGCCACTTAAATTCAGAAAAGAGGCTTTCCACGTTTCAGAATGAATAAAAAAGAATTAAACTTTTCGTCATGAAACTAAGTGTAGAATGGGTCAAAATCTTCTGTAATTCCAAAATATCAAAGATGATATTAAATCCAGTCAAGCATTAAGGCTCTGGGTAAAGGCAGTGTCGGGAAGAAGTTCTTGGAAATAATACCTTGACATTTGACAAATTCAGAATTCCATTGGATTCATCCATGTAGGACTTTAGATCCCTATCCTATAAAATGAAAAGGAACAGGCAAATTGATAAATTGACAAAGAGAGAATCAGCGCACGCACAAGCAAATGGCTAAAAATGAAAGAAATGATAGAAGAAAATGGTTGCCTGATGACCGCATTAGGGGTGAAGCTAGGAATTGCAACTTTGAACTGTCTTACTTTAAAAACCAAAGCGTTTTACATAATACATACATGATATCTATAATCTGAGTAACTCACTGTTCATCTCCTGAAGAGTGAGTTACTCACGAAACAGGCTTGTAGAGATAAATCATGTAGTCTTATTTTCTTCAACTCTATGATATATCACGCTCTACGTGCTAACGCATTGAGCACTGTGCTACGGACGTATCAAAAGACAAATTTCTACATAATATCTTATATACATAATATCTAACGAAATTGTAACAACGGAAACCTTTCATCTATTGTCTTACAGATTAAAAAACTAACAAAATATAAAGGCTTACGAGATATTCGAAGACTAGCATCATTGACTTGGGTGTATGAACGATATCATGTAATGTCACGATATTTGCGTGTTTCAAATCCTTCAGCAAAGACACTACAAGAAAAAGGAAACCCATAAGGTGAAGTTGAAACTAAAAAAAACCTACTTATTTTGGGATGGTGCCCGCTAGTGCTTCTACACAACAAAATTATAATCCTCCAAAGCCAGGCTTGCAGAACAGCAGTATGCTCTAATTTACTATTAAAAGATGGATTTCCCGCAGGGATCATACCACGCTTCAAAAGTGCTACATTCTCGAGGGATCAACATGATTTGCACTAACGAAAAAACTCTGTTTACTGAAAATAGGTTCTTTTCGGCAGTATTTTAATGCCTGGAAAACTGCAACATTGTTCACAGATAACATCGAATTTCCACGAATTTCCATTTCTTAAGAGAGGATTACTAATTCGATTGAAAATTCGTTCTCGATAATTTCATTCAGAGGACAAGATCATTTAAAATAATCTTCGACTTAGCAAAAATAATCTTTGTCTGCTTATAGCAGCATATCAAAAAAGGTATAAAAGTATTTTATAGTAGACCGATGCACAATTACCTCATATTTTAGGAGAATGAAAACTCAACTAAAATAAGTACCACAACCCGATCTTAAGCAAAATTTTATATTCCTTCAGAGTACTAATGGCCACCTTGGAAAATTTTGACGGTATATATTCTTGATCTTGGAATTCAAAAGAGAAAGGGTGGAGGCCATGTCTTCAAAACTTAAAGCGATTCGTTTGTTTTTTACCCAGCACTTCCATCCCAATGAGAGAAAAATCTGCTTAAGCATGAAACTCTGGCGACCCAGTTACCTTGCCAACAGGGGGTTTTCAAAATCTTTTGCTTATCGGCAAGGTAACAACTTCCTTAACAAACGAGCAATACACAAGCCAACTCGACAGTCAATATTTTACGCATTTTTCTCAATAAAAATGGAATAACAATTTTCATTATTAGCAATGTTTCTTATTCTGATAGCACTTAAAAATTAAGAGTGAAAGTGAATAATTAATGACGATTTACAAGATTGAAGAACATATTCCTTAAATAAGCGATTTTTTATGGGATATGAGGAAACAACCTTAAAAAAACCATGGCAATAAGGTTAAGGTTAACAGATCAACATCACAAGGTTAACGTAAAGAGCTGCTCGGTGTAATCGTGTTTTCAAACAATCCCACCGTTGGTGAGCATTTTATTCATCTGCCCAGACAACCTTTGATTTACAATTTAAGGCTATAGATATATGCAATGTCCTAGGCCACGCTATCCTTAACACGTGATCTGCGCTAACATATGCAGGAATAAAATATTCGATTAACAGACCTTCGCGAATCGCAGTGCAAGGGGCACCCTCTTCATGTTCCAAACGAATTTCTTTCAAAGCAACAATCGTATCAGTAAGTCTGCCAAATGATAAAAACTTTAAAGAGTTTCTCGTCAAGGTATTGTACTTAAATCTGATGCATACAATATAAATTTCATCTAGAAGCATTTTTACCTAGCTATAATAAAAAAATTGCGTTATTTGCTTCTTGATTGTGAGATTTTTGTTGAAATACAAATTACAAACTTTCATTAAGATTGTCAAAGTGTTTTAACAAGCTACGCACTACAGATAACCACCTTGAATAAACGAAGTAGGCACCCAAGATTCTTTTCAATTCTTAGATAAGAAAAAACTATTTGTCATCAAAAATTTTTCTGAAATCATACACAACATATGAAATTTTGATTAAAAACGAGGTATCTCTCAAAGAAGGTTTGAAACTAGCAGAAATTGAAATCTTTATTGCTTAAAATAACATCAAAACGTTAAGGGAAATCAAACAAAATATTTATGACATAAGAAAATATTTATGACACAAACATTATGCTGACCTGCTTTTTCCTTTGAAAACAGTCGCATAAGTTCCCTGTAAGAATAAAGCCATAACATTGATAAAATATTCACGAGATAAACACACAGAATTAAATAATTTACAGCACTGTGGTACAGACAGAATCTGGTGATTTCCCTGCATCCATTTTGACCTGATAAAAACAGTGCGAAGCATCCACAGTTAGGCTAAAAAATGATTTCAACTTTCTTACTCCAATGATAGGATTTTTTTGGGAATTGACAAACTTTGATGAACATTTTTATTAAGAACCGAAGCGTAACAGTGAAAGTACCCCAAAAATGGAGAGCTCAAAACAAGAGACAAATATTTTGTCCCAAAATTTTTCGTTTGCGGTAAAAACCTAAAGTCGAGCCACAAAACATTGGACATATCTCTAAAACAGAGAGCAACAGAAAGTTTCATTGTTCTTCAAATGTGAAATACTCAATCTTTCAAATCTGTGAAATCTCTCAAAAAATCTGTACCTACAATAGCAGTGTGTATGGATGTAGACAAACAGTGCCCGTATCTAAGACAGTCATATTTCTTCACATGGACGGGTCATTTCACCTTATCTTTCTACATAGCTGCGTTATCAAGGGAAAAACATGCCGATACCATGTCTAAGCTCCTAGTCAGTTATTCTGTTGTGTTTAATTACACTTGCGTTACTACTGCTTGTTTTGCATGGGATTCTAGCACAGATAGTGAGGGTAAATTTTGCTAAGTAATTATGCTTTGCTCACATTTAGGCACATAGACTGTGAAATTTAATAGAACGGGTAGCGTCGTTTGTTGCGACAGGCGTGATCAGTGCATCAAATTCCCTACTATTCAAGCCAACGCTACTTTCAACAAAAAAGACGAGATGCTTGTAAGCTGGCGTTGATCGAAGTTCAACCATGTTAGGTGCAAGCTTAACTACATGTAAGCACAGAGAACAAAAAGGAGAGATATCAAGGTTGTAATATTTTCTCTGTTTTCACAGTAAATGCTCTTTAACTTCTCAACTAATCAAATAGCCTCAAATAAAAAATTTCACGCAAATTGTTACAAAAGTGCAGTCAGGATAAGCCAGCATTTTCTCATCTGCTCTTGCTACGAAGTGTATTCGCAATTTCGTTTGCACAGGAAACTGGGCACCAATGACGTAAAAGAAAGGAAATAAAACAAGATTACCTCGCCAAGTTTGTCCAACTTTGTGTAGGTTTCGAGCCGACCGTACCCCATATCAGACTAAAAATGAAAACAAAAACCTTTATGACATGCAACCTAGGATTCACTATAAGCTGACAAGTTTATCTTGATAAGAGCCAACCGCTAAGCATCTTTCTCGCAAAGACGCAAAATATTATTCAGATTTTAACAATTTGTAACCACTTTTTCAATTGTATTACAAAAAGAAGGAAGAAAGAAGGTTCACCCATAACTACGCCTGGTACATATGCAGTTATCGAAAAGCAAGAATCTCCAAATCATTCGAGCTAAGTTTGATGGATTTCTACTACCCTAGATATAAAAGAGAGTGTAGAAGTGCTATGGAGTTTAAAATCTCTATAACATTAACTTGTGTATCTTATTCACTTATTTTTTCATGACTTTCATGCTTCAACGAGTTTCACTAGTTTTACTACCAAAACATAAATTAATCAAAGTCAGTTTTGGCCAGTGAAACTTTAAAGTTATTTAGAAATAAGAAAATGAACGGTTTTACAAAATTTAACCAAAATTTCATATTAATTCTTAATAAAAATAGAAGACAAGCTTTGGAATACTGTAATAACATGGAAGCAACAAATAACTTCCTAAATAGACAGAAAGTATTATTCTGTTCGTTGTGACTGTAAATATTATTCTGATTGGTGTTGATTCCATGCGTTAAATCTCGTACCAAAGACAAAACAACTCTCCATTTTCACTGCTAAAGGTTTGAAGATACCAGCAATACAGCCTTTGCAATTGTGAAAAATATATAGCGCGAAATGTTTAGCAAATAGAAACAGGTGAAGATGTACAAAACCTTCTAACACACGTGGCTGTGATAGACGATCATGGCTTCCTACAGCTGATGAGCTAGTTGCATTGATAAGTACGACGAAACTTTTACAAAACAATCGCCTGATTGCTGTAGTATGATACTATAAAACCATGTTTTAAAAATCACTTTGATATTTGAAACACATCCCTTACGCTATGGCAAAACCAGAGAAGGCGAGAACGGAAAAATTTCCACTCTATTCGAATCATATAAATTAATAGATTTCTAAGCAGGAGGCTATCATACAGAAAATTTTCTCACGAAGCACCAATTTACCTGTGCACCAGCCACGCCCTAACATGTTCAGATAACCTTTTTTCTAATCGCAATCCAGGAACATAACGAACTGATCGTTTGTTTTTGTTATTCGTTTGATATCAACATAAATTGATTGGTGGAGGAATTACAACTCTAATAAAAAGCAAGCAATTTTGTAACAACTGAACATGTTTATTGCGAGTACAATCGAGTTAATTCAATATTTTACTTGCGAATGTACTGAAGCCTCGTGAGTTTCTTGAACGTACGCGCACGTCGCTGCGATCCCTTTTTAAGAAGCTGGGAACTCAAATATCAAAACAGCATATTCCATATTATCATCAACGGCAAACATCAAACACACCAAAATCCAAGTTTTAACAAGAAAATAACTTTACAAAACTTCAGCAGGAAACAGCACCTATCAAGCAAAAGTTTCAAAACTTAACGAACTTCGAAAATGATGCAAATTACGTCACCATCATAACCTCCTAGGATAAACATATTATCGAATGTTTGCGTTTACAATTCCCAATAGCCGAAACAAGGCGTTACAAGAAGCGTTTAGATTACGCGGTCCCCACCAAAACAACAACTTACTACTTTATCATGCTTCTCCAACCCACCACCTTCCTTCGGTTTACGTACAGCCATGGTCAGAATTTTCAGCTTCCTCCATTTGGACGACATCGTGACGTCGTGCTTCTTCGTTGCGTATATCCTGGCCGAAGCACTTATCCCGATCAAGCCTGCCAAACCTAAACGTACCAACAACAGACTTTTCTCTATCTAAAATTTATGCAAAATTTATGCAAGCTGGACAGTCAAACTGTACCTGCCCAACGTTTGATTTCCCACCAACAAATTAGGTTCTAAATCAATTTATGCAAAATTCATGCAAGACGAACTCACTGCGATTTAAACCTTAAAATCTTTACATTTAAGCTTAAAGCAACCAATACAAAACTAACCACGTTATGGACATTAAGTTTGTTGTAACAGACATTGATGATCGCAGATAAAAGCTGATGTTTTAAACAATAGGAGAGGAATAGCGTAACAGCAAAGTTGGATTGCAGAAAAAGCTTTGTCGTTAAACTCGCTTTTATGTAGACGCATTGTAGCAATTTTTCAAAGTGAACTTAATATTTGCAATGTACTTAAGTAACCGCATTTCGACATACAGTAAAAGCCTCTAATGCTCCTCAGCTGGGGTTCTGGGAAACAGCTGATATGCAATTGCTGACAATGATGAATGCGTATTGACCGTTATACACCCATAAGGAAACATCGATCACGTGCAACACACCCCCGTTCTTGTAAATTAAGAAGCAGCTTAGACACCTATCAGAACTGAAATCACCGGGGAAGGAAATGTCTGAGACAGAAAAATCCCTGGCAATTAACGGTAGAGATTAGCAGGAATTCCAGTCGCTCAAATTCTTGAAAACACTTCATGTTAGATGGAAAAAAAACTGCAATGTGGTTGATTTTTCGACATTTAAAAAGTACACGGGGTGGATAACAAGTCGATCACTGGGGTCTGAAGCTGGGGTCTGTTTACTGGGGTCTGAAGCTGGTTTTCAACTAAACCGCGACAATCACACAGTTCTCTTCACATACAGCTACAATACCAAGCTACAACATCAGTACAAAATCCATGAATTCGAGAAAGAAGCTTCTGGGAGAATCTCGTGACAGAAGTGCCGATACCCTCCTCAAGCAATATAGAAAGTTTTCTTCCAAAAAGCTGAAATCAGCATTAGACTCCAGGGACTTTCCCTGGTCATACCGTAGCGTACGTGTTTTTATTAAGGGATACAATGTGTTTCTTGCAAGGAATATTTCTAAGGGGAAAATTACCCATCCAGCCCCATTCCTATGTTTATAACAATATTTATTTTGCAAGTGGGAACGAAAGTAAATCCCTAGATGAAATCTGTTAGAGAAAGGGTATCGTTTCTTGCTTAGTGAATTCGTGCACACCACCTGGTATGATCAACATCTTAGAAAAAGGAGAGAGACGGTCCTTGCACTCCGGATGCTACACCCTGTGTTATATCTGTTGGATAAGATTGCGAATACCAAAAATCACAACTACCTTTTGCGAAAAATTACGAGCAGGTAAATTTAGCAGGGGCTAAACCGTCGAATTTATTGGGATACACCTGTTTGCATATGCGGCACTTATCTCTAGATTATGGCATTGATTACGTGAAACTATATTTTAAAAGGTTCCCAAATTTTACGCTTTATTTTCAAGAGCCACAGTTGATTGTTTTAACAGGCCCATCTGCTCAGTAAACTGTGCACATTTTACATCGAGATTAACCACTACATTTGAAATCGTCTTACAAAAACATAAAAGGTTTCAGTAAGCTATTCGGGAGGGCCCCCTGTTCGGCTGGAAAATATGATTTGGAAAAAAGTTGACGTTCAGCAGGGTCGGGGGCATGAAGCTGCAAATTTAAAATAGCGTCAGCCCCCCCCCCAAAAAAATGACAGTGAAAATCTAAAAAAAGTATTCAGACCTTTTCTTGTTGGCAAAAACCCTTGACTGTAAAAATGCATTTTGCTGACCACTTCATATTTCGCGAAAAGCCGAAAACATGGAATTGTTTTTAATTTTTTTACATGATTTCTTTTCAATTGTTTTTCATCTATCTCCTATTAATGATTTCTCTTTACCTCATCAAGTCGTTTTCCAAGCCTCGTCTCTTTACCTTATCTAGAAAATAGCTTCCTTTTCTGCTACTCTGACACGGCCTCTTTTTCAGCTCAAATGACGTATCTACCTCATCTCCACGGCCTCTGGCCTTTTCAAAATTCGTCGTCCCTCTTTCTTAACCTTCTACAAATAACTTCAGGTTTCTTAGTTTCATCGAGACACTCCTATTAAACCTACTGCACCCACTTCCCTCCGTCGCTTATTAGCACCCCCCCCCCCCTTCTATCAAATTTAACAAATCTTTCATGACCAGAACACGCAATTTTCACTTGTTAATAATTTTCCTTGTTATGTTATGTAGCTATTTTTTAATTGTCCCCTTGTTATGTTTGTCTATCTTTATCTCTAACCATCTATCCATTATCAAGTAACCAGTGTCACCATCCTACTAATTCCTTTTCCTTTTAATTAGAAGATTTACCAACATCCACTCCTTTATTAGCTCCCATTTGCTATTGAAATTTGCTGACATTTTATTGAAAATTGACCAACCTGAAGACCCCTTTCTATTAGCAACCCCCTTCTATTGAAAAATTGCCGACATGAACACCCCCTTCTATTAGCACCCCCTTCCACTAAAAATTGGCCGGAATGAACACCCCCTTCTATTGCCTCCCCCTTCTATTAGAGACAATAGAGTAAACACCAAAACGTTTTGATAGGAAGTATTTGGACCACAAACGCATTTGGCCACGAGCCTTTGAGATTACAACCAAAAAACAACATTCTTTAAAGTATATGCGGGAATTTAATAGAAAATTTTAATGTAGCACAGTCTAACAAGAATTTTAGCAGGGACCTTCGTTTCAAAGTCAATATATCTTTGTATCTTGAACCCATTTCTTTCAGCGGATTTTCTCTGGCGGATAGCCCAAAAAATAGCACACTATGACAATGGATAAAGTGAAGACAATTTTGAGGAGATTGTAAATGATCAGCACATACACTTTTCGAAGGGAAATCAGCTTGGGGGGGGGATGCAAACCCCTGTTTATATAAAAAGAGGACAATGAAAATGGCCTGTTATTTCTAACAATGAAAGGCTACTAGAGCTAGTGGGGCAATTGCCCCTCTAATTTTTATGTCTATATGTGAAAAAGACCCTCGGCCAACAAAGACACTTTTTAGGTGAAATAATTCAACTCTCAAAAACTTATGAAAGGAATCGAGCCTTAATCAAGCATAAAATTAGGGTCATTTTGGCATTAAAAATCAGTTCACCTAATCCATACAGGATTTTCATATGCAACCAGCAATTCTTATGCTCTTTAGCAATCTGTAAAACACGGAAGCAGATGCGAGTTTGAAAAACAAAGAATATAGCCAGAGAATTTTCCATATGGGAAAAAGAGCTTTTTCATATAGAATATAGTGCTTTTAATTTGTATACATCCAAATTAGTGTGGTATCTTATTCAAATAGTTTTAAAAGACAATCCAAGCGCCATGTTTTCTCATATTTCGACCTGTCTGTGTTTGCAAATTGATTTTGTCGTTGTGGTTTCCAGTATTTTCTGTGACCGAATTAGTATGTGATGGAGCTCACGAGGGGTGAAATTCAAGGTCTAAACTTTTAAAAAACAGTTACATTGCTGCAAAGGTGCCTTTCATGCAGCCGGAATGTAAAATGTTGAAACTGACTTATTTAATTGTCATAAAAATTATTTAATTGCCTTGTCATAAAAAGGATTCTGGTTTTTCGATTAATCATGTGAGTGTTAGCAATTGAAATTTGGAAACTTGTAAAAACCGCGTCTAACTTTACTCTAGTAAGAGGAGACATATTTTGAGACAATCATCACCCATCTTCTCTAAGAAAATTGTTTATATATGATCAATATAAATATCCGTGTTGGGTGTTAACTAGACTTGCACCGCGAGCCTCTGTTTCGATACTGCCTCACTTTACGGGCGCTACAACAGAGCTATGTAGCAAACTTTTGAACAGAAACAATTTTTATCAAGGAAATTACTCAACAATATACCCTTCAATATATAATATAGCATATGCTATTTAACATAGATACACTTCGTTCTTTTACACACAAAGAAATATGTAGTTTGACTTTGTAGCAAGTACATGGAATTATAGCCAAAAACTGCAAAACAATACTAAAATAGTAAAAACTAGACAAAATTTTTGAAACCTTATTGGCAGATGTTACCTTGCATAAATTTGGTCTGCGCGTATCACTTTTGTCTCCATGGTTTTCCTTTCGATTTTAGATCTTCAAGATATGGAGTTCGTTTATGTGAAAGAAGATTTGAACATCTGTCCCAGCTTATGCGTGGGTCAGTGCGTGAAGCGAAAGCACTGCTAGCGTGTAGGCTGCCGTCGAAAACTTCAAATTCTGCACAGTTTTCTTGCTATTTTCGTAAATTGCAGCCACTATACTAATGTTAAATAGCTTATAAATTCATTAATATTTTAAAATTGCGACATTTCAAAGATTTTGCCAACGGGCCTCTGCATTTCTTCCGATACCGTGCTTATCAGTTAGCCCAATTCTATTCATGCTACGTTTGTGAAACGAGATAGTAGAAACCATTGCTGAATCTACAGTTAATAGAAAATGTCTACCACCAGTATCTAATGTTCATCTTCCATGTTCTTGTACATCACATAATTGAATGTGACATTGTTTTTATGATAAACGTAACATGAATATAGAGAATATTGATATCGCAGTTGCGCATGTACTTCACACAAGCATCATTTCTCGAAACCCAGCTTTTCATTTTTCGATTCCTTTGTAAGACCTTGGTACAACAAATATGTAATGAGTAGCTTCAACTTCAAAGGAGTGGAGAAGGAAAAATATATAAACACGCCCTTTTATAATAAAAAAGGCTGGCTTTTAGGCTTCCCAGGGAAATCGTTTGGCGAAACCAGGGAAAATGTCTTGACTGTTTGTTAATGACTGTTTGACAGGCGTAATGACTGTTTGTTAAAAAGCGAGAGGTAAGGAATAAATCACAACAGCAGTAGAATCTACAAAAACATTGGATGTGAGGTGACATCTTTTTGTATTTCAAAACAATCTTAGCGACTGCTAAAACTGTTATTATTTTAGCTCAATCTAATGTTATTTTTTGCATCGATGTTTATCTTCAAAGCACTCACACAGCAGGCAACGGCGCATTGGCTAACGGCAAACAAACTAGAAATTGCTGGTCTGGTCTAATAACAAAACCGGTTTGGAGGACACAACTGAGAAGCCAAATACGAATTGGAAAAGAGTAGCATCAACCCTGAACTGCTAGCAAAAAACCCTGCTAGCAAAATTAACATGAATCGTCATTTTTTCTGTAAATAATCTGAACAAAATGTTTAGAAGAGAATTTGGAAGACAATGTTGGTATACATAGTTAAGTTTTTTTCTATTTTAATGAACTAGAATAGAAAAGTATTTTCGCCTGAGGAACAGGGTGGAAAAACAACACAACCATTCTAGCTACTAGCCAACTACGTTGTCTAGATCGATATTTCAACTATCTTAGGAAGAGAATCGCCTTTGCAGAGAGTATGCTAGTGTTAGAAAGCTCCAGATATCTAATGTTCTTGCGTCATATGAGAACTATTCTTGATATTTCTTTCGTTTGGGGAAATCAAATGTTTAAATAAAACATATGATAAATAATGTGGGAGAGAAAAGAAATCTTTACTGTATAGAGAATTCAAGAACTTAAACGTTAACAAACAGAACAAATCTGCGGTACTGTTTGTAACAATAAGAGATATGGCAGCCAGCGGGTGTGCAGATGTCAGAAATTATGGGAGAAATACGAATATAAGGTCGCTGATCATACAAAACTCTGGTGGTTGATTAACTTGCTCGCTGGAAGAATAGAAAATGCCCTGTAGAGTTCTGGCTGTTATTTCAAAGGAAAACGGAGATTTACCAGGACTATCAATTCAAATGCAAAAAATATTCCCTAGATAACAAGAGATGCATCTCTGTCAAGAAGAAAAATGTTGGCCTAGCACTTTTTTATAGCCCTTGTAAAACTGTGAATAATTTTGCTATCCCACTTTTCCTTTCAGCTTTCGCCTTAACAACAGGGGAAATAAGGTAAAAGATTGTCCCGTTACTTTAATAAACGGCCTCCTACAAAAACATAAATTGCTACTAAATTAACATTTCCAAAAACACTTGGATGGGAATGTTCTTACGCTGTTCTAGATTTTTTTAGAGCCTCGGTATTCTTATAGAGTGTGCTTTCACAAACAGAGTGGAAAAGATTTGAAGCAAAAACCTTTTGCGTAAATCTTTCCTCCTTAAATGACAATGAACCTTTAAAACTTCTTACCTTACCTAGCAATTAAATTCAAACAAAGAGGGCTAACTTTAAGGAACATTTGCATCTGGTCAGAATTTTGGCGTTGAATCCGAGTCCGGTTATTAAACCTTGCATCGAACGTACTTGAAAATGCAAGACGCGACAAATAATTTAAGAGGTTTATACAATAAATTTTTGTAGAAAAATCTACCCTTACCAGCGATGTTCTCCTTTCTCTTCGGGACTGGCCATTGAACGGACTGACGGGCTTCTGTGATTGTTGCTGCTGCCGCTGCGCTATTTGTGGGAGCATGTTCAGGTTGGCTGGGAGGGACATTCGTTTCATCCTTTGTTCCTGGAAAGGAGGGCAAAATCATGATGTCGCCAAAAGGTAATTGTTAGATAAATAAAGGCGAATTGCTGTGACAAAGGATGTTATGAAAAATCATATCAGTCAACATAA